TGTTTGATTGAGTCTGGTACAGTCTAAAGACCTTATTAGCATCTGAGGTTCGTTGGCCGTTATTTGGGGCCAATGACTGACTAACTCAAGGAACTTACCTCACGTCGTGTAAGAGCTCCCCATTGTCAAGAGACCTATCTAGTTTGTGCAGCATCAGATCTGATATTGCTGGCGGTTAAAGCGAAAATGATGCAGACTTGTACCTAGAAGTGGTGGTGGTGCACGTTTCCAAGACAGGAAGCTCAGTAGGTTCCAAGGGTCTTTGCTGTTGCTGCATGTTTGACATGCTGAGCTAATGGCAGCACCTCGATCGATCCTTACATCTGTGGACCCTAGATCCTGGATACTTTCCCTTCTTACCAGGCCCTCGTGCATCCCCAAGGTGATACTTGATTAGCTCAACAAGACTCAGGTCGGGTCGGTAAATAATAGTGACGGCCATGGTAGTATACCGTCTCGTCGTTGATACCAGATGCTGGCTGTCATGGCGGAGCGCTCACTGGCGCCCACTCGGTTCTGCCCTCAGCGAAAAAGGGGGTGTACGGAAGCGCTGAAAGCGGTGTGGTGTGTTGGCGGGACGGGCAGGATCTCACTAGCGCACGGCGCCCTGGGATCAGACGATCGTACTGTCGAATGCGCCCCACAGGTAGCCAGATCCCAGGGTTCCCGCCATTCCGTCGTGGTGTTGATAGCCAACGAACCCTTGTCCTTGTTTCTCCTGGATTGCAATAATTGGGGAATTGGATTGGTACTCCTGAATGCTACTGTTATTGCTGTCAGATGCTTTGCCGCCTGGTTTTCAGGCTAATCATACATGTCCTTTCACTGCTGCGTTGTCTGAGATGGTGGTGGCAAACAACACTCTGTTGTATCTGATTCGTGGCCAGCGACCTCATAAACATGTTTGGGATAACTGACTGCTCAATGTGATGACCGACTAGGGGCCTTCACCGAGCGGGAATCTGGCGTTCGGAGGAGCCACGGGGAACCCCCAAGCCCTCACCGATCGTCTTGGGCGCAACCCACCCCTGTCGTTTGGCAGGACGCTTAGACTGTACGCGGTAAATACTGTAGGACTGGTCATAGCATTACAATCCGTCAGCAGCATACGGATACTCCAGTGGACACCTGTGTCTTTGTGTACACCTCAGCAGTTTCGAGGCCAGGACATAACTGCATATCGGACTGCATATCGGACTGCTGAAGGTGCAGTCCTCATAATCAGGAATCGATCTGGGGGCTGACCGCTTGTGGAAGCACGGCCACGTCATTGTACCGTGATCCGATCGGCTGGTATTGGCTGGAATGCTGACTTAGAAGCCGTTGACTAATTACCAGCTAATAAATCTGGCTCAGCTTGTATTGTGGAGGGGGTGCTCAGCCGATGAAGATTGCCTACCCGCTTTCTAAGCCATGACAGCATTTGTGGCCCTCATTGTAATATTATTATGTATACGTAACAACCTTCGTTTTGTAGGGCTTTTACCACTGTTACTCGTCAACTGTCGGCAAAGCTGCAAACAGCTTACAATTTCGAGCTCGTCGTAGTTGTCTGTTAAAACCACGAATGCCTCTTACACCTAAAGCTTATTTAGAACTGAGTGTGGCTGCCAGCTCAACTTGGCACGATATCTCAGATTGAGTCTGGGGTTTGCGACGCATGGATGTGTGCCGACGAAGTATTGCCGAATGACTCGCCATGTACTGCAACATTGATGCTACATTATCAGAACATCAAGTGATGCAACAAAACAAAAACAAGCATATCCCCACAAATCGTCTTTCGAGAAGGGCTGACAACGAGCTGACCATGTTAGGCATGCTTGGGTGTTGCTTTTTTGAGCGCTGTGCATCATCGAGACCGTTGAAATCGAGAAGCTGCAGGGTGCATTTAGACGCATCAGAACGGGTGTGGTTGGCCAGCGACATTGTAGGGATATGCCTTAAACAGCCACTGGTTCTAATTATCAGATTTCTTTGCGTTAATTATGTACAACCGGTGGGCAAGACTTTGGCCAGACCTTGCTGAAGACTTTTACTGCTCAATTCGCATGGGACGTCTGGGCAAGCAACGCTTTCGAATGCTTGGCTGTGGTCAGACCCTCTGCGAACATTATCTCAATGTCTGTGTTGTCAGAGCACCCCCAGCCCAGACTTATTAGTCCCACGGGCATGGAGTCAGAAAGGATCGCTGGCTGTGTTCAAATGCGACGATGTATGCCGGTGGATACCAATAATGAGTATTTGGACTGTAATGCTCCTTCGGCCAAGATGCGCTGTTGTGTTGTTGGTTTTGTTGGGAAAGGCTGCTGAGAGCGAATCTTGCCAACAATTATCACTGTGACATCGACGAAGTCGATTTGCGAAGATCGAAAGGAGGCCAGGTAATGGCTGGAACCCCTGGTAAGTTTTTTTGCTGGAGCCAGGGATTGAAACCATCGGAGGAGGGTGGCAGCGCTTGCTGGAAATTCAACTGGGGATAATTACCAAACTGACAGTTTAGGCTTCCATGTCAGCAACCGCTGTGTCACAACCGATACTCGCACTGATCGACAAAGGTTAGCGGCGCACAATTGAGGCCAGCCGAAGTCGGATCTGAAAAGCTAAAAGTGCCATTCAGTCCACTAATGATCGATTGAGTCTGAGCGTAAGTCACAGAGGAACGTTAGCTGTCGAAACCAGCCAACAACATGCACTCATTTCTCGGCTGGTGATACCCAACCAGGGGCGAGATGAAAGAGGCGTCTGTCATTGCCCATTTCACGTGGATACGGAGGACTGAGAAGACGGCATTTCCCGAATAAGATCCGGCGTGTGAGAGGCACGTTGTCGTTCGCTCAGGGCGCGGAGCCGACAAGCGGCTCAATCCTTTCTTTGCGGCCCTGAACTTGTTCTAGATTAGTAGGTAGACGGCTGAGGTGGTGTAAGAGTAAGAGGAAGTCAAGGATTCCGTGCGGGTGGTAGGAACCCCCGACAGGAGCGGGAGATTGCCCCGTTTTTCCGGTCTGTCAAATTCGACGATGCTTGGGAAAGATCCACCGAGGAGACGGGTTAATAGTGACAACCTAGGTACCTGCCTGTCTAGAGAACTGCTGCATTGATGATCTGTATTTCACTGCAACACTGTAATGCGAAGCATGAGAGAAATGCTACGTTAATCAATCTTTCCAAATCTCGGTAGAAGCACGACGTGAACTACTCCGTGCACTCGACATTGGATCACCAAGCGATAATGCGTAATTTTCATGAAAAGCTGATAACTTGGACTCGATGTCTCATTCTTCTTCAATTTCTTCATGACCATATCGACAGAAGAAGCAAAGCATGACCATGGAGAGGAGTTGCCTGCCGGGTGGTTCTTGATACTACTCAAATTATAAACTGACTCAACCTGACTTAACACCGAGGGTTGATGCGTAGATCTATATTTCCAACGACGACCAAAACCTAGACGGAATGAGGAGCGCATACCCTCAGCGTCAAGCCTTATTGCGAGCAACAAGTTAATTTGGTCGCTAGAACAAGCATCCGAGACTAGAAAAACTCTTTTGGTTGTCAAGTTCATGATAAGCTAGGTAGCTAGCCTCATCACCATCTCCATTTACGTCCCGTGTCGTTCGGCCCCGGTCCCACAGTCCCGGTAACAGTCACGACCATGAAGTAGAGTCCAACTACGAGTAAGACGACAAGGGCGTAGGTAGAAGACGAAAAAGAAAAGTCTTCGCAGAGCATGCTTTTTCTTACTCAAGCAGGATGTTTGCTGATTCAACTTAGTTGGTGGGATTCGAGATGCAGTTCGTCCGCCGCCTTGCATTCGCGCTCCACCACGTGTGTTCCCGTTCGAAAGAACGCGTCCGTTTTGAGTATGGTACATGCATATCTCAAGCTTTTTGATTTGCTGCGGAATGAAATGTTTAGCTTCAAGCTCAGCACGTTTCTGAGGCCCCCCGCTCCCGTTTAACTCCAGGTCCACCCGGTAGGTGCCGCGTGGCCACCTATTGGATACCGGTTGTCAGATTAAAGCTATCCGGAAAACATCAAAACCCTCAAGGTACAAGACGAGGAACGGGCGGAGGGCTCCTCGAGTAGAAACATCATATATGAACTGACCATAAGACAGCTCACTACTCGGTGCTGGGTTTCAATTCTCTGTTTGATGGTGCCAACGCTGCATGTACCGTACTGCAGACTTGAGTGAGGTGGGATATGTACCAATAAGTACATACTGTATCGAGAGGCACAGCGTCACAATTGACAGATGCCATTGGTTGGGGTATTGTGGATCGAAGTACCTGGATCTTGCAGCGTGTCCATCGTCCATCGTCCATCGCATGGCATGACCGACATGTACTGTACATGTAGAAAAAGCCTACCGAGACGGGTGCATCTGATCTGGTGCTGGTACATTGCGTGGAAGCACGCCCGCAATCGATACCGTAGCCGCAGACAAAGCGCCCGCCCATGGTCCGAGAAAGAGGTGCCGTAAATGCAGGTCTCCAAACTATCATTATTGCCCTCTGAAGGAAATGAAACCCAAGTTCAGGTGGTCACAAATGTAGGGAACCATGGATGTCTGATGAGTTGGCTGTGTAACCTTGAAGCTGATGTGCATCGATATCTCTCAACTTGATCAACTGCGCACCCCCATCCCCGGCATATATCAGATATCGCCTGCTTGCCATACAGCACAACGCAATTGTCACAGTAACAGCAGCAGCAGCAATGGTAGTTCTGTGCAACTGAATGGCGATGTGCAGGCAACAAGCCGAGTGCCATTATTATCGAAGAGGCTGGATGGCTACATTAGTGCTCAAGGATAAGCTTGTCTGGGTGAGGAAGCGCGTATTAATAAGTTCCGTAGCGCCAGCGAAATCAGGCCACCTCGCAAGCCCTCGTCGTGGTGAAAGGATACTGCCACGCCCTGAGATTTTACTTCACAACCGATAGCCGACAACCCACAAAGGCTCAAAGTTGCAAAGCTGGTGTTCAATATTCAAAACATGTGGTGGCTTACCCAAACAGGGCTTAGCATCTGGCTGCTGGCCAGAGGCACACGTATATACTGTATACACACACACACACACATACACACAGCCGAAGCTGATGGTGGGCGAGGATTCACTACCAGTGGCTCAAGGCGGTCTCTACCTCCAACCGTGCGCGGCGCCGCATCGTGGGGATCTCATGATCGCGTCCGCGACCGCATCCACGTCAACGCTTGGGCTTCTGGGAATTCTGTCTCTCGGAGCAGGGGAGGCCCGGAGTATGTTCGAGATCTGACCCCTGGCGACACTGAACGTTTCTGCCGCCTTGTGTGACAGTATCTCCCCATAGGTCTATCTACATAGTCTAGTAAGCCCTGCGCCCAATCGCAAATAAGGAGTTTATTTTACTTGACTTGACTTGACTTGACCATTTGCTGACCACCCAGCATCGACAATCTCAGCACATTGAATCGACGATTTGTCTTTAGCGTTAGATCCCGGCCGTTGGAGCTTTCTCTGCTGGACTAAACGCCACGCATCTTCGCATTCGAAGCGAAGGAGGGCTGGGTAACTACCTTGGGGATGGTCGGCTTATTATGTGTTGAGTATTATTGCAAGCCTCTATTAAACGTGCCGGAGGTATCTGCCCGCGGTGTTTTAAACCACATGAAAGTCGTATTCCAACCCGCCCATCAATGACATGCAACAGACCAACTGGGATTGTCCACGAAGCTGGAACTACGCAGACAAGCTTTTCTTCTTTTTCTTGCTTATTTTCCCTTGCAAGCATCAAATATGGGTAGAGGTCGGTGGTCTTTCTTTTTCGCAGGCCGCGGAATATGCATGCAAGACTTTTAATCCCCTGCTTTGGTTCATGTCTGCTATTCCCGAATTGACATCCCTGGCTCGAGATCAGGGTAGGGGGTGCGTCAAAGACATGCGCGGACCTTTGGAAGTTGAGAAGCACATGCCGAGGCAGTTACTAAAAGTCAATGTGCACATTACTTAACCTTCACATTCTTGAAGCAAAGTCGAGTATCACATGAAACTACATTCGGCACTTGAGACGTGCAGATAGCAGTGGTCCCATATTGCGGGACAGCACCGCGCAAAAGTCAGCTCGACGAAAATAGGAATGCTTAGGTTACGGGCCGAAGAGGGAAACGACCGTTGATGACAGCTCTGTACACTACAGACAACACAGCATAGCGGAAGCACAAACCCGTCCCCTATCACATCATGCAAGCAAAGGGATCCTACATCAACCGCGTCTAAGTCCATCAGCGCATGTGTGCTTTCTTGCGATGGAGGATGGGCCATATGTCAGTCGTTATGGACAGGTGCAACATGATACACCAAAGCCGAGCAATTCTCGTATTAGCGTCCACTCCACTGACCAAACTCGCGTGGGATGGCGGAAAATTTTGAATGTCAGCGATCCGATATTATCTTCTGCTCGATTTGGAGCATGGGTTTTAATTCGATTCGCTGGGTTCGGGGCACTCGTGGATTAAACACGGGTGATACAGATACAGTGGGCAGTAGATGGGCCCATGGGCAGGCAATGCTTGCACATCGGCGGATAGCCTATACATGCAATATGACAGCGCCGGATCGTCAGCGGGGCCTGCGGTTGCAGAAATTCCATTCTGTCCGGGGAAGCGGTTGCAAGCTTGCAGGGGATTTACTCTTACAAATATGTAGGGATAGGGCTAAGAAACGTATGACTCGCAATCGTCGATGGGGGCTGTGCCGCTCGATTATATCGAGAAAATGTCCCGGATCTGACCATGGATGTATGTCGACTGGACGAGAAGCGGGAAAAAGCAACAAGAAAATAGGTAAGCACAACCAATGTCAGATCAAAACCTTCTGATTCTGCGAGAGATGGAAGCACATCTTTGCACTGTATCGTCATCATGTCTTTTTTATTTTATCTTGATGGTGGTGGGTTAGCTTAATTAATGCTACCCGGAGTGGGCAAGCTAAGCCGTATTGGACAGATTAGGAGCTGACTGCCGTAGAAGAAGCAAATGGGGCTTCCATCGGCACGGTAGATAGGTGGATTCTTCTGGAAACATGGGACCCAGGGGCCCAGTGGCCCAGGGGGCAGGGCATCCAAAGCGCACCTCGACCGTCTGGCCGTTTAGTGGCTGGGGAGGTGGAGGAGGCCCTAGAAAAACTAGAAGCATTCCATCCCGTCCTTTTCCATTCATCCGTGAGGGTAAGAAAGAGAAGAGCCGCTTTGATACTCGACTGCCCGTGTTAGAGTTTTTTTTTTGTTTTTTTCCTTCTCTTTCGCTGAGGCCATCTCCCTGAATATCCCTGAATATCCCTGAACATGTTCGGGTAGAAACGCGATTGCTCAATTGCACAAGTACAAGGCAAGGGTGATTACGTTGGCATAATTCTCCGAGTCATACCAGGCCCATCATTGAACGACGTAACATCGGGGCACTACAGGAGGGAACAGATGAGATGCAAGATGCCCAACAATATCCGTACAACGGCAAAAGTCAAATGAAAGCGTGTGATTCAACCTGTGAGCATGAATCATTAATACACCAGATACTACCATCCACATGCTCCTGTCTCATTTCATTCACGGCCACGAGCAGATGATAAATGCTACATAGCGTAGTAAACTTCATCCAAGACCTCCTCGGTAATTCGCAATATCTCCCTCACCCTATAGAGTACACTCCTTGGAGTACTTGATGTACGCACCTGATAGCCTATCGGAGTAATCACTTTCCCGACCCCTGAACAAGATCAACAGCGATTAGTTCCAAAGCCATACTCCATGCTACATCCCTACGGAGGTACATATAGTTTAGTTACACATACCGAGTAACACAACATGGACGTTTTCGCCAGGACTGATGATTATCTTCTATGCATCTGGCCGTGGGCATGTAATGGTCATACCCGTGAAATCATGCATGGACAGAAGAGCATTCATTATAGCACAAGCCCTGATCCTCGTCGGTCAAACTCCTAACAAGGCACCCTCAAGCAGTCAGCGGCACAGCCGATAGAGACCCAAGCGATTGGAAACTGTATCGTGAAAGTTATTGACCCAAAACATGGACAAGGTCCAGCTTACTAGCAGGGAGACCCATGCCGTGCCATGCTATAAAGCATCGTCTGCCATCCTCGTGGCGCATAGTTAATAAACAACAGGACCCTGGCGGAGGAGATTAAGACGTTCGTGAACGTCTAGAACAGGCCAGTGCTCGAACTATGGTTTCTAGCCAATCTTTAGGGGCTGGATCGGTGCCTTATCGATATTGTTGATATTGTTTCAGTTGAATCATGGGTTGCCGCATTACCTTCACTATTACTGCGCAATCCTATGCAGGACGTGATTTTGTGTGAGTATTTGGTGATGAACTATGTTTCCCTGCTGTTTGGTAGCAATATGTTACCTCAAGTCCATAGACACATGAATCATCCATCATCAAATACACAAACGTCAAACCCAAACTCATAAAGATTCGTGCGCCTTACTTGTTTCGTTTGTTATTCTGGAAGGTCAGTGGGAATGGGAAATTTGGGGTTAGCCGAGATTGGAACATGCGATGGTCTGCTAGGATGATGCTGGAGATGGTAATGAATCGGACGACCAGGATATATGACACGAAGATATAGTGATGAATCTTATGACCATACTATGTGCAAAGTCGTAGGTCAAAGGATGGGGATATCGTGCAGCAGGAGGTACGAAATCAGAGATACTGTGTCGTGGGAAGTTAATCAGCTGTTTGCAGCGGCAACATGTATATGGACAAGAAAGGTCATTGCCAAACACTACCATATTATTTATCATGATCATCATTATCAGAGGTTATGCAGAATGAGGTACCGCCATCCTGCGCCTACTTTAACCTAACTTGGCTCGGCTATGGTTCGCAGAAAGCAGGCAAATCCATGACAATATTTATCGATGAGGTTGCATTCAAATCTCATCAGTTTGCCCGAGTAAGAGCCATCTACGATCAATCATGTACTAGAATTCTAAAACATGACCCAGGACCCAACTGACTGTCCTTGCCGGGACCGCATTGGGTGGTTTGGTCTAGTAGAAACATCTCACACACTAATGGCAACCTGGGTCGATACGTACGTATCTTGTTCATCTCATCTCATCTCATCTTGGCTCATCAGAAGAGTGGAGTGATGATGATGGAGATGCCCACACACTGTTCATCAATCCATCATGGCGGCGCACTAATCGAGGGCGTGTCTGATCTTGGAGAGATTGGGACCGCGGGCCATCTCGGCCCATGTCGAAACACCAATGGTCAACCCGCCATACAGGCGCCCAATCTAGCCAGTTTAGCCAGTCAACAACATCGCGTGGTGGCGGATATACATAGTACTTACAGTACCATCCCTCCGGAGCCGCGGGGGGCAGTTCGAATTGGGTTTCTCCCACAGGGGACTACCTGCGAGGTACGCGTGCTGGAGTCCAGATAAGCTGCCGTCTGGCAGCTCCAGAAAGTTTCTTTGAAGTAAGGTGTGAAAACAAATCCACCGTCTCGCAAGATCCTCACAACCTGGTCCTAGCTGGTTCTCGACTCCTTGCCCACTGACGTACCTGGCTGCGGTGCCGCCCATTTAGCGGGTGGCCCCAATCTGGGTCTGGAAAGCGGCCCATCTCGCTCATCGCCCATCGCACATCACACATCGGATGCCGTTTCGCCAGTTCGTCATCATCTACTCCGTACTCCGTAATCCTTCGTAGGAACACCCGCACTGCTTTGCTTGTTACTGACTAGGTTGGCCATTTGTGGCCCATATCACCCTCCTCCTCGTCACTCGTCTCGTTGTATCTGAGGGGTTGGTCCCAGTTGAGAGTTCCCCAAGCTTATCTGCTCTTCGTCAGCGTCGTTCAAGTTTCTTGAGCCTTGGATGTTCATGTTACCACCTCATTCCATGTCAATCTCGCGCATCTCTCTTTGAGCCGTCATAATGTTTCCCTACCCTTTTGCCCCTATTTGCCTCAAGCTAGCAACACTGCACTCCTAGCCCCTAGCGCGTTGCGGCAGGGTATGGAGGGCAATGTAACTGTACGGTTCAGTTGGCAGGGGATGTGCTGGATCGAAATGTGATGTGTCGATGAAAGACAACCTCTTCACCCAGCGTCAGAATGCCAATGTCCAACAGTAACAGTGGTGACGGAAATGCTGCAACATAGCTTCCAGCCGAGATCACCATAATCCGCATCTTCATTCAGGCATGTAAGGTTGAATTTCTGACTGTTCTATCGACCCCATTGCTGCGCTTCGTTCACCATTTTGCATGACTGCCTAAGAATAGCCAAGCCCCGTAGGTAAAGACGGCACGTATCTCTGCGGCAGTACTCCGTACTAACAATAACGTCAAAAATCTTCATTTTCCCAGTTGCGTGGCATTGAGCATGGCCCAAGGATGTCTTCTGGTGCTCTTTGTGGACCACTAAACTCAGACCGCTGCTGACCCCCCCGAAGCAAGGGCCCCCCGGGAAGTCGTACCATTTTGCAGAACTTGAGATTGGAGATCTCCAAAGCCTAGCGCTACTGCGACAGGCTAACGTCATGCCCCAGCTATTGGTGCAGTGCAGAACTAGAACTTGACAAGGTCAATGTTTGAATCGACGGCAATTGTGCAGAGCACACAAATGTCTTGCCGTGCCCTTGTTTCTCTTACCCTCGTGCGAGAACATATAGGGATAGTCGTTTATTTGACGCATTGCGGAGACGGGGATCTGAAAGTCCTTTATGCATACCGTGAACGATCATGGCATGGATGAAAGATGCGAGTTCCCCGAGATCTTACCACAAGTGAGATACAGCCCTAGGCCAACACCCATATGGCTTTGTCAAGTAGTCTATTCCCCTTGTCTGCCTCATCGGTCACTGACGATCTTTGGTTATCCTCAAATGGCCCACCCATCCATCCATCCATGATCGATACACTGCTCGGATCCCTACCGGACCTCCTCTCCCCACCTATACCGTATCGTAAACCGTCATGCCGCCGTGCCTCCTAGCCACTGGAATCGAACTTGGATAACCTTGCCGGGTGGATGATACCCCTGCCCGGGACCGTTACTCCCAGGCGTCACAACCGAACGCCGCATCAAGAACGCTCAGCGGGTTGAGGCGCGCTTGTTGATTGATTGATGGATGTCTGACTGATCTGTTTGTGATGTCTGATGTCTCTGGAGGTCTGCGGGCCATGTGCTTGGTGAGAATTGGTAGATTGTTTATTCGCAGGATCACAAACAGATCAGATGCGACACCGCTGGTTTGGTCACGAACATTGCCGGATTTGATCGATTGATCTGTATATGGATCTCCTAGAAAAATAACCGCGCCGCAGGTCCCTTGTGCTGTACCGGTCGATCCATGCACTTAAGTGAACTGACAGAACCAAAACCCTCCCTCACCCCTGTTGGAGGCTGGCAGCCTGGCACAGCAGTTGTTGCTTCGCTTTCCTAATGCGCGTGCTATGTGATAGGTGTACGGAGTGCTGTATCTTCTTGATATGACTGCCCGACTGCCTCCCAAGCCCAATGGCAAGGCGTGAGCTGGGTGGTCAGTGTTCTGTAGTTCCCCATGTCTGTTTTTCCAGCTTGCTCTCCAACTGGCGACATGGTTGATCGGTTAGGCTTAGGCTGCTGCACGCTGTACCTCTGGTAGGCCACAGTACGAAATGCTTGTTAGGAATATATGACATTTGGGGCGCCGATCTCACATCTAGTCCCCCGTAACGCACTGCAGCTTTGTTGGTTGGTGATTTACAGGCGGTTGTGGTTGTGTTCACTTCCAGGTATACCTGACCTTCCTCCCAAGCCTTCCTTGCCTTGCCTTGGCTTGGCCTTCATCCTGCCCCTTCCGCTCTTGCCTTTTGTGTTTCAACATCTCCCTCCTTTCATCCTCTTCCCACCTCCACAATTCCGAGGCAACAAAAAGAGATAACCGACGCCTTTCTCCTGATAAACCTCGATCTTCGATCTTCCCTTTCTCATCACTCTACCTCTATTATCCACCTTGCCCTGTTCCGCATTGTCACCCGGCGCTGACTCAAGCGCCTGCAGAGACACAGCCGTCCGCAGCAGCAGCAGGATTTGTCCTTGCCCGCCATTCTAGTGGCCCAGCGCTGTTCGGCTCCGTGTCTGTGTATAAGTAATTATTGCACTATCTTTTTGCGAGTCAATTCATCCCTGTCTAAGTCACTCGACCAGAAGACACAACAAACTTGGGGAAAAGGAAGAAAAGCAGAAAGCAAGAAGGAAAAGGAGAAGGACACGAGAACGAGATTCGATCAAAGTGTCATTCGAATCATTGACATCCGAAACAACAATACAGTCACCCATACGGACAATCGCGGAACCTAGTCCTGTGAGCAAAGTATTACAGGTTTTGGTTAATCAATCTTATATCCCGTACATTCCAGCACGCGACTTGGACCCTATCCCGCGCAGCGCGACAGCCGTTGCTCACGTTGTATCAACCCATCGAACTACAACCAAAGCCACCTACCTCAATTGAGCATTTCAACACTTGCGTTAGCTTTGACCTTGTCGCCAACAGGTGCAATCCAGTGTGTGGTCTCTTAGGTCCACCCGTCTGTTCTCTGGCTGCGCTGTGCTGTCTTGGGCCAAGCTGTGCGCTACGTTCCCAGACCCCGGCCATTGGTCCCAGTTCCGCGGCAGTCAACCGCCTGTTGAGTTTGCGCTACTCTTGATTCTCGCCTTGTGTCTCCAGAAGACGAGCATCGCAACTGTCCAGACTCGTTCCTACACCTAAGGATTCTTGGTTCTGGCGCTCCCTCAATCAACCGCTGAACAACCAACCCAAGCCTCCAGTTTTGCAGCCCCTGCCGTCGGCGACCAGAACAAACCCAATCCCATCAGGGACAGGACCTCTATGTAGGTGGAACCCCCCTGCCACTGTCCCGCTCAGCGCCACCACGAGGGTCCTTGTCGCTTGTTCCATCGCACGCCAGATCTATCCACCCCCCCTTGACCTGGTCTGGTACATGTTATTTGTTTCTTTTCTTCTTGGCCTCTTTCATTTCGCCTCATCGGTCCTCTCCCCGTTTTGACACCCCATTGCCAACCCTCACCTGAGTCCATTGTCACATCTCTCACCCTGGTCCCGTGTTGACCCTCATTCCTGGTCTCTTCAGTTCCTCCTCCACCGGAACCTCGTTCTTTACCACCCCCCTCCCCGTTTATTCGTACTGCTCTTTTCCTTAACTCATCAAGCACCCCCCAGCCGGATCTAGCCAGGTCAGATGCATCTACGGCCTTAAAAACTGTCCCAAATCATCGTTAGTAATTACCAGATCCGCTATGGAAGCGGCTGACTCTGGAGCCAGGCAAAGGTCCGTATGAAACCCAACTCAAAAGTATTCATATTTCTGTCTGCCCCTCCCATATTAACACCTCTTCTCCTCTTATAGCCGTCACACTGCTACCAGCTCGGAACATCAAATACAACACCCACCTCAATCCGAACAGCCATACTCGGATCATCGACATCATCCTTCCTATTCGCGGGACATCCTCGACAGGCCGTCGTATCGAGAACCTCCCGCCATGGCAACGGCAACTCTCATCAATCCGTCCTCCCATTATCAACCTCAACCGCCTTTCTCCAGCTATTCTCAATCAAGCTCGGGCGCCGCCAGTATTTCCAACATGATCTCCTCAGTTGAACCTCGAAAGCCAGCAGACGACCACGATCAGTCAAATCGCCAGTCGCTCCCGTCTATCTCGGAGGTTATCCAAGGCACCAAGCCTGGGCCGTATCCTATTGCGCATGCACATGGTCTGCAGACTGGCTCGAGCCTGCCTTCGCCCTTCGCACCGGCTCCTCGATCCTTCCCAGAGGCTGAGAAACGCTCGTCTCCTCAACCTCTGCATCCGAACTCCTCCTTTCCTCGACAGGATGGCTTACCAGCTTTCGCCGACTCACCTCGTCCGCATTTCAACAGCCGACCCTCGCTTCCTTCTGTTTCTGACCGCCGCCAGAGTCCTTCAGGCAAACCTGATATCCCTCATCAGCACCACCATCACCCAGATCAGAAACTTTCTGAACCTCACCACCCACTCAATGGCGTTTACGCTCATCCTCCACCGCCGCCACCTCCGGCTCCTGTCGCATATCAGCCTGGCCAATTGCCCGCAGGACAAATGCCTCTCCCTGCGTATCCTATATCTCCACGACATGCAATGCCACCCCATGCCACTGGACCGTACGACCCAAGGGCGCCTCCTCGTGCAGAAGAATCTGACTATGCTGCCCGAGCTAGATATGAAGCAACAGTGGACAGGCATCTTGAGAGCTGGAGCTACCAGGATTCTCTCAGTCGAGTAAGCTTTGGCGCCTCTTTGCTGCACCGATGATGTGATGTACTGACTTCTCTAGATTGGCTCTTCATCCCGTACAATCTTCAATTTTGCCGAAGCCTATAGTCGAATTGCTCAGGAACAGCACGGAGCGCACCCCATACCAGCTCGACTGCCCACGGAACGAGAAGTCAGCGACATGCTTAGCAACATCGAGCACGTCAAGCAATCTTTGGAACAAGTGCGAGACTTGGTGCAAACATCGATCCAGAACGAACGCGCTCGAGAAGGCGCCAAGATGAAGGGACCGTACGATGAAGAGCACGAAGTAAGCATGTATGGTGATGGAATGAAGCCGCAATATGGCATAACAGAAGTGAAGAAACGACGAGGTGTAAGTTGATGAACCTAACACAGGATATGGAGTTAAGACTGACAAACAACAGCGCGCTGCCCCTCCAGGACGATGCCATAGCTGCAACAGGATTGATACACCCGAATGGAGGCGTGGACCAGATGGAGCCAGGACACTCTGCAACGCGTGTGGACTACATTACGCCAAACTCGAGAGAAAACGCCAGCTTGAGGCAAGGTCAATCCGCCCCAAGCCCGAAGAGGCTCATCGACAATAAGCTTTTGTTGGACCAAAACACATTATTCTGGTGGTGACAGCAAATTCTCAGTTCAGTCCACGACCTCACGAGGCAGGGACTCATTCGGACGATAACACTTGAGCCTGCTTGAATACAGCGTGATCTACACATATTCCACGCACACACATTCGGAAACATTCACGTTTAATAATACCCGACTTCTATTTTTTCCCCCAGAACGGCGACATTTCGTCGTTCTTTGTATATACGTTATCATAACTCGGACACCTAAGGCTTTGATTTGAGCAAGGACCCGCGGCATATCAGGCGTTTGTTGTTTATGGACACCCACACCTTTCTTATTTGGTGTGACATTTGAAGTTTTCCAGGGGTGAATGAAGGGTGAGGTTTGAATTTCTAGACAAAAGAGATTTCTTGGGCCACTCGACAGTGGGGAAATCAGTGGGATCAGTGGAAGGCAGCGGAGAGCAATCATCATGCAGAATCACCAATTTGAGGTGGTTACCTACTTTGCAAGGAGAAGGTAGATGTTGAGTTATTATTATATGGGATACAGTGGCAAGGAAAACTATAGTGGAATAACGGCATGTTTCAGAGATGAAAAGTCTTTGGCATGAGGAGGAGCAGAGCAAAGCAAAGCAAATTGGAGGAGCCAAAGAGCTGGGTCTACAGCTGGAAGCAATGCCGACAAGGGCAGGGCAGGGCATGGGTATTAGGGATAGTTGAAGAAATCACGATGTGGTTATGTCAAACCTCAAACTCAAATTCAAACTCAAGACGCATCCACCATGTTTAGCTACGGAATTGTGATATTCAGTTGTTTAGTGCCCAAGCAGCTGATGCATGCCACGGGAATAAAATTGGTGATTTGCCACTTGGGCATCGAGACTATCGAAAGATTGGCGAGGCTTGATCATCTAGCCATGTTTGGCAGGTGAAGGTTAATCAAAAAGCCTCTCTTTGTGAGCTAACTTGGGTCTAGAGCTACGGTATCTCGACCGCGCATACAGACAGAGTAGAGATCTGCAAAAGGTGTATTTTGGTACAATAGCAAATCATTCGTTTCACTTGAATAGGAGATAGATGGGATGTGCAGTATAACAAGCCACGCCTCCTCAGACTCCCCAGTAGGACTCGATACTTCAGACTTCAGAGAGAGGCCTGTCTCATCTCACCCATGTCATGACTAGACTGACGGCCTGAGAACAGCGGGTGCCAGCTCATCTGCGCGCGGGAGGTGACTTATAAAACAGAGCCAATCCAAGCTTGTGGAGTTCAACAGGAGCAGAGTAGGTGAGAGTTACACAGAGGAGAAGAGACGAGGGTGGGCTCGGGAGGAAAAGGATGGAGAGACGGGAGACGGGAGACGGGAGACGGGAGACGGGAGACGGGAGATGGGGGATAGGAGATCTGACGAACGGGTAGCTTGCTTGAGCTCATCGGACACGGGAACGTGCGTGGGGATGTACTTGTGTAAGTAAGAAGTAAGCGCATGTTTATGTGTGCGTTGTGTGTTGTGCTTTGTGCTTTGTACGCTGTGTACACTCTGAGTTGTTTGGTGATGGTGTTGATATGTCGTGTAACTAAGCAAGACTCGGCTGCAGGATATGACTATCTCCATGTTAGGGTCCTGGCTGGTTGCGTTATTTCATGTATAATATTCAACTACTTCGTATGCTCTCTAGACATAATCGTCGCTAAGCTTTGTAGATATTCAACTAATTAGTACATTAACCACACAACTACACAAGAGGCTGATGCCGATCCTTTCTCAGAACCCACCATACACACACACACACACACACACACACACACACACACACACATCTCGCTTACTCACTTATACATACATGTACGAGAAACGAACAACCAAAGACTGTGAAGCCATCCCCAAGAAACCCGACCTGACCTGACTTGACCTGATCAGACATGTCTTGTGTGTTTGGGTAGTTCAGGCATCAAGATGGGCGATGCAGAAGAGTACAAGAGTTCGTATGGGCTGTTGCTTGTGCAACTTGATCAGAAACATGGCTGCAAGCACGCGATCTGCGCGTCTTTCCAAGATCCTTTCCTTGGTGTTCCCTCACAAAAGGAGGAGAAACAGGGCAAGGGGAGATGCTTTGTTTTTCTCTCTTCTCTTCTTTCTCTTCTACTTGTGATACTGTAGGACAAAGGAAAGGAAAGGAATATAGTTAGGTACTTACCTATTAACTGTACAATGACCAAGCTGTTTTGGATAACATCACCAGCTCCCCTTACTTTATGTATCACAGTCACACGGCGAGAACAAGAACAAGAACAAGGACAAGATGCTTCTCGCATGACCGCGTGTCTGCAACTGCTTGGCTAGTTCCTCTCCTGTCGCGCTACATTGGCGTCACCTGTGGGTATCCATGTGGCTTTTCTCTTCCTCCCTGTATAGAACCCATGGTCCAAGAGTTAGTAGTTTATATAATTGTATTGTACGGGTAGAACCCGCTGCTTTGTGGTTCGGCACTGTGAGGCTCTGGCAGGTGGCATGCCAGCCATGTGTGCTGTGGATTGCCGTGGGACCTACACTACATAAGGTTTTGCTTGTTTTCTTCACGCCTGTCTATTATACAGTGTAGTACTGGTCCGTAGCTTGGTACGATTATATCACTCTGTTGCTCTTATTTGAGGCTTTAGGTATGTGAGGCCTCAGATTTGATACATGACAAAGAACATCGCGATCCTCAACCTACAGACATCTTGTTCCGATCGTTAACATGTTTGAGTTGCACAAAGCATATACCAGAGACAAAAGCATTGCATCAAAGTAGCGTAGCAATCATAGCTCGCGGTTCATTTCATAGATCATACATAGGTATCATTAACCTCCTCTCTGTAGCTCTAACTCTCGCTCTCGCTCTCGCTCTTTCTTGGTTCCCTTCCCTTTGATATTAGTACAAAACAAAGCACTTATTGCTGACGCTTCTCAACACCCTCACGGCCGACGTTGCTCAGGTCGACCTCCTCGCCCTTAGTGGCGGGCCCACGGAGGCCAGACTGAGCGGCGGCATCGGTGCCAACATGCCCCTCCTGCTTGCCAGAGCCAACGTTGACGGTGCTGGCATCAAGGGAGTTGAAGTCAGAGGCCTTGGGGGGCTGGTCGGGGAGAGGAAGGTTGGCCTGGGTCTCGGCGATCTTCTGGTCGTTGGACTGAGTCATTTTGCTTGATTTGCTGAGAGAATATGTTAGAACTGTGATTTTATGGTGAAATTGTAGATATTGATATGACTTACTGGTTTGGGTGTTGCGGTTGTAGTTGTGGTTGTGAAGAAGTATAGTGGAGATGTAGTAGACGACTTGATGAGTTGATAATGATGAACCTATTCTGCTTCCCTAGGAGCCCTTTAATATACTCTTCACAGAGCAAACATCTTCTCCATAATTACACCTCTTTCTCTCCAAATAAACACAGAATTTGACAAATTTTACATCACGATGCCTCTCACACATTGACGTCAACCCGTGACGTCAAAGCAACCTCACCCGTGCGTAAAGCTCCGGCCTCTTCCCCACAACAACCATCACGAAGTTTCTGACACATTCTGCACCGCAAAAATATTGCTCGACCCACGATAATTGAGATCGGGGATCGACCCGTTGGGCAATAAAGAGGAGACCGCAGGGAACATGACCAAGGCTACGTTGCCACTGCTTTCAGGTACCAAGTCAATCCTTGGTTAATCTGATTCGAGGGCCACGCAGCACGCGACATGTCACTTCTCACCATGGCAATATAATCAATCAATGGGTAAAAGTACCAAGAAATACGCATCTTGCTAAACTTAGATCTCACCAGACCAAACAAACGCGTCCATGTACAAGCCGAACCAAAACCGAAGCCCGGCGCCCAAAACGCCTCCAGTGCAATGCAGTGCAGTGATGTGATTGCAAGCAATACTGATATCCAACATCCAACCCGTCATGACGTTTCAGCCCCCACCATCTCATCTCAAACGTGGTTCTCTTCTCTTCCTTGCAAAATTGTCCATGTCCGTGTCCATGTCCATGTCCCTTTACCCTACTCGTCGATCCGTCTCCGCAGATGTTGCTTTCTCCCCAGCGTCTGGGTTGAGGTAATCTGCGTCCTCAGCCGCTTCGTACTCGCCAATCAAGTCTGCAACAACTTGACGTGCCTCGTCAAACTCGTTGAGATTCTCCGAGAACGGTGCTGTCTTCTTGTATCCTTCCATAAAGGCGTTGCGCTTACGCATGCCATCGTACTGTCTCAGAATTCTCTTGAAAAGCTGTATAGTTGGTCAGTATGAGTTCACCTGTATAGGTCATGAAGATTTGTTGCATACCGTCGCAATGCTTGTGTGATTGGCGAGCATCAGGCCGCTTACCCGATGGCTCATGGGGATATACGGACTCCTCTTTGTCAAAGCAACTTGGATACTCGCAGGTCCCCAAGGAATAAAGGTAGCTAAACGTCGTTCTCGAATACGCAGTAGACTCTTATGAACATCCGTCGGATCAACTTCACCCTGAATCACATTAAGAATTGAGATATAACAACTCTTCTTGCCAGGAACCGTAGACACCATGCGGTTCTTGGGTTGAAGCAATCGTCGCATCACGTCCAGCACTGTTGTCTTGCGAACCGTCTTGGCTTGCTCAACCTGATCACCAGTGAATGGCGTGTAGGCAGTCATGAGGAAATGGCACCTAGGTGTTGGGATAAGAGAGGCTAGGATGCTGACAAGATCGTTGTGCATGTAACCGGGGTATCGTAGAGTTGTTGTGCTGGCCGACATCACGGTAGCGACCTGGCAATCGTTAGTACCTTTACATTCGTTCCACAGCACAATTCCTGATATCTCTTCCACTCTATCTGGTAGCAGGGAACATAGTCAAGGTTGTAATCACTCACCAGTTGGTTGGTTTGTTGGAAAGACGGCTCCTGAACGTGCAGCCGGTCAGCAGCAATGTGCGATAGAGCACCGTTATCCAGAACGACAACCGAATCAGCGTTTTGTGTCAATCGCCGCATAGAAAGGATACTGTTGTACGGATGAACAACGACATCGCCTGAGTTTGTCGTGTCTGGGAAGACTGAGTATGTCTGGATGATCTTTTTGGGAAATCGATCGTTGAGCCTCTCAAGGAGGAACGAACCAAGACCTGATCCAGTTCCACCAGCAATTGAATGCAGCATCATGAAGCCCTGGTACATCCAGAGTCAGTGGGCAAGCCCTTGTTATGTAGAGTATGCTTACCTCGAGGGAGTCACTGCCATCGGCCTCGCGATCAATCATTTCCATGATATCCTCATACACTGCCTCACCACTCTGGTAACCATCACCCCAGTTGTTGGCCGCACCTACACCATCTTTACCCACATAGAAGTTCTCGGGGTTGTAAATGTTCTTGTAGGGCCCTGTCTGGATGCCGTTGATAACCTGCAAAAGCTGCTCAGCACTTGATCACCTCGTCAATATCGAATCGTAAGGACGCACCCTCGGTTCCAGATCGATTAGAATAGCTCGGGGGATATATCGCGTATCGTCGCTCTGGTAGTAAAAGACATCTTTGCGGTCACCACCCTCGGTCGCAAAATCCTCAAGGTTTCCATCTTGGCTGATACCATGTTCCTGGCAGAGCTGTTGCCAGAACTGGCTTCCAACTGTGCGTACGAGTAGAGTCAGCGAGGGTCAAACCATACATGGCGCATATATGATCGAGAAGTGGGCAAGAGAGGAGGCATAGTCGGCCGGTAAGGGTAGATGCGGTGTGAAGCTCGGTGATGATGCGATAGCGGGGGGAATAGAACTAACTGCTGTTGCCGCACTGCCCGGCCTGTATCGTGATGATTTCCCTGCGAACTGGATGTGAGCATTTGCACTGAGCAGATTTGTACAGGAGGGACAAGGGGCTGAAGGTACCTGGGCATTGTCGAGGGTCGATCAAGGGCTGGAAATGGGAAAAGATGTTGTTTTACGACCAAATCTTTTTTTGTTCATGCATCGTCTTGGGGAAGTTGACGCGACGCGTGCCGCACCTGCCCTGAACTTCCCGTTACTGATCCCCGCCCCCGCGTTTCACATGAGCCTCTAGTTTCTTGTCTTTAGCCTCAAGTGCCTGTCTTTAATAATGAAAGCACCTTGGAACGGCAACACTAATGACTGGTATTTGTACAAATTCTCACCACCAAAACACAAAGGTTGCACCTCAAACTGTTCCGAAAATATCGTATCAAAAACAACTTTTGTTATATTTCTTACAGTGGTCAAGTCAATTTTTGTCTGCTTGAGCTCCTCCCACGACACTGCCAAAGTCATCTCCCCCGTGAAAAATAGTATAAAACCTCGAATGCTTAACAACGCCCGCAATGCTGCTCCTCGAACCTTACCTTTCTATGTAAGCACGCAATAGTGTGCTTCTAATATACTATCCCCAAATTCTCGTTCCCATCCGCATTACTTCTTGTTGTGAACCTTGTTGTTCTCCAGCGCATCTGCAAGCTCCTTGGCCATATCCGCAGTCTTGACCTGGATCATCCAAGTCTCAAGTCCGTCGCCCTTTTCGTTTGATGTAGTCATCTTAACATACTTCTTGTCTGCCTTGTATGACATATCGGCCAAAACGGCTCGGTTCATGGCAATGTGTCCACGGGGTTCTGCTCGCAATAGCAGGCGCACAACATTCGTCTCCTTGTGCTTGAGCAATCGAAGAGCTCCCACACCCTGTGTTGACCATGGACTCTGCGACTTGGGCTTCTTATCATCCGACTTCTCTCCGGCCGGCACAAACTTCAACACCTTTGCTCGTACATCGTGCATAACATCCTCGTCCTGTTCCAGGTTCTCGACTAAGTTGACCTGCTCGTGCTTCTCGCCATCTTCGTCGCCTCCGGCGGCTCCTTCGGTTTGGGCAGATGGCTCCGGGGTCCCGCCAGCTGGTGTTGTGGCCAGGCTAGAGCCTCCCCCAAGACTGAACGGTGTGTCTACACCCGTCGCTTTAGTGGGGCGATTTTCCGGTGTGGAAAAGGAGACTTACTGGTCCCAGTGGTAGAACCACCAGCAGGCGGTTGGAGGTTGCCGTTGCCAAAGGCCGGGGCGGGCTGGTTGGATCCGAATGTTGGTGTCGAATTTTGAGCTGGCGAGGCTCCTGTGAAACTGAATCCAGGCGCTCCAGTGGAAGCTGATGCGCCTCCAAAGCTAGGGGCACCGTTGCTGTTTGCTCCAAAGGATGGTGTTGGTGTGCTGTTACTGGAACCTCCAAACTGGAAGGGGCCAGGACCTCCGGAGGGAGCTGTGGATGCGCCAAAGCTGAACATGTTTCCAGATGCGGCTGCAGGGGTAGAACCAGCGTTTCCTGCGTCTGGTCCGTGGGTACCAGAAGTGAAAGGGTTGGTGAATGAGGAAGAGGCCGAGTTTCCACCAAACTGGAACCCAAATGATTCATTGGCGGACGAGTTTCCTCCAAAAGATGAGCCTGCGTTGTTAGCAGCAGGAGTGGATGTAGCGGCGCCGAAGAGAGGCGTAGAAGAGACAGGAGCAGCAGAACCGGCGCCAAATGAAGGAGCAGCAGAAGTGGTTGAGGCACCACCAAAGCTGAAGATGGGTGCGGCCGAAGCTCCAGCACTTCCACTTCCGAATGCCCTCTTAGCCGGCGATGGTGCATCCTGCTTCATGGGGCTACCATCAAGCCCGGTTATACCAGACGAAGTAGGTGACTTAGGCGCACCAAAGAGAGGCTTTGAAGCACCATTGACCTTATCAGCACTGCTAGAAGCCGCCCCGAAGCTGAAGATAGGAGCTGCAGCAGGCTTGTCTGCCGCATCGGCTTTAGGTGCAGTCGCATCACCAGAGCTGGGAGCGCCAAACATAGGTTTAGCCGTAGGTCCCGAAGCATTGCCGAACAAGTTGCTGGTGGTGCTTGCGGGTTTGGCCCCGAACAGAGAAGTAGTGGCAGATGTGTTGCTAGCAGCGCCGAAGAGCGAGGTCTTGGGTGCCTCAGTAGCAGCGGGCTTGGCTCCAAACAGGGTAGATGATTGCATTACAGGTCCGCTGGATTCCGCGGGCTTGGTTACAGCGCCAAATAGATTGCCAGTTGGCGCGGGTGTGCTAGGCTTGTCATCGGACTTGGCCCCAAACAATCCTGTGGTAGGCTTTGCGGGTTCAGAGATCTTAGGTGCTTCGGCGGCTGGTTTGGGCGCAAAAAGCGATCCAAAGTTAGGCTGAGTCGCTGGGGCCTTAGATTCAAACATCGACTTCTTGGGAGCTTCGTCGTTCTCTTTGTCAGATTCGCCTCCTGTTTTGTCATGTTCCGAGGTGGGTGTTGGTTCCTTCTCAATAGACCTAGCGGTACCAAACAGGTTGGAAGAAGTGGTAGGCTTAGAGCCGAACAAAGAACTTGTTGATGTCGAAGGGGCTTTTCCAAACATGGAACCAGCCTGGCCTGTAGCAGCAGAGGTAGACGGGGCAAACTTGATGGGAGTAGTGGTGGGGTTCCAGGTCTGATCGGTGGGTTTTACTACCGGCACCTCAGTCGCTGTCTCGTCCTTCTCTGCAACGCGAACAGGCTGTCCGTCGTTGTTCTTAGTGACCCTGTCAAACAAGCTTCGGCCAGGTGTGCTTTCTCTAGTTCCAGGAGCACTTGACCCAGCAGCCAGTCCACTTGTAGGGGCGGTCTTCTGTCCAAACAATCCGTTGCCAGCTTGAGAAGCCGTCTCGGCGCCGCTAGCTGCCGCACTTGGCTCATCGCTGTGGCCGGTGGCCTGACTGTCATCCTCTGCCTCCGAGTCTGCCTCGCTCTCAGCGTCAGCATCGACACCGCTGTTCTTGGCTGAGCTTGCATCAGAGAGGTAGCCAAAGATGTTTCCACCTGAAGAAGCGCCAGCACCAGTACCGGCAGCGGCAGGCTTAGCGCTCTGCTGGAAAATGCTGCGGGCAAGTGCGCTACCACCGCCATTGGTCTTGTTGAAAGCGAAAGGGTTTGGCTTGGCAGCAGCGCTGTCATCGGCAGGCTTGGAAGAAGGCTTAAAGGGAGAGCCAACAGGAGTGGTTGTTGACTTGTTGGCGATCTTCTCGAAGAGAGATTTGGCAGCAGACGCTGTGCCCTTCTGCATCTTGGATGGTTGGCTTTCAGCTTCTTCACTAACCGAAGTCCTTCGTTTGTTCTTGCCTAGGGTAGAAGCAGGGGTAGTGATGGGAGTTGGCGCCGGCGGTGCCTGCACCTCTTCACGCTCAGGAGCACGTCGCTTGTTGTTGGCAGACGGGCCGCTGACTGCAGCATCCATGTCGACATCATCATCTGCCTTGCGCTTCTTGTTGGCTGAGGCTTTGGCCGGAGAAGGCTCGGCGTCCTCCTCCTCAGGCTCGGGAAGACCATGTTCCCGACGCCATCTCTTGAGAACCTCCTTAGAAGGCCTCACATTCTGAAACTCGTAAAGACCGTATCGCAACAGAATGATGCTCCTGCTCTTTTCAAACTCCTTTGCGAAGTTGACAACGTTGAGCTTCCAATCCTTTTTGGAGAAGATTTCGTTAGCCGCATATTTGAGTCGTCGAAGATCGAGGATGCAGAAAAATTGCCGTCGCTGCTCGTCGTCGAACTCGGGAGGACACAGGTGTGAAAGGAACTGATCAGCGTAAATAGAACCCTTTGTGTTCCAGTCTTGGGGAATCTTTTTGGTTAGGACCTCTCCAGACAGCTCAGGATCGGGGTCTGCGATACGCATGTGGAACAGCTCCGTGGAAGTGGTCTTCGCTGCCATGCCACGAGGCGTAGCCTGTGCAGTCGATGCTCGAAAGACACGGTTTGGCTCGGGGGTAGCGCCGGGAGCGAAGACCTTCTTTGGGGTATTTTGAGGGATACTCGGAGCGAAAGGAGTGACGGAAGGACTGTCGGTTGTGGTGGAGGCCCGGAAGATGTTACGGGAGGTAGAAATTGTTGATCTATTGAGACTGCTCGATGGAGTTTCATCGCGAGTCATTAACAGCCTCCGCGACGGTGCGCTCTGAGGAACACCAAGACGGCTGCTTTTTAATGGTGTCGAGACGTAGGCGCGCTTCGCAAATGGTAGAGCAGGTCGTGGCCGAGGCGTGCTGCTGCCAGCCTCGGCGAGCTCGTTATCGCCTGGAATAGAAAAGGTAACCATCTTGCGCGATGGTGGGCGGATAAAGTTAAAGGGGGAAAGGGTTGGCGGATGAAGGCCAGATGGTGATGGACCACGATCGGGGAGACAAGGCCAAGAGGTCGCGTTTTTTTTAACTCGACGTGCGTAAGGTAGGAGGTAAGTAGGTTACGTGACCTAACCCAAGGTAAGGGTATGAGAAAGGAGAGGGAATAAAGAGAAAAGTAAATGGGAGTAATTGATGAGAAGCAATCAAGATGCAGCTAGAAAAGCTGTTCCTGTTCCTGTTGATGAGCGATGCGGCGTTGATGGCAGCGCAGTCGCATTAAGCCCAGGGTCGCCCTGGGAAACCGTCACGAAAATATGAGAGGAGTTGTACGAGAAGAATGTTTTGGCCGTGCTCTGGGGCTTTGGGCTTTGGGGGGACCGAGCTGCTGATGAGCGGCTGATGACCCTCTCTCAAAAGATTTAAAATGGGTCTGCCATTCCCATGTAACCTGTGGGTAGTCTCCCTCTTTCCCCAGCTCCAGGCCACAAGGTAGCTTCACCAGAAATTCTCAGGCACCAAAAACCGGTTGCGACCACCACCACTTGGACGAACTAAGGCATCATACTGCATCTCTCAGTGGATGACTTAGTACCCAGATGTTGGTGACATGCAGGTCCCGTGACTGGCGTACGTACATCATCATGGATTTCTTCACGGTGCATTCATGTTGTTGCCTTTGTACGGGCATTGTCTTGCACAAAAATGACCTTTTCAATCGTTTCTCCTAGCATTTCTGATACTTCAGTGGTCAACGGTGGAATAAACACCAACTCCGATATATCCAAGTACATCATTCGTAGGACACAGCACGTTTACATTAGCCTTGGCCTTTCCATCGTGCAAGCTGTAACGGCCATCTTGACTTACCAGGTTCGGAATCGGGACATTTTGGGTCTTTGCTAAGCGCCGAAACCAGACTTTACATCATAGCAGCATCAAGCATGCATAAACACCATGTCCTATTGATCGCATTCCTATCAGCTAGCCTAACTACCCAAAGAGCGTGGTCTCCCCCTCACGAAACGGGTTCCTGATTTAGTTCGAAGATGTTTGGCTGCAGCCTTCTATGGCAAGCCTGTGGGGATCCTCGTCGACGTCAATAATGGCGACCGAGATGATCGTGGAAATAATACACAATGTAAAGAGAGGAGGCGTTACAAGTAAACTTATCAAAACATCAAAAACAATCCCATAACTCCATAGAAATCCTTTGCCAATAAATCAATCACATCTACCCTTACTTGGTAGCGAGCTTCTTCTTTTGCTCCTCCAGATACTCTTCATCCGAAGCATCTAGAATATCGTACTCTTCATCTGTCATGAAACCACCTTCAGAGTAGTCCCATTCGTCATCCATATTGTCTGACTCTTTGGGCTCCTCAACGGCGGGGATAGGCTCAACCGCCTCGTGAATACTGGCCACAGGTGACTCCTTCTCCAGCTTGGGGAAGATCATCTGGCTGGAGGCTAAGCTCTCTTCCTCAAGCTTAGGCTCCTCGACAGGCGTGGGCTCCTGCTTAATCTCAGGCTCGGGCTTAGGTTCCTCCTTAACCAGTCGGACGTTGACATCGCACCACAGTCGGTGGCCAAACTTCTCACCATCGGGAGCAGTCAGGCGCCAGTAGGAGATGACCTTGCCAGGGCGGGCGGGTGTTCGGAGGAGAACAGTGAAGGGGAATTCCTGACCGGGTCCAAGGGGAGCGTAGCACACGTTGGATTCAGAGGCCGAAATAAGCTCGGAGATGCGGGCAGGGTGGTTGGAGTCTACGTGACCCATGTAGTCACCGCTGACAAATCTGACAGAGCACCCGGCGGGCCAGTTCTCCTTGCCTTCGTTGCGAAGAGTCCAAGTTTGCTCAAAAATGGTGTTGGGCGCCATGATGGTGCCGTCAGGAATGGTCTCACGTATGAAAGCACCCTTGAATTCCGTCTTGGGAGTGGGAATAGGCTCAGCAGCGGGGGTTTCCTTCTTGATCTCTGGCTCTGGCATCTCAATAGTGACCTTGGAAGGAGCGGGTTCGGACGGCTTCACGTCAACAATCGTGCGAACGGGGTTAATAGAGTTGCTAGGGGCCGCAGATGCGGTCTCAGTAGCCTTGGGGGTGGTCCGTCGGTCTCCCATATCTGGCATTCGCTGGCCATCCTGCTCCTGGCCACTGGTGGTAACACTGATATGGCGGACAGGTGTCTTGAACTGGATCAAAGGATGTGTCTTGTTGTGGTTGTTTGTAGGGCTGGCTTCGCAGTTGGCACAGAAGTCCAGATCGCTGCAAATAGCGCACTTGTATCGAGTGCCACGGATGTAGTTAGGATAGACATCGCTTCCAGAGCAAAGAGGTCCATCACAGCAGATGCCAATGTGAACGGCTGCTGGTGCGCGGAAGCGGACATCTTTAAGTGGTTCGTAGATTGGCGCGAATCGGTGACCAGGGTGAATGATCCTGACTGATTGCATGCAAGTGGAACAATAATCCCAGTCAGGGCAGTCGAGGCACTTATGACGAATACCTGTAATGTAGTTGTCACAGCCATCACAAATGGCGTGATGCGAGTGGTTACGGCCTGGGCTCATCTTGGCTGTGATATCGGTGGACATCTTGGTGCCCTTGACAGCGGGGGTGAAACCGTGCTTGGGGTGATGCCCATGAGCATCCTTGGCGAAGCATTGCTGGCAAAGGTCAAAGTCCTCGCACACGGTGCAGTGCAAAAACTCGGCCTCTGGGTGTTCTAGTAGTCTGTCAGCTTGAAGTTGTACACACACAACATATTCATTCAGGCACGTACCCTGCACACAACAGTTGCAAGTTCGCATGACACCCAGCGACGCCCAGGGAGCAGCGAGGGGCTCAAAAGGAGGAGGCCTGGGGAATGGACGAGGAACACTAGATACGATCTTGGGCTCGACCTTGGTCTCAATGGTTGTCTCAACCTTCACCTCAGACTTGGACTTGGGCTTGGGTGCGATGGTTTCGGTGGTGCTCTGGACGAGCTGTCCGTGGATGGTTGAACGCTTAATCAACCAGTGGTCCCGGCCGTGACAAGTGATACCTTGGTCAACGCAAGACTGGCAGAGATCAAAGTCTCCGTCGTCGCAAGTGGAACAGTGGTAATGGACATTGGGGATGGTCATCTCGCAGCTGTTGCAGCAAACTGCGAAACTGGCCAACTTGTTGAAGGAGGGCAAGTTGTCGGTAGGAAGCGCAAAGGGCTTAGGGACAAAAGGGTACTGCTGACCATGAGCCGTGTAAAAGGGTTGGGATCCGTTGTTTGGCAGCGACTGTCGTTCCATCAGGTTAGCAAGTCGGCTCTCAAAATCCTGGCGGGCGTCTTGTCGAGCTCCGATGTACTTTGCAGCATCGCTAAGAAGAGCCGCATTGTAGGTCCGGGACAGAGGGTTGATACGGACCGGAAGAGTGGTCTCGGGCGGTGTGACATCTGATGCCGGAGTGGGCGCAGGGACCTCGGGGGCGGGCGTGGGAGCTGGGCTGGCCTCCTCTGGGGTTTCGCGAGCTTCTTGGGGAGCCTCATCCATGCTCATAGGGGCAGACGCAGATGCAGAAAGCTCGGGTTCGTCCTCAACAGTGACAGGCTTGGGTACTGTAGCCTTGGGCTGTTCCTTGACGGTGACTCGGATCTTGAGCTTGGACTTTGCCTTAGCGGCGCGGTAGAGCTGCTTGTAAATAGGAATGTTGCCGGCCTGCAGAAGGACGAAGGAGGCAGCGGAATCGGAGTATCGCTCAAACACGACCTCGGCGTCTGCGGGAATGTGCAAGAAAGTGCGAATCTGAATGACGTGTTAGTCATTATTCGAAAGGTCAAAAGCCGCCAACCTCAGCTCAGCCTACAAAATGGGTTTTGTGGCAAGAGATGATGGGGTATTTGAAGTTCTCCAGTATTGAGAATGGGTTTATAACGTACATTAGACTCGAGAGTTCTTGGGACCATGTCTCGAAGGGGCATCTTGGTACGACGAGTGATGCCCTCGTACATCACCTTTACGGTGATGACATGGTCAAGACTAGAGTTGTGCGTCGGAGTAGCCATTTTGGCGATAGATACAGATTCCCGATACTGCTTCAAAGAAAGACAGATTAGGGACAAATTCTCACCGTACCTCAATCCGCGACGGATGAGGATGATAAAAGGAAGAGTGACGATGGCGGAAGGTGGAGTCTTACACGAATGGTAGCCTGGGGCGGTGACGAGGATGCTATCTAAGGTGGAGATAAGCAATCGGCGGTGACAAGACGGCCGTCACCCGTCGTCAAATCGTTGATAGTCGCGGTGGAGGTAGTTTGGTAGAGAGAGAGAGAAAGATTAAAAACTCTCGTGATGTGGGAAATATGAAAAGGGGTTTGAAGGAGAGAAGAGTGAGATGATGGAAGAAAGAAGAGAAGAGGATGAGGATGAGGAGGCAGGAGAGGAATAAGAAGAAGTAAAGCTTGTTACTGTGTACGCTGTACGCAGGCTCGAGCTGCCTGAAGCCCCGGGGTGTGTGCTGTGAGTTACTGACACGGGATTTAAGGTACGGTGGTACTAATCGTGTTCCAGAAGAGGTACTTACACACTACAAGTACGCCAGTCCTGCATGCTATTAAGTTTGAATGGGGAGTAAAGTAGTGTGGCTGTATCTACCAACCTAGGTGACTGTGAATGTAAGCGAATGGCGCTGTAACTCACAACGATTGATCATTGGGGATGGACTGGAAAACTCCCTGCACCAGCTGACGGGGGATGGGTCCGGGCTGGGCTGCCTTGGGGACAGAGGGGGGTCGGTCGATCGGGGCCCTTATTTGGTGTTAGTGCGAGACTAGAGTCACCTATCAAAGGGTGATGAGAGCTCCCCGTATCGAGCGAGAGGAAGCCTCGTCAATGGAGGGATGGCCGATGGCGACAACTTAGACGCAACACTGGGGCAAAAGAGCAAGAGGGCAAAGGCCCAAAAGGTTTAAAAGATGCAGGCAATACTGATGACGACGAGGTCTCAGCCGAAGCTGGGTTGTACCGTAGGTGGTACTCTGTACCCAGCACCAGTATTGGGTTTCTGGACAAGTCCAGTTTGTTCCAATTGATTACCAACGCAGTGACTGATTGATTGATTGATTGATTCACCTCATGTGTCTTTTTGTTATGTGGTGCAGCAGGCCTTTGAGTCCCCAACTCTGAGTTTTGTCTCTGAGGGAGGTTCTGAAGTCAGGGCAGCTATCAAACGGAGCAAGGGAACTGTAGCTTTCTGCTCTTCCCTGTGACCTGATTCATTAACAGCCATGATGTGGAGTTGGTGTTAGCCAGGCGACGAATAGATACATGCACGACTAATGTTCCAAGGCAAGTACCTATCAGTATCAATCATTGACTTTCTCACACTCGCTGTATCGTATCTTGCCGAAAGTCTTGTACCACTGGGATCTTCGAATTTGGGGTATTCCGATTTGCTTGAAGCTATTCTCCAGATTTCACTCTTCATCTTGGACACAGAGAGAAGCACGAGATCTCCATCCGCACACGGCTGTAACAATGACTGTCTCTCCAAAACTCTCTAAAACTGATTAAAACTAAAACTAAAACTCCCCCGGATTGAAAAAGAAGTGGAGAGCCGTAGACTGTGGAGTGGCGTCTGGCGCCAGAAGCTCTAAAAGAGGGGCCGAGAATTCCGCGACTTGGTCTACGATAGGGCGGAAGTCTCCTCGACGCCCTACTATCAAGTCCCAACCCCAGACGTTATCTGTGGACAGGTACCACATGACATGACGGCAAACACCTTGACTTCACGCTCCACGCTTCACCTCACCGATGCCCGCCCATACAATTACGCTATTGGGTGCTGTGATGGTCACGGACTCAAGGGTCGCGGTCACGATGGTCTTGAGCCCCTGGAGTCTGGAGAGCATCCTCCCCGCTTTCAAGCCAGGTATTATGGCCGGATATAGCTTAAGCTGAGATGCTGCAGATGCTTGTCTTTCTTGTTTTTGTTACCGTGGTAAAGTTTTAATTCAAGATTTATATAATTATTCTGCACTCTGTACGGAGTTCAGTATAAACTCTCTGTATATGAGGGTAATGCTAATTAAATATTGATACCTGAAAAGCCACAGCAAGGCAACAGACTTGAAACAACATGGTGAGTGGCCAGACAAGCTTGGTCAGGCTGCCTTTGTTTATCAGTCTCGAGATCTATTCTGTTTGATTCGACACCAATATCTCATTCGCCATCCCCAGGCAAAGAGGGTGTATCTGGTCTCACCCTCACTCTCACAGCTACAGTACGCGTGCTAAAGGTCACCTAAACGTCGTTCGCCGCCGCCGCTATCGAGAGTAAGAGTTTCTTCTGTGGTTGAAACAGGTGTTCACTGAAACATAGGTGGCTATTTAGTAGGGTAGTCAAAAGGTATGCGCTCTCATCAAGATAAACAGCACGAGCGATTGATCATCAGGGCTCGGAAGCCATCTGCAGTATTGATACTGATACACTCGCACTTAATCCACCCATAAACCGAGCTTGTACCTTGCCTACGACTTTGTTCACCACAAGCTTTCGTCAAGGCCGGAATTTACTTAATGGCAGCCCCGAAACGATGACTGTCCAGTATCTGATAGACTGATAGTGCACCATCTTGATGATACGTACATATGTTATTGCTTTCAACCTCCGGCTTATCAGATAAATGATGTGGTTTCATTTCAACATTCATTACCGCCATAACATACTTGGACACCTTAGCAATCCAAACATTGATATCCGCAATGCATGTTACACACTATCACGCACATTGCACCACCCCTTCTTGTCTCCCCCGCCCTCTCCAAACCACTACCACAACCTGTCTGACGCGGACCTCGGAGATCTTGAGCTAAAAAGAGAGCTCCATGCAGCTTATCCGGCTACGCGGTAGGACTAAAGACTGGGGAGCTGGATGGGACTGTCAAGTACTCCGTAAACAAGGCGCTGTTTGCATGAAATTGGCTTGTTGCGCTGCCATTTATTGGTTACCGTGTGCATTTTGGCCCAATTTGTGTTGTGGTTGATTCTCACATGCGACTTGTCAAAGTGCATGAGTCGTTCGACCTTGACATGGGCGTCCTCCCTCCCACATGCATATATGCATACACGGAACCTTTTCAAGCCTACAGCTTACTTCTACCTAGGTATTAAACATGATATGGGGAAGCTACACTAACGTTAGCTATGCACATATTGTCAACTCGTGACTTCATTACCCCATCATGTCCCCACATCTTGTTTACTTCGTATTCCCATCATGTACCCTTGTACATATTGCTGCCCTCATTGCGGGCTAACCTACGGATACACATTGATGTTTGAGGCACTCTTTCTTGCCCGCACGGAATACTTCGACAAGAACAACAATGACTTATACTGTTACCAAAGAGTATCAATTCATCAATATCAATCGCTGACGAAAACAGGTATATAATGTGCCCAACGCACCAAACGCCCTTGCCATGAAGATACAACACCCACGTATAATCATATAGCACAAGATGCACAACTCTGAGGGTAAATAGATGGATTGCTAAGGCAGACACAAACACCCATAGCAATTCAGCGCCCCTCAACCTCCCTCATCTCTCGCCAACCCCCTTTCCGATATTCCAGGCCAAGGAAAGCCCCGTCTCCCACCCGTGATAAAAAAAAATACCCGTCAGGCTACTCCTGCTCACTCAACTCCTGTCTGTAAATCAATTCCAGGTAATGATGTCGAGTCCATAATGATATGAAATTATAATAATGCATCCGCTTCGTCCCCCACAATGAAGCTATTCAGGCACAAAATAAAGTCATTCCCCATAGGCATGATTGTGCTAAACAAGGAATGACTTCACATCAAACCATAGTTTTCCCCTCCTTCTTCCTGCCATGCTCCTGGCCCTGTTGGTGCCCTCGTGGGACTTTTGTTGTAAAGTAGCAGCTGCTTTTGTGTTTTTTTGTAGGTATAGAGTCATGATTGTGGCTATTAAATCGGATACGGGTAGAACGCATGTGGAGAATAAGTAAAGAAGGGATATCCTGACATGCCCCAGTTCTACTGCGGATAGTAGACCATGCCGGATGCCTGCTGAGGATAATAAAATCCATCCGGGCTGGGTGTCACCATACCACCCATGCCCATGACACTTGGCTGGTAGCTTTGAGGCGCGGAGTATGTAGGATAATTGTTAACCGGCGGCAACTGAGATGCGTCATAGTAGTAAACCATTCCATTCACCTCTTGTGCCACCAGGCTGGAGCCTGATGCTGGAGGTGGACCGTTGTTGGACATGACAGGTTGCTCCGGCTGGTTCTGAGGTGTGAAACTGCCAGAAGGTCCTGGCTGATTAGGTACATACGCGGGTGCAGAACCAGGTGGCCCCATGTTAGGGTTGTTGTAGCTAGGTGGGTAGTAGTATCCCTGCTGAGGCTGCGCTTGGTAAGGCTGCTGGTTATAATAGGGCTGCTGGCCGTAAGTGTTGGGCTGGAATGGCGCAGCGTGAATGGCTCTTTCAGGAATTTGAGATAGCGGTGTTCCAGTAGAATGTTGAGACGGGTAAGAAGGCTGGCGAGTATGTGATTCTTGAGACAGTCCATTAGACATTTGGATAGGCACCTGTTGATGGAAGGCTTGCTGATAGGCTTGAGGACCTTGCGTCAACGTAGGTGACTCAATGTCAGCAACAGAGATGTTCTTCTGTGGGCGAGGTTGATGCATGGGCAACGCCGATGTGGGCCGGTTCTCCTGGAAAGCTGGCTGCTGTTGGTTATCATGGAAAGCTGGCTGGCCCTCCTGGAACCCTGGCCTTTGTGGAAGAGGGAAGGCCTGGGGGTGAGGAAGGTTGTGAATTGACAGAGGCGCTTCGGTCGCGAAAGCTGGATCACCTGCCCCATAGGCAGGAGCTGGGACACCCATGTGGGAAAGCATTGGGTTCAATGGCATCTCCGGTCGCGGAGCTGGGGGGAGTCGAACAACAGGTCGAGCGTTCTCGACCGGGATAGGTGGCCGTGAGATGACGGAACCTGTAGGAGAGAACATATAATCACGGTCCACAATGGAAGACCGCCTGCTCATGGCCACGCTAGGCGAGTAAACGCTGCCGTAATAGCTACCACCGCCGAATACGCTTGTTCGTCTCGAGAAACCACCCATCGAGCCATACCCGCCGCGAGGCTTTCCTCGCATCCGCTGCTGGTTAGGTCGCATCGCTCGGGGGATGAAAATGAAAGATCTATCAGCGGCAGGATAGATATACCGAGGAGGATTATTAGGAAGCGAGATCCGGACGGGCTTATCCCGACGTAGGGGTGGTCGATGGTCGGGTAGCTTGGTGTACTGTTTTACTGCGAGACCTGGAATCATGACCGGGGCCTTCATGGACGGAAGAGACACCCGGACCTGTGCGTTACCAATGTGTTTCTCAGTTGAAAGAGTCCTGTTAATGGGTGTCGGGTTAGGATCACATGTTGGAATGAAGCCATTTCCGTTGGCAGGACCCTCTTCTTCCACCATATGTCGAGGGCGTGCTGGGGGCGGCTGGGGAGGCGGTGCTACAACAGTCTCGTGCATATCATGAGTCCACGGGGAATTGGTCGTTGGATCTCCTGGCTGGTGCAATTGACTGTGTTGGTTAGCATATGGATGGAAGCGGACAGACGGACGATGACATACTTGATGGGAGCAAAAGGTCCTCCAATACCACCACGGCCGCCTCTACCTCTGCCACGTCCAAAGGGACGAAAGCCATTTGCTGCAGGCCCAGCATGCCTGTGATCATGCATGAAGAAAGCACCGCGATTGGGCACGAAGGCTGGATCCTCATCTCTCTTTTTCTTGTAGTCCTCATGCTCTTGTCGACGTCGATTGCCAGGAGCGACAGGTGGCCTGGCGGATGCTGAGCTCACCACTATGGGAGCAGAAGGTGATTTGCTAGGTGATGGGGCAGCAACATCGTCGAAATGCATTTCCTGGACCGGAGGAGACTGGTCAGTGATGGACAAGCCGTGCAGCATCATATCCGTATCTGTCACAGGCTTGCCGTTCTGGCCGGAGCCGGAGCCGGCCCCCGACTTGTGGACATGCCCGGCATGCTTAGCGGCGCCATTGACCTTCCTCCTCGCATTTGGAGATGTTGGCGAGGCGTCGTCGATGTTGCTGGTATCGCTATCATCAGCAGGATCATTATCGTCGGTCAAGGAGCCGTCGGTGATAGAATCGTCATCGAGGTCGAGGCCCTCCGGGCCACCCTCGTCTTCGCCCTCATCCTCGACACGGCGACGTTGCCCGATAAGCTTTCTACGGCGAGGAGTAGCAGAGGCCATAATTGCGCAGCGGTGAAAGAGAAGAAGGAGCCGACAGAGGGGGCTTCGGAGACTCGATGGTTGGGATGCGACAGGGTTCGCAGGTCATAGGGCGGCGGAGGCCGTGGAAGGAAAGCGATGGAATCGATGAGATGACGAAACGATAGACAGTTGAAGAGCCGTTGGAACCAAGACCGGCCGGCGGTAGACGATGATAATAAAGCAGAAGCCAGATAACGGATGAAAATAAGCTGTAACAACAAAGTGCAACCAAGCAAGCAGCCGCTAGACGAAGAAAATGGTTGATAACGAGTTGGGGAAAGGGCAAGGGAGGAGACTCGTTGTCAGCTCTCAGCCGCGACTAAAAAAAACTGCAGCTCTGGGTCGTTGATGGAGAGCAAGGTGAGAGGAACTTAGAGCCGGGCGAGGAGGAAGAGGCGGCGTGTCGAGGTTGTGGGGGAGGGAGAAGGAGAAAAGATGCAGGAGCGGGAACCAGGAGAAGGAGGAGGAGGAGAGGGAGGTAAATTTAGAAGATGGATAACCTAAAGATGGATGCCCTGGGTTTGGTGGTGATGGTGTCTGTCCCGTCTGGGTCTGGCTGGGCTTGTGGTCTGTGTCCAACAAGACAAGATTTTACTGAGCTAGGTACGGTAGGTACCTACATACAGTACAGTACTAGTTAGAGTACCTACCTGGTTCTGTAAGGTAAATCGGATCGCCAGGAAAACCTCCTGGGTCCCCGGCCGATGAGAGAGGCCCCAGCCTCTGTTACTGAGCTTCAGAGGACATCCAAGACTCCAAGTACCACACACGCAGATATGTGGTGCGTTGTGACATGTCAGACCCAGTGCCGTTTCCAGTTACCCCACTACCAGCTAACGTTAGCAGCCCAGATTCAGAATGGAAACATTGAGGTGAGCTTTGAGTTGGTCTCCACTGCGAAGCTAACAACAACCAACAACAACCAACAACCTATCGTCTATCCAACGCCGATGAGCTTGATTCACATCATCCTGGTATCATCCAACACCAGCATGAGGTGGACATAACAGCAGCATCCGATAAAAGACTCACTCCGAATGCAGCTTCTGTCCATTCCTACCTCGAACATAAGCACGCTTTCGCTGCGCAACCCACCAAATATAACCACAACACACGACAGTCTTCTCTCGCTTGATGCGACTGGAGGTGAAGGGAGGCTCAACGCACCAGACTGCGCGTGCGCGACTCACGGCACGACCTACCGATGCACCCAACCACACTGTACCAGAACATGAGGATCTGGAGAATAACTAACGTATAATGGCAGAGCATGAGTGTCCGTAGGTGCAGACCAGCCTCATGCATTGCGTTGAATTTGGGATGCCCTATCCATATTTGATATTGATCTTATTCTACATTACTTTACTAATGCAAGTTACTGGCCACATTGCCTCATGAGACATCCAGTTTTTGGCCTGCGCTAGTTGCAATAAGGTATAGCTACAGTAGCTTGGTGTTGTTGCCCCACGCCAGCTCCAAGACAAGGCGACTGCGCAGACCAGCATGGGTTTAACCACATTAAATTCAACACACCACTATGCTGTATATATAAAAGAGAACATATTCTGTAGACTTCCTACTCATGTTCTTTTTTTAATACAAGATTAACATCTGAAGAAACATATCAGATTCAACTTTCCAGATGAGGCTGGTCTCCGGAAGCTTCCATGATTATACCGAATTACGCTCATTTTATCGTTGGTGTTGAGCAGACAACAAGCCGTCATCTGGCATTGTGGACGGAGTATAATGCCATCCAATTATATGAAAAATCGCCGTATTACCCCTACGCGGCAGCCCTTAGATAAGCCCTGCCGGGTAATATATCAGAGCAAAAATGATACGGGATTGTAAACTTAGATATATGGCCATAGTTTATGCCACTTATGCTGAACTCTAAATATTATGATATATAAAGCAAGCTGTCGCCCCTCACTCTTGTCTAAGGACCTGTACGCATATCCCCTTTTATATTTGGCTTCATGAAGACGCACAATGGATCGAGCTTACGAGTTGACCTATTTCTACTACGGGCCCCAAGTACACAAAGACTTGAGGATAGGGTCGTCATGGCACCAATTAATGATGTCACCTGGCAGGTACTTTGCCGCTTTCGATCGAGGTTCCAACCCGTATGGCCCAGGACCAGAAGTCACTGATCCTGAGTATCAAGGATGTCACTTGAGGCCTTGGATCGTGGAAGCACCCTTCAACTCTGTTGAAATCTTCGAAGCTATTCTCAAGCCGGATAAACCGTTAAGAGTTCACAAAACTAGACTTGTCCGCCGGCATCGTGCTAGCGTTGCTCTCTCGTCTGGGTTCCATGGCCAAAGAGGACTCATCGCACGACAAAGACGATACGCAGAATATGCTCGCTTTCAAGGTCGCTTGGAGCAGGATCGCGAGGTATCGGTTTTATACCTCCCTGCGAGGGATTACGATAAAATCCTGGATGCCGTTAAGCCTTTCTGTTATCCCCTGCATCTCGTACACCTGTCAATACCTTGGCGTGATAAGCTGAAGTTCCTATCAGGTCTGATACCCTACCAGAGACGCGGTCCTAGACGCAAGGCCACATACCCAGAGGTACTACAGGGCTTCCTAAACCACCTGGGCATACCCGACTGTGATTTTCAACGCAGCCTACTTGAGCCAGGAATCACACCGCTTCCCGACAATCTAGAAGACTTGATTGAGGGGATACCGGGCGCGAGTATTGCACTGCCATATTACCGAAAGGTCAGCGAAGTTACGGAGGGGGGTATCAAGGAGGAGGAGGAAGGACACGGGCTGTAACTCAAGTCAGTTCGAGAAGAAGCACCATAAGCTGTCAAGGCACTTAAGTAAACACAAAATGTCAGGCAGAGCATGGGAAATGTTCGAGAGGAAAAGTGCAGACTCGATTCTTTGATTATTGTATATCTATACTTATAATTAGCACCCTGTTACATTCAACAAGAAGCACGGTATATTGAACTTACTTTTGGTCGTCTCAAACCAGCAACCCGCACCCACAACTACATCTGAATAATTCAAGTATTTAATCCTTCGGCTGACTTAAGCACCGAATGTTAATGGTTATATGAGCTGCATATTTGTCTCAAGGGTTTACCCATAAATCTTTCGTATGCCGCCTTAATGGATATTAGCACATATATAGAAGGTAGTGCGAGTATTCACGGTGGTCTCGCTGTCGTTGGTCTATTGATGTAGAGGGAATATTAGTGTTGGTACTATCGGTATTACCAACGCTGCCTTCTCTCCCCCCTATTTCCATTGTCAGCGTTGAGGAAGGGAGGGACTGGTTGACTCACGGCAGCTTGTTCGCAGAGTACACTTCATCTTTAGGGCCACTCGTGAATTGGAGTTCTTGTGATCTAGGAAGCCAGTTAGCATCTATTCGAGATAACCATAAGTAGGTTCCAAGAGAGTGGGTAGACTGACTGAAAAGGTTGATGATGGACGAGGAGCGAAGTTTGTCATGTCCAGTGCACGGGTGGATAATATCATGCTCGCAGACTACCTGGCTCCTTATGTTTGAAGTGATCCCCAATGTAAGTTACGTACCTGCCTACAGTCCCATACAAAAATGCTAATAATGACCTGACTAGAAATCTATATAATGATAAATAATCTTAGGATATAATTTTATAATATTATATAAAGTAAGAGAGTTTATTGTAATTTATGTTATCTTAGACTAAGTATAGAAGAGAAGAAGTTATCGATCCATGCTGTCTGCCTATCAAGAGATACAGCAATGGCAGTTCCGCCTTGGCAGACACCTGTGGCTTTACATTATAATCATAATGGGAACATCAAGAGGCTTAGGCCTTAGCTGAAATCCTTGACAACTGTTATTGGGTATATGTTTCACTGACTACGCATACCTAGTTACAGTCCCGTGCAAAATTTCCGATAACGAGCTAACTAGTAATATATATAATATTAGCAAATGTCATATAAAATAGAAGAGTTTTTTATAATCTGTATCATTTTATATAAACTTTAGAAGAGATCCAGTCGTCGGAACCTTTGCACACCCACTATACATATAACTTCTAACATTCCAAGGTCACCACAATTCCAAACAGAGTAAGGATGAGATGCCTGAAAACAGCCAAGCTCACATCGTCCACAAATCCTGGCATCTGATCCTGTACCCCACGATTCAACCAAGCTCTTCATGAACCAATCAGGAATCGAAATGAGAGGTTAGCTGCAGAGAGCCCAAAATAGCCAATCCAGTTCTGTGCCGTTCTTGCAAGGTATTTAGGTATAATTACTAAAAATACCAACGAGGCCATTACAGTTGGCAATTACGGATACCTTGAGAATTATTTATTCACGCTCTCCCCGCAGCGGTGATTGTGACGTAGCTTTTAGCTATCTGAATCAGGTCTAAGCTGATGGAAAACGGCGGCATAGCAACTTGCTCCATGGTCTAGGCCAGGTCGGCCGTTGACTTAAAATTCACTATCGCTGCTTCGGTGGGGAACGTAAAGGCGGGGGAAGCTGGTCGTGTCACTCACTGTTGATCATGCTCTTGGAGTTGACAGTTAATACTGATATCTCTTTTATAAGTGCGCTCTTCGCATGTGATAAGAACCACACTGACTAGATATACATAAGGAATATAGCTTCTTTTCTTAGCCACAAAATCAAGCTCAATTGCCATAACATAACCGAAATGTATCCATCCTTATCACGTCCCAACAGCTTCCCCTCTCTAGAGTAGCCCAGGTCTATCGTCGAGTGGAGCTCACTGCAACATAGATAGGCACCTCAACCTCAGTGACAGAGCCGAGCTTGTAGCGGACAGGTGGACAGGTGGACAGGCGGGGTTCAGCCTAGGTGCTTCTGGCCAAGCGAGGGCGCCAAAAAGCTCCCCATGTCACTTCCGTTTATCTTGTCTCTCCAACGCCAGATCGTCCATCCATGACCTAATTTACCAAACCCCTCCACAACATCAACATTCATATCCTTCTCCAACTGCGCCAATTCTCTTTCTCTTTCCCTCGCTTTCGTGGAGCCTCCTCTTGCGTTTCCATAGCCACTCGATCTCTCCTTCAGACTGCCAGCTTTGGCCCTCGCCATCTTCATCATGGCTAGTCTCCCGTCGCAACACCCCACCCTCTCCCTCCACCTCTCCGACGTCACCCTCACCCCGCTCATCACCTCGGCCTCGTCGCAATCCCATCTCGAAGCCCTCACATCTCTCACCTCCAGCGCACTCTCTTCCCAGACCGCCGCCCAGCGACTCGGCATGGGTCGCCCTCATCGCCTCATGGTAGAGTACCCTGACCGCGGACCCGTCGTGTTACACTCGTACCTTGATCCCCGCGACTCCATCGACACAACCACCAACAATGCTGTCGCGACCACCTCCAGCCGTCCGGGTTCGGCGCCTGGTTCAAGTCATGGCCCCGACTCAAGAGCACCTCGGTCCGAACCAGCGCCGCCGTTCCACGACGACCCGCGCTCCGAGGATGCGGCTCCGCTGCTTGTGAGTGTAGTCGTGGCTGGGTCCGCAGACGAGGCCAGAGAAGCCCGCCGCGCATCCTCCAGGTTGGAGCGCGTGGGAAGAGAGTTTCAAAAGGAGTGGGCCGCTGAGAGTAGTCAAGACCGCGCAAACGAGGATGGGCCGGAATAATCGGGCTGAAGAAACGCCTGTCACCTGGAGGGGCACTTGTCATTTATATACCATGACGAACTACATTTACGAAGCAATGCAATAGGAAGCGATACCACGAAGGAATACGAAACAAGGGCTTGAAAATACAGCACGAAAGAGGAGGCTTCAATATTTGGCATGTTGGATCCGTTGTCTCCTATGCCAATCATGTACGATCTAATGATGCGATGAGTCAAAACGAGCTATGGAAGGGAAACGAAAAGGCATGATTTACGTGTTTGCAAAAGATGTACATATATATGTACGTGCCTTTAATTAAAGCAGCTTGGAGGTGCACCCGCATAGGGACGGTGTGCTGGTCAAGAGTTCAAGCCAACGAACCATAACTCGGTTACATAGATGATAGAATCGTATAGGGGGGACGATGCCACGGCACGACACAATATGTTTCAGTGTTCTAAAAGATTTAATTTCATCTCGTAGTACTTCTAAATTGCTTGAATTCCACAAAACCTTGCTCCAAAGCCCATCATCACTTGCATAATCATTCTGCCCAGGTTCGTTTCGTCCTGGTGTTTTTACCCTTATCCTTCATTTCTTTTTACTCGTTATTATCTTCGATCTAGATCATCTGCTGGAAAGCACGGTTGATGGGGGATCGGATGTTAGGGACGTCCTTCCAGAAGTCGACGGTGGCGACAGCACGCTTAGCGATGCCCTCAGGGGTGAACTCGAACTTCTACAATAGGGGTCAGTAATATGTTCAGAAATCGATGAGTAGATTTGAAAACTTGCCTTGTAGACATCCAGGTAGGCACCAGAAGCACCGAATCGGTTGATACCGAACTGCTCGTGAGTGTATCGCTCCCAGCCCATGGTGCTCATGACCTCAATGGACATGGAGGGGATACCATCGGGAAGAACAGACAGGCGGTACTCCTTGTCCTGAAGGTCGAAAGCCTCGAAGCAGGGCATAGAGACGATGCGGGCCTTGATGTTCTTGTTCTCCTCGAGGTACTTGGCAGCATCGACAGCGATGGAGACCTCGGAACCGGTGGCAACCAGGGTAATGTCGGCACCCTCGACCTCGCGCAGGACGTAACCACCCTTGGCAGCCTTCTCGATGGTAGAGCCCTCGAGCTGGGGGAGGTTCTGGCGAGACAGAGCAATGATGCTAGGGCTCTCCTTGGCAGTCAAGCAGACGTAGTAAGCACCGCTGGTCTCGTTACCGTCGGCAGGTCGCCAGACGAGGCAGTTGGGGAGAGCACGGAAGTGGGCAAGAGTCTCAATAGGCTGGTGAGTAGGACCGTCCTCACCAAGACCAATGGAGTCGTGGGTGGCGACCCAGATGGTGCGGACGCGAGAGAGAGCAGACAGACGGACGGATCCGGCAGCGTAGGAAACGAAGTTCAAGAAGGTACCAGAGTAAGGCAGGATGGTGCCGTAGGCAGCAAGGCCGTTCATGATGGCACCCATGCCGTGCTCACGGACACCGTATCGGACGTATCGGCCGGAGTAGTCACCGAGACCGGTGGACTTGGGCTGGAAGTCGACAGCCTCCTTCCATCGGGTCAGGTTGGAGCCAGTCAAATCAGCGGAACCACCGAAGAGCTCGGGAATGACGCTCTCGACCTTGGCGAGGACGGTCTCGGACAGCTTTCGGGAAGCAATGGCGGGGTCGGAGGGGCTGTAGACGGGGAGGCTTTTCTCCCAGCCCTCGGGAAGCTCGCCGGTCAATCGGCGGGCGAGGTCGGCGTGCTCCTTGGGGAACTGCTCCTTGTACTTGGCGAAGAGCTGGTTCCACTCCTGCTCACGGGCAGCGCCCTCAGAAGATCGCTTACCGTAGAAGTCGTAGACCTCCTGGGGAACAGCGAAGCTCTCGTCAGGGTTGAAGCCCCACTTCTCCTTGAGCTGCTTGATGTCGTCAGCCTTGAGGGGAGAGCCGTGGACACCGTGGGTGCCCTCGTTCTTGGAACCGTAACCGATGGTGGTTCGGAGCTGGATGAGGGAAGGCTTGTCAGTAACGGACTTGGCCTCCTTGATGGCAGCCTCAATGCCAGCAAGGTCGTTGTCACCGTCATCAACCTTGACGACGTGCCAGCCGTAAGCCTCGTATCGCTTAGGGACATCCTCAGTGAAGGCAACAGCGGTGTCACCATCAATGGTGATCTTGTTGTCATCCCAGATGGCAATGAGGTTGCCGAGCTGGAGGTGACCGGCGAGGGAGCTGGCCTCGCTGGAGACACCCTCCATCAAGCAGCCGTCGCCGAGGAAAGTGTAAGTGTGGTTGTTAACAAGCTCAAAGCCGTCCTTGTTGAAGGTGGCTCCGGTGTGAGCCTGGGCAATGGCCAGACCAACAGCGTTGGAGACACCCTGACCGAGAGGACCAGTGGTAACCTCAATTCCGGGAGTGTCGTGAGCCTCGGGGTGACCAGGAGTACGGCTGTCAACGGACTGTGGGAGGTGTGAGCACACATTTGCAGAGGCGATAAACTGAGAAAACTCACTCGGAAAGCCTTCAGGTCATCCATGCTGAGGTCGTAACCGAACAGGTGGAGGAGAGCATACTGAAGCATGCAGCCGTGTCCGTTACTGAGGCGCAAAATGGTCAGCTCATTGGCGCAATAGCGTGTCAATCGTGGGAGAAACTTACGAGAGAACGAAACGATCACGGTTCAGCCAGTCGGGGTTCTTGGGGTTGAAGTTGAGGAACTTGTTGAACAGAACGTGAGCAACTGGGGCCATTCCCCTGTGGCAATGTCAGTATGTATTCTCTCATCGCTCATCGTTGCTCTTGGTAGGGTGAACTCACATGGGAGCACCAGGGTGTCCCGAGTTGCTGTGAGCGGTCGCATCGGCCTGTTGAGAGTCTGTTAGTTTTCATTGTTCCTTGTAGATATTCACTCTGAAATCTTGCGGAGCTGTCGGCTTCAGTCAGGCCAGTCGCGACGACTCCAAACCACCAGAAGACCAGATAATAACACTCTCTGCAACTGATGTCTCATGGCATTTATTGCGTTGCGCGTCTCTCATCTGATCCCTCATGGCAAGAGATGGCGGGGCAGCCGTGGCGGGGTAAGAACCAATTCAGCGAGCTGCCCAGAGCTCGAGTGCGAAGCAAGTAAGGGAAATAGAGGAGGGGGCTTACCGCAAGGACACGGATGGTGTTGATAGCCTTCTTATCGATCTCGCTGTAACCCATTTTGACTGATTTTATGAGTATTTGGTTGTATGAGGGGAGAAAAGGAAGAGAAGAGAAGGAAGGGAAAGAAGATTGGGAGAGAGGTAGGTGAGGCAGGTACTTTAGGTAGAATCCAATCCAATGACGGAAAGATAAACGGAGCACGTCTGACGTCTACCTCCTACTTGCCGCACTCCAATCTACAGTGGAGGGTGGATGGGCGGAGGGGTCGTGTCATGAATTGTTAGGCGTCTCCAGTTTTCCCAGTCTCGAGTCCTGACCTAGAAAAATTCGGCCGGGCGATATCCCGCAGAAGGTATTGGTATGAGATGGACATGATGCTATGTACCAGACATGCTAGTTTACACTATGATTTGAGTGGTGCGGTACTTTCTGTTTTGACAAGAGTTCCAGCATTGGGGGTTTGTGAGGCTACTCATGGCGACGAGAGTCTCATAACTCGCCTCATGATGGACCCCGGTCGTTAGAAATATCCATCCTTGATGAAGCTGCCCTGGACCTTGAACTGCGAAGTACGCAGTGCGTAGTACATATCGGTACCTGCTGCAGAGCGTAGATTACCAATTGCACCAACCACCCCCAAAAAGGGTAGCCCGACAGCTTCACCTTTACGAATCCTCACCCAAAACTCAGATCCAAGGCTCACCAAATACAGAGCGTCCGCTCCCTCCGCCGTGGCCGCCGAAACGAGGTCAGTGTGGCCGGCGACACGCCGAGTGGAGCTCCCGGTGGGGGGCCAGGGGGGGCGTACTCTGTGGCAGGGGGTCGACAGTTGCCCCTCCTCGCTGCAACTTTTGATGAGAGAGCTGTTGTCAACTTTCTTGTCATTAGGCTTGGCCTGCTTGATAATGCAATGCAATTGGATTTGGTCAAGTTTCGTCTTTCTAACAAGTCCATTCACAGGCAGCAATTCATGTGCGTGCATCAAATAGGCCAATTAAGCCGAGCATCCTATGTTGATCTTCGGGTTTCTCTTTGGCGTGTGGAGCCTCTTTCATCAGCATGAATGAATTGGATCGATCTCCATAACGGCGGCACTTGGCCATAGGTAATTACTGTAACGAATTCTCGGCGCTGTGACGTCGAGTGGCCATTCCGTCATTGCTTGAATCGCCTTATTAGCTACTAGGTACCACTTGCATCCAGCATTGAACCGTGCATGACTGCTTTGCTGTCGATTCTTGGCCTGGATGTGAATTTTTTCATCCTTTCAGTCACCAAGTGTTGTAAGTAAACACCGGACATCCATATTTCCTTTAGCCAGATGATTCCACTCTCTCGGGTTATTACAGCTATTTCCCTCACTCCAAAACCGCAATAGCTCCCGCGTCCCGTCTTAACCAAATTAACCGGCCAGGGCTGAAATAGGCAAAAGCTGAAAGAACGGGACAGTTTCGAATCTCGACTTGAGGTTCGAATTGGTACGCCTATAGCAAGTCGAGCCCCCACGACTCACGAGGGGTTCAAGGGAAGAGGGGCAACTCCGACTGCTCCCATTGAGTCGGTTACAATGCCGTGAGAGACGAGTCGGAAAATAATCCGCGTGCCAAAGCCAAGGGATAAAAACACGCGAGTAGCGGCAGGGTAGATTCACTTGAATGGTGCTGAGCATTTCCGTCACCACCTGAGCGTGGACACTTCTGTCTCTGTCACAGGCGCGGCTATCAACGAGATGAGAGTTAAATTGGTTGATAGATGCTGCGGTTCACGATGCAACTCGTTGAGCGAGCTAGCGCCCATCTCGGTCAGCGTCAGTCAGTAGTAGCTTGGGCGTGAAAAGTGATGGGGAGCGATGTTCGGAGACAAGCTGACGAGACAGCCAAGTTCTTCCCCAAGGTGTGGGAGGTGTAGCACTTGTTAGCCCAACAAGGTAAAGGATAAACTATGATTATGCTTGTCAATGATGCCGTAACTGCTGATGAATGATATGACATTTCTATGTAAGAGCCTCGAGTGCCTCCCAAAGCAAAGACTCCAGGTTACCTGGTGATCATGACCAACATTTGTGATAATCAGGTGGTGATATGATAATATTCGCAACACTCATTGCTAACATGACTACGCTTCACTTAGTCCGAAGTCACCGTAGGTCTCTTGTTATTTCTCAGTTTCTCGCCGTCCTTCACCGAACCGTAAGTACCGCACTGCTCTAGGGCAACCTTCAACTCAAAGTGGGGGTTTTTCGATTCCATCGGTAAAATATGTCCGATCTTTTTCTCCCCTGTACAACCGCCAACCACGATATCTACGATACTCATCAGAGCTATTACTCACCGACAGAAAATAGCCAATGAATTAAACCCGGGAATTCCAGATAAAGACATGCCCAAAAAAAGGGGTCCTCCCAAGAAGGGTCCTTCTACCTTTTCGAAGCCTGAACCAATCTCGAAACCAGTCTCCAAAAAGTCAAATGCCCCGCCAGAAGCCTCTTCGCCTGCTCTTCAGTCTGAAGAGGAGCAGCAGCGTCTTCTCGATATCTTTTCCAGTACCTTCAGCGATGTTCTCACCTCAGATGATTTCTCCAAGCTTCTTCAAGAGATAAAGCAAGCTTTGTTTAATCGAGAATTTGCGACTGCTTTTGGGAGAGAGGACTATATTGAAGCATATGCTGCTCGATGGAGCCCCACGCGAGCCCTGTGTTATGCTACTGTCTTTCTAAGCATCAAGAAGCATCTGAAAGATATTCTGTTTCCATTTAAGGGAGCTGTGAACGAGGAGCCGCAGCTAGCTAGTGCGAGTGCGGTGTCAGACTCACAAACGGTGGCGGATCCAGCTCAAGACGACGCAAAGGATAACCACGAAGAGAGTCAACCTGCTGAAATAGAATCAACTCAAAATCTCAAACTTGACAATGCCTCTTCGGGAAAAGAGCCTGCTCTACACATGCTATCTGTCGGTGGATGTGCAGCCGAGCACATCGCCTTTGCCTCTTATCTCCAGACAACTTCGACCAGTGGCTGTCTAACACTCCTCGATTCAGGTCCATGGGCAACAGTTGTCTCTCTCCTCGAATCCAGCACTCTCAACCCACCTCCTATTTCAAAATACGCTTCTGCAGCTCGTCAAGCTTCCAACCACCCCCTCCTGGAAAAGGATCAGCTCTCCCTTAATTTTGTTCAACTGGATGTCCTAGATCTCGACATGGAATCCCTATCAGCCCAGTGTGCCAATGGCCAAGTGCCCATTGTCTTGACTATGTTCTTCACGGTCAATGAACTCTACACAACAGCGGGTATCGGCAAGACAACCCAATTTCTAAAGAATCTCGGGAAAGTCCTTGCGCCTGATAGTCTGGTTCTCGTGGTGGATAGCCCAGGAAGCTACTCAGAAGCTGCACTGGGGAAAGAGAAAAAGAAATACCCTATGCAATGGCTACTTGACCATACCCTTGTAGAAACCGATACGCCGGGATACTCGTGGGATAAGCTACAGTCGGACGATTCTCTCTGGTTTCGTCTACCAGAAGGTCTATCATATCCGATCCCCCTCGAGAACATGCGCTACCAGATGCACTTGTACCGCTTGCATAAGTCCTGATTCAGAATATGAGTTCGAGAAATATTGTAATATCTATGGCTTGAATTATCTATGCCACTATTATTTATGGATCGATCGTTTACACCATTTCTTGATGATGGGGTCTATTATGCCCACACCATCTTTTTGAGTGAGTGTCCCAGCTGCTCTAATATTCCAGTGTTCTTCTTTGCTTCCTCTAGGGAGATGATAGAACCAGTTTCAACAAGGCTCTTTCGATCTCCGTCAGGGTGCTCCAGCTGCCTTTCCAGCGCCAGTCGCTCGATATCGCCACAAATGGTGGAAACCTGCTGGGTTTCTGTTTGTTTTGGGCCATCGTCGCCTAGGACGGCAATGGAGGAGTCTAAGTTTGTTGCCTTAAAGACTAGGCGACGGACATCTGGCGATGAGGGTGATGATTTGCTGGTGAGCAAGTTGGCTAGGCTGGCAGGTATACTGGCATCTTTCTGCTCGGCAGGGTCCTCCTTGCCTGCCGTTTCACCGTGATTTGAAAAGGTTCGTGTGTTTGTACGGCGAATATCACTCTTGCCAGGACTATATGTCACCACAAAGCCGGCGTTCTTGACCTCGTCGATGTGGGAAAGAGAGATAGTCGAGGTGATATATGTACCGTGCTTGATACTAGTGATGCTGTCGAGCTCAACTCGCTCAAAGGATGATACTTTGTCAGACTTCCAATCGAAGCGGCACGAATATAGAGCTACGTCTGTCAGCAGAAGAACGACTTCTTCAAGTGGCCAAGATTTGATGGTATCCGGCGTGGTAGGGCTCAAGAGCACCCAACCTCCGTGAAACTCCTCCTTCTCGTCCGCTATCACTCGTTTCTGGCACAGCTCGACGGCCAGCTCTCTCATCTTGGTGACAGAAACGGCTGGGTCCTTTGTCATCATATCGCTCTCGAACTCCTCAAAGATCTTAGCTGTAACGTTTCCAAGGAGGAAATCAATGGCCGCCTGACTGAAGTAGTCATTGACCATGCTGGTTTGGTTAGCAGGGCATTATACAGCCAAGACATGGAGGAAGGAATACGTACCCGCTGTAGTATCTAGCAAGGCCAAGACCCAGATCATTCAGCGCCCCACGATAATCTCTCTTCTTTGTGCGTGTATAGTCACCTTTCATTGCTGCCGTCGACGCATATTGTTTCGACACCGCATCACCATTGTCGGCCCAAAGAGTGTTGAACCAAGCCGTCACTTGATCAGTCTGCGCGCTCATGTCAAAACCTTCCTCCTTGAGTTGGACCTCGAGCATGTGCTTTGCAAATGAGCTCTGGCAAACGTTGGTTCGGTCAAGACAATCCATGCAGTTTGTTCGTATGACACCTTTCTGTCTGTTCAACTGCTTGCCCTCCCTTTGAACAGTGCTACCAAGGCTTTCGATCTTGTCTCTCAACTGATCCAGCAGCAGGCTGACATTTTCAAATTTCATGCCCTTACAAGCCGCGTGGAAGTCGAACCACTCAAAAGGTATTTTCTTATCTTCACTCGCCTCTTTGTTGATTTGTTCTAAAGCAGTCTCGTAGGCGGAACCAATAATTGACTCTACTCCATGTTTTTCGACGAGATTGACTATTTGAAGCTGACCATAGTTTCTGGAAAGACTATCAAAATGCCTGCGGCAAGCAGCTTGATTGGCCTCCTCAGAGTGTTGTCGAATAGGAGTCGGCTTGAATGCATAAGGCGATTGTGTAAAGAAAAGAGGAATACTGCCTCTGACTTGTAAAAAGGAATAGATATTGGAGGATGGGTCCCATGTAGGCGTAGAGAGAAGCTGTTCGGTTTCTACCATATTCGCAACAAAACCATCTTGGTCAATTCCACGGCGCAGATATCGCAAACCGGCCCGTTTTGTGGATCGGCGCGAAATCACGGTAATCAGATACTTTTTCTCTGAAGGACGAAGATCGATTGATGCCCTGGAACTCTCCTGTGCAGGGGAGCCGGGCACTTCTTTTGGAGATGGGAGATTAGAGAGTTCGACAGAATCTTTACCCTTGTCATCACTCTGTGGAGGCTGGTTGTCAACAGTAAAGGTCCTCTGTCCCACGAAACCTTGCATCAGAGGCAATGCGAGGCAATCTTGCCCGCTCGACATAAATGGCTGTAGGAGGTTGCGGTTCCAGAAGAAAACTTCGTCAACCTGGTTGTGGAGAGGAGTCTCATTGCTAGGAGGCAGCGATCCGTCACTCAAAGAACGAGTGAGATCAACGTCGTATGAGAAGTAGAAACTTCGTGACGCCCCAAACAGGATTTGCGCAGTGCGCAAAAGTTTGGGCAAAAGTTCCGGTTCATTGGGTATGGCTTTGGCAGAGTCCTCCTGCGTCTCGCCTTCGAAAGCCTCGGTGGTGTCGTTCTTTTCCGGAACTCTTTGCGAATTGCTCAGTCCCATGTTCCTCTTCTGATCCAAAGTCCAGCCACTTCGACTGAACCAGCGTTGTGCAAACCGCCCGTAGCTGCCTCTCCTTCGAATCACATCTTCAGCAACACGGCTTCTAGCCGAGCCTGGTCTGGCGTCTTCGTCGTCGACTATGGCATCTTCGACTTCATCCGACGTTCTTGGAGGTAACTCGACTTCTTCCTCGCTACTGTCACTTTCATTCCCTGAGTCTCTAGCCTGGCGTGACAAATGGTCCGAGGTCCTTTTCACAGACTCTTCAGCGCCTATCCTGGATGTGCATGGTGTGATAGCAACTTCGGTAACAACATAGATGGGGTGGCCGCAGATTTGCGCGACCTGCTGACGCCGAGTAATTGTAACAAGATAGCTTAACTTCGAAATGGTAATAAGGCCTGGGGTCGTTAAACTTGTCAGTCTCGCGTCTTACATGTCACAGGAAAGGGATTGTAAGCGCGGGGCCACAAGGTGTCGTACCGATCACTCCGAAAGCTTCAAAAGATGAACCTGGATTCGAATCATCGGGGACATGTTCGCGAGGAACATGAGAGATAGTCGCTTCGCCGTACTTGACTCGAGCTGGTTGGAAGGGACGTTGGCCCTTGGAAGAGAGAGGCTGTATTACAAGCCCGTCAACTGCTGCGCAGATAATGAGCTTGCGAGCGATGGCTGGCATTTTGCGGGGAGGCACGCAAATCTTAGCAGAAACGATCAATATGCATTCAAAGGCGAGGACAAGGGACCGAGGGCGAGAGATTGACGATCAAGCGATAGTATACAAAGACAGGTTGTGGAACAGCTGCAGAAAGTACCAGGGCAAGCTGCAGCTCACTAAAGAATTAAAGATCGAGTAACTTAGTACTCAGACCAAAAGTCAGATATGACCGCATCAGTTCGCGATTTTGGTGGAGACGTCATAACTTGGCAATTGTACGGGTAGACACCCACCTAAAACATGCACCGAAGTCGCATTCGCATTGGGAGATTTTTTACACATCCACTTTAACTCGTTTTCGTATTTTGCTTTCGTCAAGACAGTTGATGATATTACTATTTTACCCAAAGGCCTCAAACTTCATACACCAATTATTGCACCAGATAATCCCCAAACATGAAAAGTTCGGAAACAGATATCAGAAGCAACAAACAGCCTTTCAGACATCTAAGCCCTCTAGACTGACTGTCCATGAACGAAAGTATTTCCATCTTTTGCTTTCCTCCTCACCATAGGGTATCTTAGATAGCGAGGCGCTCGACCTTGTCGCGCATGGCTCGGATCTGGCCGGCGAGCTCGCTGGCGTCGTTGCTGGTGATGCTAGCAGCAATGACGGCGCGGCTAACACCACAGGCACGGCCGAGGTGCATCTTGCTGCTGACGTAGACGTAGGGAACTATCAAGCACCAGTTAGCAACAAGTCCAAGTATAGGATCTGACTATCGAATTGCGCGTACCGTTCTTGTCCTCGCAGAGAAGAGGGAGGTGGAGGAGAATGGCGAGAGGCTGAGTGTCGGCAGCGAGGATGACAAGCTCAGAGACACCACGGTTAAGGGTCTTGGTGGCCTCGTTGGCTATCAATCTGTCAGTATGTGATCGCTATCGAGCTGCTATTTGGTACAACATACCGCCCTTCTTCAGCTGGCGGGCATCTATGATAATAGTCAGTGAAATTGTTTCCATTGCAGAGTATTGGATGAACTTACGCTGAGAAGACTGAACGAGATCGAGAAGCTCCTGCTCGAGCTTCTGATCGGCAAGGGGCCAGGCTATTGACATGTCAGCACATGGTCGCTATATGATGGCGAATGGATATATCATACCAGCACTCTCAGACATGGTGAAAGATTAAACCGAGGTTTTCGTGGAGGAAAGGTTCTGATGGCGCGCAGTTAGTACCTAGTTCTCAAGGCGGTCAAGAAGCTGAGATAGCCAGATCAGACGTACAAGATGGTATGGAATCAGGGTTCCTTGCGTTGGCTCGCCCTGAGGACTGAAAAATTAGAATGGAGATAAAACGTAGTTGGCGATGAATCGTCGAAGTCAAAAGAGAAGAAAGAAAAAAAAAGAGAAGCAGCATAATATGCGCCAAGGCGGCGGAAAATTTCAGATGTGGCGCCGAGCCTTGTGTGGCTGAGATGCGCGAGGCTTCGAGAGCCCCACTCCTGATCGGACAAGTCAACCAGTCAACAACAGGTTACTGGCCCATCTTTTATCCGAAACACAGGAGGTCGGTGGCGCCTTATGTAATGCAACCCGTGCTTGCCAGTATGGAGTAGAGTACAGCAAAACCTTGCCGCCAACCAGACGCCAACCTGGAATGAGACCTTAACCAGCACACCTTACCTCGACATCTTCGTCTTCAAGCAACAGGCCCATTATCCAACGACTCCATCTCCCGACATCTCAGCTCTTTCGCCGACTTATCGACGCACTCTCCGTCCCTTTGACACCACTTTGCTCGATTAATACCTGCTTCATTTCCGTATAAACAACCGCCAAGATGGTCAGCGAACTTTGGTACGTGCTTGCGCGCCTCCTTGCCCCCATCATCATCAAGCTCCCTGTGCATCAATCGGAGCTTCAGACATCAACCACCAACGCGAAAACCCATCTGATTGCACCCACTCTATATTGTTTTTGATGATTGAAGCTAACATGCGCGTCTGTATAGCCCCGTCTACTCGGTTAGTCCTCCACGTCATCCGTACCGTCGACGTCACCTCGCGACGCCTAACCTCCATCGTGAGGCGGTCGACGATATCGATTCAATATCAAGCTTCGCATCGCTAACACTCATCTAGCCCTTCTTTGGTGCCATGGGCTGCACCTGCGCCATTGTCTTCACCTGCCTCGGCGCCTCTTACGGTACCGCCAAGTCTGGTGTCGGTATCGCTGCCATGGGTGTTCTCCGCCCTGATCTGATCGTCAAGAGTACGCGACCAATGAGAAGAAAACTACGAACTTTGCGTTGCTGACTTTTTACAGACATTGTTCCCGTCATTATGGCTGGTATCATTGGTATTTACGGTCTCGTCGTTTCAGTCCTTATCTCCGATGGCCTAAAGCAGAACCTGCCCCTGTTCACTAGCTTCATCCAATTCGGAGCTGGTCTCTCCGTTGGTCTTGCTGGTCTCGCTGCCGGTTTCGCCATTGGTATTGTCGGCGACGCTGGTGTCCGAGGAACTGCTCAGCAGCCCCGTCTGTTCGTCGGAATGATTCTGATTCTCATTTTCGCCGAAGTTTTGGGTATGTTTTGATTACTTATTCTAATCACCGCTGGCTTGCTAACCCTATTTGCTAGGTCTTTACGGTCTCATTGTTGCTCTGCTCATGAACTCCAAGGCCAACGTTGACGCTGTCTGCTAAATGGCTAAACGTGTAGCACCGCCTGCTTGAAATCGACAGCTTGACAAGATTGCACTCGACCACACGAGCTGCTCGGGCATGGCAGAACTGAATGTGATCATAAATGGCGTTACAGCTTTCCCCATTGCGCTTCCTGAGTAAGGATTTTGCAGCAGGGACTTGGAGACGTAGGCGCAGGATCGGTTAGGGTCTTGTACCTGCCCTTTTTGCGTGCTTATATCGGATAATAGGACTCTGGCTCTTGATTTGTTTTTTCTGTTTGGGCAGATGAGGGGAGCCGGGACGAAATAGGAGGATGGTTTCTGTAAAATACTGTCAACATGCGTGTTATTCTCTGGGAGGCTTCTCATCATAGACGGTGAAGGGAACTCGAGTATCTAGTGTATGCTATTGCTAAATGTTTCTTGCACTACCATATCGTTCAACCTGCGTACAATGACAGATAACATGTCGGAAGTTTGTGTCACCCATAAGTCAGACAGATTTCCAGGGGTGTGCAAAAGTTCCGTCAACTTCCTCCCTCCTATTTTACCGGAGATAATATAAATTCTTATAAACTCTCTTACTTTATATACTCTTATATAGTCCTTTTCTAAAATCATTTATAAAATATTCTAATCATCATGTATCTTATACATGTTCCTACTACTAAGTTAGGTAGGTTGTTATCGGTATTTTTGCACGGGACTGTCCAGCGGGTACTTACTACCTATTCATCGAATCTCACTGCATTTTTGCAAATTGCTAAGCATCATTAAGATTTTATTAATACAGTGCTCTAAAGCAGAGGGCTCGCTTGATAGCAAGTATATGTATGCAAACAATTCAAAAATTACAAGGTCTAGGACGCTCTTCAACCAACAGGCTCATAACAGCCTCTTTTATCGCCTCTCCTCGTATTACGTCTCTTCATCTCTTCATGCGTAGATTTCCCCCTTTTGCAAAGCATGTGATGCCTGTCTTTTGTTTCCATGCACACGTGCCGGCCTGTCAGAACACCCATGGTGACTAATGCCACCGTTTGGAGATACGTGGTGGACAGGAGGTCCTCCAAGGTAAAATGAGCATAAATTAGCTCTTAAGTGGTCTGCCTCAAGGATTCCTTAAATGACATACTAGTATATTTGTTAGAACCGAGTTAAAAGAAAACATGGCTGGAAGACTTACGGGAATGAAGAGGTAAGGAACACGTCGCTCATACTCGAGCCAAGCGTCACCGTACTTGCGACGGCAGCGGGAGATGTCTCGAGCAGCACGGTGAGCGATCATGCAGCAGAAAAAGACCGGGTAGAACCAGGGGAAGGGGCTCTCAAAACCGGTGATCAGACCCCAGGAAATAGCAAACCATGCATCGGCAGTGTAGTGAATCTTGCGGGCAAGGCCATACCAGCCGTCAACAAGGATAGTTCCCTGAGGAGAGGAGATGGTCTTGGGGTTGTGGACTGTCTGCCAGGGGACCTGAGGGAAGGTGTTGCGCAGGACCAGCTTACCCTTCTCCATGGCACGGAAGCGGTTCTTCTGGCTGTTGCAGCTGTCCCAGACCCAGTACCAGAAGAGGTAAGCGGCAAAGATGGCAGCGAGAATACCACGGTTCCAGCGGTACGTATCGGGGTGGTGGTTGGCCAAGTAGATGGTGCAGTGGCAGTAAGATAGAGGGACACCAGCAAGGTTCCAGAAGATGAGCATGAAACCCCACTTCTCGTAGTACATGTCCCAGGTGGTGATGATGAGCTCCTCTCCCTTGGCACAGGCGTTGGCGTAGAGAAAGTGAGCCATGACAAGGAACCAAACCTCACCAGAGACGTAGCCGTACTGCTCATGCTGACGAGCGGCGGTGCCAAGACTCAGGATGAGAAGGATGTACCAAGGCATGCGAACCTCGAAGAACATCTTGAAGTCGAGAATGCCAAACATACGGGGGTTCAACTCAGCACCCATGAAGAAGTCATAGACAGGGTAGCCTGTCATGCGGTGCTGCTTGCCGCGCCAGAGGGCAGAGAAGTAGGCGACAAAACTGACGAGGAAGCCACTGAGGATGGCAACAGACAGAAGAGGGCCAAACTCATCAACGGCTGTGTACATAGGCCAGAGACCCGAGTAGTGCAGACCGGCAAAGCAAGCAAGAGTAGTGTAGAGACTCCAGTAAGCGTTGCAGTAGTAGGGCAACTGCTTACCGCCTTCATGAGGAAGAGGCTTGCCGTATCCCCAAACACCAGGGAGCAGACAGTAGAAAGCACCCTCAACAATGAGATAAGACCAGTACCAGGCCCAGACCTGGAGGCGGGGGTATGCGCCAGTGTAGACAAGGTCGACGAGATGAGCTCCAAACTCACCCCAAGACTGACCCTCTGTGCGGTAAGGGAACTTGCCATTGTAGTAAGTGGCACCAATCCACATGTACCACATGAGAACGGGGAAAAGGAGCATCATAGCACCGGTGCCAAAGGAACCACCAAACTCGAACTCTCCTGAGTAGTCGACCTTGGGGTCTTGGCCGGGTCTCCAACCATCAACAACGTTGGGGTCTTGGGGAACGCCCTCTGTCTTCTCCATGACCGTCTTGACAGGCGTAGCACCAGAGAAGCCGTTGGTTGTGACATGCTCGTTGGTGGCGTGGCCGTTTGTTGCATGGCCATTGGAGTCTCCATTGGCAAAGCCGTTGGTCTTGCCATTAGCGGCTCTGTTGACAGCCCCCATATTGTCCGAGTCTGTCTCCTCGTCGAGCTCCTCTGTGAATCTGGCGGTGCGTCGACGGGTGGGTTGCGGGAGGACTTCAGCGGCTGAGTCGGTCTCGGGGTCTGAAAGGGGTTGAGAAGTTTGGCGCAGATTTGAACGTGAACGACGTGAAGGGGTCTCTACCATGCCCTCGAAGAGTTCCTTCTTCCTGAAAGCGCAATGTTAGTCTATAATGCTAACATTGAAAGCAGGTGATTGGCAGGGAGTGTACGAACCTAGGCGTTTGGCGTAGAGAATATCTTGACGACATTTTGAACTAAGGGGTTCAACAGACCCTTTATATAATGCAGAGGAGAACAGAAGAAGGCCCAGGAGCGAGACTAGGACGGAGAGCAAGAGCCAGGTATTGACAATCAGGCTTTGCTTCCTTATGCAGTGCTTGTCCCACAGTGCGCACCAGCAGAAATCCAAGACAAGGGAGGGTCTTGAGAGTTGCAAGAAGAGGAAGCAATTGGACGCCGCAATTGCAGTTTGAGTGACGGGTGACGGGAGTGGGAGACGGCACAGGACACAAACAAACAAAAGACAGGGATGCCCGAAGGAGAGCGAGCGGCGGACGTCGAACTAGGTACCTAAGGTACTGTAGATGACTAGGGCATTAAAGAAATATGCCTAATTGAGAAAAAAGGATCCGCTGTGCTCCTCTCCGTTACTGTTGATGGTGATGGGAATTAGAAGGGAAGGTTGTCATGGTAGGTACTCGGTAAAAAAGAAGAAAAAAGTTGGCGGATGGGGGGGCGTGTCCTCCTCTGTGCGCATCTACATTTTCATTCTCATTTTCATTTTCATTTTCTCGCGATGGGGAATCCGAATAAGAAAACGTGTTGTACTATTGGCGCGCTGCAGTTGGCCACTTGCGAGCCAATCTCCCTCAGGGGAGCCAGCCTATCAGTGTAAAGCCTTGACAGGCAAAGGAGCCGATCCATGCAGATGGAAATTGAGGTACCTACCTAAGCATTTGCGGTGCTTCACGCAGAAGATCAAGTATAGCCCCAGATAATTCTACGCACCAATCATCTACCTCACGCTAATGCACGATTCGTATAGCGATTTGGCAGGGATCATGCCCACATTTTGCCCCAGATCATAGATAATCCAAGTTTAATGCTTCATCAGTCATCATCATCTTTTGAGCCGCATCGGTCGCTTGCTCGCTTGCATCTCCCAGAGAGCCAGGGTATGTGCTATACGAATCGTGCATGAAGCTAAGCCCCGAGCTCATCAACGACAATCCATGCTAACACCTTGAAACATCAACTTCCTGCGCGTTTTCCATCTCGGTATCGTGAAGTCGCCCGTTTTCCCGTCTCGATGTTCCTTCATTGGGGTGTGTATCTTTGGCTCTTTGGGCTTGAAGCATGCTGTGTACTCTGTAGTCAGGAAAATCTACATGCCCAGGCGGTATTCAGTCCTCTTGGCCTAGCCCAGACATCTACACGAAACTTGCATCTCTATCAATGTAATTGCATCTTGGACATTTCTTACATCTCAACTTGAAAGGAAAGATGAGTGAGTGGCAAAGTGCTAGCTACACTGTAAGAGTCAATGTTTGACCATATCGAATGTTGTTGGTTTGATTCTTTCTCCTCTAACTTGATCCCTGCTAATGCGAATCTATCCTTGAGCCGGTTTTTGACGCAAGACGAGGTTTTTGAGAAGTCCCGAATAGCGCTTAGAAGTACTGCTACCTGTTTCGAGTACTCGCTCCTCATCATCTGCTTGTTTCCACGAGTTTCCTTGTCTCACCTGCTTTGCTCTATTCGTCCCCGATAGAACATTCACTCCTTCGAGATCCTCATTTAGTCAGTCGTGTTGATCGTTTTTGTAGAGAGCTTCTTCGGATCTTCATAACTACATACGTAACTAGAACTGCTCTTAAAACTGCCCGAAAGCATTCAGACGATGTGACTCTTCTAAGTACATACAAGCCAACTGCCACTATGCATGCCGTATCATATCAGTAGACTCCTGCTTTAGACGAGCCATTTTTCGGGACATGCTAGGCATCCCCTTGCCCCTCTCGTGTAGATAGGTATCTACCTAGGCATGCAACAAAAGTTGTAGCAGCAAACCATCCAGGAGTCACTTACTCGTGTGTCGCCCCCCAGCATATATCACGCACTGCCGGTTTCTTTGACCAACACCCCTCCACTCTTTTGGCCCATCATTTACTATTTCATCACCCACCATGTTCGAGACTCTCCAGAAGGGGCCTTTGATGCAGGATATAGGTGGAAGCGGTGGGTGTTTGCATAGTTGCCTGGACTCTTACACCTAGGTACATAGCCCACATCGACAATCTGGTACTCATCGAACGTTGCTTGTAACTTTACACACAATGCCAAATTACGTACCCGCAGAAGCAAAGTTCGTCCCGTGACAGGCCTGCCTCGCGATATATCACTACTTGTTCATCGCGAACCCCTTTCACTCACCCCCTCCTTGACATCAGACTTCTATTGATGAGCCGACTTGGCATCCCACTTTACAGGAGTCGACTCTCTCTTGGCCGCTCGACATCCTCTCCTCTCATGATGAACCACGGGTACCTACACATGTCTTTGTTGGTCAGTAGGTACATTTGATCGTAAAAGCGGTAGTCCTCCCTCTTGTCTACGTTCTAGCCACTCCCTCACAACAGTTTCACTCATCTTCGATCTACGTGCGCATGGTATTGGCAGACTTGATATACCTGTATTGTAATCGTTTAAGATGTTATTAGGAGATGACGCTCGTAGCAAGTGACTTGAGTTGTGACGGTGCGGCAATATCTCCTGACAAACACTGCAGGATAAGTAAGAATACGCCGTGCCAGACGTAGGGGCGATGTAATAAACCCATGAGGAAAATCTCTGTGCGAGCAGTCTTGCAGTCTCTTTAAAGCCAACAAGTTGTGGAATATTTGATAAAATTCTGCTCTGGTTTGGGCTCATTGCGCATCAGGTGCTGACTTCTCCCCTGAAATACAAGATTGTATTTCAACCTCATGTAATGACTTTAACAACATATTCCCGAACACCTGGACATGAGGAGAAAATAATTGTAGATGCCGAAGTTATCGTTTATGGTGTTCTGGCGCAGAGTAACCAAGTGAGTTGCTCAGAGAGTGCGGCGTGGTTTAGGGTAACCGATTTGTAAGTTGCGTGTGAGGAGCAGCACAACCAGCTCGCGAATGTTACAAAAAGATATATGAGGTTGATTTGAGACGTTGGAGGTCAAGCCATATGTATTCATGGGCTACAAAAGGCAATGATATGGGTTGATTATACGAATATATGGGCATATGGGAGGAGCATCGATGAACGAGGGTAATACCAGTCAAGGTAAAAGCGACACGTATGAACACAAAGCCATACATAGCTACACTCTGAAGTTACAAATGATTATCACAAGGAGTGAGAGAAGATAAATATCAATCGTTTTCACTAGGAGCATCGCAGAATCTCCCATATCAGTCCAAGTCGCAACTTTAGGGTATCATATTCTCATCATCATGCTCATCCTCCTCCACTGTAATCAATGCCATAACTGTTGATTTACTCGCGGCGCTCAGCCTCGGCCTGTTTCTGGATGTCGTGCTCGACACCACGCTGGCGAGTCTTGCCCTCGGCACGGAGCTCGTCGTATTTGGCCTCCTTCTCCTTGTCACCGGTAAGGTTGGAGACAGCACCTCCAACGGTACCCTTGGCACGCTCGCTGATACCAGAGCCGAGGTCGCTGAGCTGACCCTTGGCCTCCTGGTTTCTTCCCTCAAGGTTCTGCTCACGGCCGGCTTGCTTCAGGGACTATCACATATGTTAGCAAAGATCAAGGACCCTGTAGTATTGTATTAGCTTACCTCGTTACCGATGAGTCCACCAATAGTCTCCTTGGCGGAGCCAGCGGTCTGGTTCCAGGAGCCCTCGGTGCGGTTAGGATCATCGCGGGTAGCAGCTCCAGAGCCAGAGAGGGTGGCACCGGGAAGCTTGGCTGTAGCATGAGAAGCGTCGTGCTCGGCCTCAGCCTTCTGCTTCTTGAGATCGCCGGCAGCCTGGTCGCTGGTGTTGCCAGTGATACTGCCAATAGCGTTCTGGACAGCACCAGTGGTGGAGTCGACGATGGACTTGAGAGTGGAGGGTTGAGCGTCAGACATGTTGATAGAGTGTTTGAGTTGATTTGGGTTTAGTTTGGTTGATGTCTGTATGTAGGTTGAAAGTGTTGATGGTATTGTTTGAGTTCAAGGTTGTTTATAGTTGAAGGAAGAACATCGATTGAGAGCAGGAAGAGGACAGCTTTATAACATTCTTCAGGAAGTCCATCACGAAGGCGAGCTTCATCAACAAGGCAGCTGCGACAATAGAAATGATGTCATAATTTTGAGAGAATGCAGTGACGCGCCGCGTGGAGGGGAAGAGCGCATGGTGGGTAGCTGCTTATGACGTCAATAAAGGAAGGCATCAGCTGCAAACAATTCATGAAACAAACACCGAGAAGTCGTGCTCCATGTTTAGAAGTGGATGTGAGCAACGTAATGATACCTGATCAAAATCACTTGACGCCTTTGGGAGTGGAAAGATCGAGATTGGGGCAATTTCCATGTGCATTCTTTGGATTCTCAAGGGTTCTCTTGGCAATGCATGTGATAGCAAATCATATGAAGTAGTAACAGTGACGAAATACAAAGAAAGGCCTGGAAGCGTTTACGAAGAATCCATGCAAGATGCAATCGGCACCATGCAGACACGGCCTTTGGTGATTGCGTCCGGTATGGTGAAATCTTTACACGCAAAACCTGGCCAATATTCGCCATAATGAATGGTCATGTCTCATTTTGTATCTACCTAGGTAGTCCTTGATCTCAGCTCCCGGCAGTCCATGCCTAACAGGCAAAACACGTTTCCCGGTGCTTGCTTCATGTGAATGAGAGGCGCCTATTTGTTGTCCTTTGAACCAGATACCCAGATACCCAGATAATTCGCAAGCGTCCTTCGGCCAATGACTCCATATTTTCGTCCTCAGAAATTTAAAAGAAAGAGGTATCTCTGATATTACAGTAAGCTATACAAACACGACTGAGCATTGCCTCAGCTGTTCATCGTCATTAACATCCTTGATTCACACGAGGATCCAACACTGATCAAGAAACTCGAATGGAAAGGAATATTTATCATCATTGCAGTAGAGCTTAGTGCTGGCTCCACTGAATGGTGTTAAGGTCGATACCCTCCTGTACGAGCTCCCAGAGAGGGCTCAGCTCTCGGAGGAAGGTGACACGCTCTTGTACCGCCTTGAGGACGTAATCGATTTCTGCCTCAGTGGTAAAGCGGCCGATGCCGAATCGAATGCTGCTGTGGGCGCTCTCATCACTGTTACCGAGCGCACGTAGAACGTAACTGGGCTCAAGCGAAGCAGAGGTACACGCACTGCCCGAGGACAGGGCAATGTCCTTAAGGGCCATCAGAAGCGACTCTCCCTCAACGTAGGCAAAAGACACATTAACGCAACCAGGGTAGAAGGAATCGTGGGCACCGTTCTGGGTTGTATGCTCCATAGACAAAAGTCCGTTGAGCAGGCGATCCGAGAGGTACTTGATACGCTTCGTGTCATACTGCAATCAAGTCAGTTTCTGATGTAGAGCATACGGTTGAGAAGCAGAAGGATTAATGGGGTAGTACTTACAGACATCTCCAGCTTGGCGATACGGCAGGCTTCGCCAAAGCCGGCTACCAAAGACGGAGCAAGGGTTCCACTTCGTAGACCTCGCTCCTGACCACCGCCGGTGATGAGAGGGTCGAGTCTAACTCTGGGTCGTCTTCGGACGTAACATGCACCGATACCCTTGGGACCGTAGATCTTGTGTGAAGAGATGGACATAAGGTCAATGTTCATGGCGTTGACGTCCAGAGGGATCTTGCCCACAGCTTGAGCAGCATCAGTGTGGAAGAAAATCTTCTTCGATCGACACAGCTTGCCGATCTCCTCAATAGGCTGAATAACACCAATCTCATTGTTGACAGTCATAACACTGACAAGAGCAGTCTCGGGTCTGATAGCAGCCTCAAGGTCTTCCATTCGGATGAGACCGTTGTTCTGGACAGGAAGGTAGGTAACCTCAAAACCCTCGTCCTGGAGATGGCGACAGCTGTCAAGCACACACTTGTGCTCAGTTTGTGTTGTGATAATGTGCTTCTTCTTGCCAGATCGGCCAAAGAAGCGAGCAACACCCTTGATGCTCATATTGTTACTCTCGGTAGCACCGCTTGTAAAGATGATCTCCTTGGAGTCGGCACCGATAAGCTTGGCGATATGCTCACGCGCATCCTCCACAGCCTTCTCGCTCTCCCATCCATAAGCATGTGTCCGCGAGTGAGGGTTGCCGTAGGCGCCGACATAGAAGGGCATCATTGCATCGAGGACTCGGGGATCAACGGGTGTAGTAGCCTGCATATCAAGGTAGATGGGGCGCTGGCCCTCGTCCATAACTGCTGCTTGCTTCAAGACTTCTGAAAGAATTAATTAGTTTCAATATCAAAAACCTCACTCATATAGTAGAGCATCTCACTTACCAGCCATTGGGCTAACTTTGGCATTAGAGGGAGCACCAGGAGGGGGGATATCAGAAAATGCCGACTTGTCTAGCTTGATAGCCGTCTCGACCTGAGCATTATCCCTCTTGGTCTCGGTAACATATCCTCGTCGTGATGTTCGCCTCGCCACAACAGCTGCGCGGGCCATGCCTCGCAGAGGAGCCATGGTAACGCGAGAGCCTGAGCTCAAGCTGACTCGGCCTGCCGAGCGCAGGGCGCAGGATGCAATAGTGGAAGTCATGTTGGTGGAATTGCAGATGCTGGCAGTTGCAAGGACGAGAATACGTCTAGCGAAGCCGGAGACGAGACTAGAGGAAGTCAATTTTGGCGGAGGCGATGAGCTCCATGTCAAAAGATTTGTCATTGACGGGCAAGTCGGCTCGGGCACTCGGTGATAAGACTCCGGCAGATCCGGCACGGCTATTGGCTCAATAGGCCGGGGAGCGGCAGAAGGTGCCCTCTTTTAGCTCTTTAGGCCCTAGATTACGGCGGACGGCAAGCCGAACCGTTTTGTGAGGAGGAGGAGGCGATGGTCGTTGAATGGGAATATAAAGATCATCAATTGTGTCGTGGCGAGAGATTGTAGAATATCCAATTAGAGTTTCTGGGGCATCTGCTTCCATCTGCCTCCATCTCGCAGTTCTGCGCATCTAACCTTTGTCCTCCATTAAGACCTTTCTAATCCCAGCATTCAAGTAAGGCTTGTTCCTGGTGCGGGATGTTCCCGTGATTCAGCCTGTGTTAAATGTCCTTCTAAACGAAATCCGCGAGGCTTGGGGCGCAGTGGGTGACCTGACAGCTGAGTGAGATTGATCCCTGGAAGTCGCTGAGTGACGCAACGATCATGACGCATTTGACACTGTAGCTACTGTACCTGTGGCTCCTCTAAATTCGACCTAGGCATCAGTGAAAAGAGCTGTGTCCGTAAAATCGTTCCGAAATCCAGGGACAGAGAAGCTAACGCCAGGAGATTTAGATAATCGCGACACTGAGATCATGGGTACTTAATAAATAAGATGACTTTTTTGTCGGCACAATTTAGACAAAGTACTGACCATTTAAATACGCTTCAACTTTACTGACTTTGAACTCTCTGATCCATAAAGTTCAGCAGCAGGTGCCTGAATTATTTATTCAACCTGCTGATAGCCACAGCATCGGCATCCGGCAGGCTTGGCAACAAGGTCATGGCCAGGCTGGGCAGCAAAAAAAAAGGTGACCTGGACGCAGAAGCTAAAACACAGCCACATAAGTGGACGTCACCGTTCCACGACTCAAGTCGTCTCGTCTTGTCTTAATTGAACGAGCTTGATAAGTTACCTTCTCGTCCAACTTTGGCGGCCTCGCGATCTGAGGATTTTTCGCGATCTTGACACTTCATCCACTGTTAATCGACTCCGCTTCTCGTACTACACTCATCGCGCGATAATTCCTGCTGTGCTCTTACCATGAGCTTCAAAGGCTTCCAAAAGAGCCTCACGCGGGTAAGCCGTGCCCCTCATTTGGTTGCTGTGTTGGATTTCCGACTTGCTTCTGGCGTGCGCAAGAACTCCATCTTGCGCGCGACCGAGTACCTAGTCAAGACACGCCATGGTTATCCTACAGATCCGAGGCAGACGTCTAATATGTCTTCCCCCTAGGCTCCGCAACAACTCAAGCAGAAGTTCAACATAGGCGAGCATACCAAAGATGCCGTCTACATTGACGCCGAGCGTCGCTTCCAGGAACTAGAGACCGAGACCAAGAAACTTCACGATGAATCCAAAAAGTACTTCGAGTCCATTAATGGCATGCTCTCTCACCAGATCGAGTTCAGTCAGGCCATGACCGAAGTCTACAAGCCCATCTCAGGCCGTATGTCTGACCCCGACTCGATGAAGATTGAGGGCAACCCTGAGGGCATCCGCGCCTGCGAAGAATACGAAGCTGTGGTCAAGGACCTGCAAGAAACGTTGGCGCCGGAGCTGGAAATGATAGAGTCTAGGATTATCCGTCCCGCTACCGAACTGCTCGACGTCATCAAAGTGATACGCAAGACCGCTGCCAAGCGCGAGCACAAGAGACTCGACTACGACCGACACCGCACAGCCCTCAAGAAGCTACAGGACAAGAAAGATCGCACTGCCAAGGACGAGAAGGCAATGTGGAAGGCAGAGGGAGACGTTGAGCAGGCGACACAGGATTTCAACTACTTCAACGACCTCCTGAAGGATGAGCTTCCTAAGCTGTTCCAGCTCGAGCGCGAGTTCATCCAGCCTTTGTTCCAGTCCTTCTACTACATGCAACTCAACATCTTCTATACACTACATGAGAAGATGCAAAACTGCGACATTGGTTACTTTGACCTAACACTCGACATTGAGGATGCTTTCCACGAGAAACGAGGTGATATTCAAGAGCAGACAGAAGCTCTGTCCATCTGCCGCTTCAAGACGACTGGACGCCCACGACCTGTGCGTTATGGAAACAAGCCCGCGCTCGAAGGCCCCAAGCAGCCTGCTCTCCTCACACAGGGAGGTGAGGATTCCAAGCCTTCCAGCAGTACCGTTACCAGTCCCAAGATCGGTGGCTGGCAACGCCCAGCCTCGACCGCCAACGATTCCGCCGCGCCTCCTCCCTACACCCCACCTACAGGAGCCAATGCAGGCCTGGCTGCCATTGCCGCTGGCAAGAAGAAGCCCCCACCTCCCAAGCCTAAGCCCAAGCCTATGCGCTTGACAGCTCCAGGAGTCGAGACTGTTACAGCTCTGTACGACTACGCTGCGCAAGCCGAGGGTGACCTGAGTTTCCGAGCTGGCGATGTTATCGAGATCCTCACAAGAACGCAGAACGAGAATGAGTGGTGGACCGGACGACTGCAAGGCAAAGAGGGCCAGTTCCCAGGTTGGTGCTTCTCTATGTTACTAACTCTTGGTAACGTGCTAATTGGTCACAGGCAATTATGTTCAGCTCAACAGTTGAGGAAGATGTTCACTGCATTGATTGCGATGGTAGTCGAATGCACGATATGGCATTCACTACCTCGACACCATGACACGAAGCAAAGCATCACACTACAACCCGCCCACAATAGACGCTCATAATTTCAAAGGACCGCATAGGTTGGGGAAATATAGGAGGGGCCACGGCGCACGGCGCGTGAAGCATAGGAGTCTGAGTGAGAAAGACGGAGCCGCAGTCCATTGTGTTTGTTCAACGTCCTTGAAACAAGATGATTGACCCCTTCGTTTCTGGAGATGCAACGAGCCTCTGTGGCCAACTAGATGGGGCATTTCTGGCGTTATGGATAGGGCTTTTGCTTGCCGGCGGAAGCAGATAATACAAATATCATTCTTATTATGTTCCTGTCCTTGATACACCAATCATCTCCTTGACTCTGGGCTTTGGAAGATGTTTGTATGACTATGGGACTTTGCTCTTGTGTCATTTGAAACCCTGTGTTTCCAGTGCATAACACCCGGGTGTCATCCTGAAGCGGATAATATTGCCATTATAGTAGTGGCTACCTCAGTAAAATAGGGGTTTATAAGACTGGACTTGGGCTTCAAAGAGAACTTCAGACACATGGGCACCTCTGAGTTCGAGTCATACTCGCCATAGCGGAAGAAGATTGGGACTCTAAATGAGACAATATTACTTTCACATCTGGTTCAAAAAGGATAATTAGTGACTGACAATACGCTCTCTTCTTTCCAATAGTTCAACTTGAAGATCATCCTCCTAGTGTAAGTGGACAGTGCAGATATGTATGCGATAAGACGGTGCTTATCTGATATGGGGCAGGACTTTTTTTCTTGATGCTTCAAGCAGAACCTCAGTCTTCTGACCCTACGATCACCTCAACCACTCTTTGCAACATCCTCAAACTGCAGTCAGAATGGCTCCCGTCGAAGAGATTGGAGATCAATTCTCCATACTACCTATAAAGATCCCCGCGACATCATCATATCCAGAGACCGCCTTTCACGAAGTGCGCATACGGAGAAATGCGCCCAAGATCCCAACAGCCAACGACTCGCGAAGCCTGTTCCTCAAGAACATCCCCGCAGACAGCACAGAAGCTCACTTCCGTGCTGTGTTTACACAGCTCGTAGGCGCTGGCCGATTTGAGAGTATCGCCTTCGAGGACGAGTCGCGAGCACTGCTACCTATCGACCCTGCGCAAGCCACGAAACTTACTGCCCTGGTGAAGAAGAGAAAACGTGGGGACGTGGAAGCGGAGGAGAAAGAGAGAGAGGAGGAGGCTGCGCAATTGCCGCAAATATGGTTGCGACGCGTACAACGCAGTAGTAGCACTGCTGTTGTGCTTCTTGCAGACGATAAGAGTGTGCAACTGGTACTCAAGGCCATCGCAAAGTTGCAGAAGAACAAGAAGTATCCCTCGTGGGACAGCGATATCTCCGACGTTCCTTCGCTTGGCTCTGCGTGGATCGCATCGCATCTACAACTTTCGCGAGTCGACAAGCCAGAGACCCAGAAGGCTGTACACGCCTTCTTCAGCGCTTTCAACCGCAAGGAGAAGGATGCTATCGAACTGGCCAAGCGACTGCGCAACGAGCCCGACGAGGATGGATTCGTCACAGTAACTCGTGGCGGACGAGCCGCTCCCGCCAGCAAGAACGAGGCCGAGGAGGCCAAGCGCAGAATGATCGATAGAGCTACCAAGAAAAAGTCTGAAACCCAGGACTTCTACCGCTTCCAGATGAGAGAGCGACGCAAGGCGGAACAGATGGCCTTGGTGAGGAGGTTCCAAGAGGACAAGAGGAAGGTGGACGCGATGCGGGAGAAGAGGGGCAAATTCCGGCCAGAGACATGAAGTGCCTGACCCAAGACTGCAGTTCATTCATGTAAGTCATGATGGTGTTTTGTTTTTATTATGTCTTTCATGATAACGTCGCGGCGCCATCAAAGCATGATGGAGTAGCAAGATCGATCAATTGGTCTCCCATCTGGGTGCCGAAAACACCGCGTCACAATCTTCTCAATTTCGTCCGACATACAAACTGTTTCTATATTTGGCCAGCTGTGTGTTAGTGAGCTCTGACTGACTAAAATGTAGACTAGCTGTGGAGCTCCTCAGACTCGAGTGCCTGCGCATGTGAAGTAGCAAGCAAGCAGGGTATCTGATTCAGCGTCTGTCGTGGTGAGGCACAAGCTATGTATATCGGCGAGTCAATTATAATAATACATTACCTCGTTGGGTTGAAATTGGGTTGGAACTTGAGACGCGCTATTACAAACACAGACTTCCTGTCACCAGCCGCTCGGATCAAGTCAGACCCTTGGGGTCCGATCAGAAGGGTCCTCATTAAATTAAATGAGCAGCCCACGAATTGAAAGCCCGGATATGAGACTACGAGGGGAATAGCCTATTCGGGCCTATGGTTTCTACCACGTTTTACACTCTTGTCCCGCCTCGAACCTGACACCGAAGCGGGGAGGACCCTGTTGGAGACGGAGACACGAGGGGATCTATAGAAAGAATATAGAATCAGTGAAGCTTCGAATCTCGATCCATGTTCCATACAGCTGACGTTTCGTTTCCTCTGCGTGGTCGAGGTCTTGTGTGTCTGCGCATGAGTGACGTCTTGAAGTCTGTGGAAGGTAGTCAAGATGCGCATTATGCTTAATTGCATCGTGACTGTTGTTCTCTCTCTGCGGCGTAATCATTTGATTCTTTGTTCGTCTATCTCTATTGTCCTGTATTCATTGTCTGGTGGCGTATCCTGTAAACATACCAGACGTCCACTTCTGACCCATCAGCATTCTGCTACAAGGCTTTCTAGGCTGGTTGGTGGGACCGCACCCCTCAAAGAAAAGAGAAAACTCCCCAGAATGCTCACCCATTATATCATAAAGAACAAAGAAAAAACTTCAAACATCTGCAGTGCCACCTGTCGAGCGCTGTCTTGTCAAAAGGATGACCCCGGCTGGTCGTTGATTCAGGCCCGCCTCACTTTCCCAGACCTTTGATTGGTCGGGCGTTGTTTACTTTCTCCCCCACATAGCAACCAGCCTCTCCCCACCACAACAATTAAAGCAGAACAAAGCCAGTATAACAGACCATACCGTATCTTACTTAGACAGGACCAGCACGAATTGATGGGTAAAAAGTTGTCCTGTTCAACTCTAAACGAGCAATAGGGGGCTATGCTATCTTCATCATCGCTTCTGTCTCCCTGCAGTTCCTCTCACAATGATCGATACCGACAATCTTCGCACAGCTTCGCTGTATATCAATAACCAGCTTCTATCAAGAGGCTTGCTTCGCGATGGCCAGAGCATTGATTTCGCCGGCGCGGCCTTTGATGGCGATGACTCTGGAGCTACAATGGGGCGTATCATGAGCGTGCTCAATGATTTAATACTCCGACGAGATGTATGATGAGCCTTTCTCTCCTATCTCTGTTGCTATCTATCATACTAACTCTACGCAGCGTGATGCAGAACATCGCGAATCCCTTTCGACGACCATGCGCACACTTCGCGCCGATAACCTCAAACACACCAACGATATTGCGCGACTTACAGAGAAGCACACAGAAGCAAAGAGAAAGCTCGACATTGCAGAAGCTTCAGAGTCTTCACTCAAGACACAGATGAAGTCAGCCGACGCCGCCATACGCGGTTTAAAAGAAGAAGTCGCTCGCACAAAGGGACTGGTCTCCCAAGCGCGCGCTGCGTGCGCAACCGACGTACGTAGACGAGACCGTCAAATCGATACCCTAAAGAAACAACTTGGTGAAGCTGGACGTGCACGAGGGTCGCGAGGTAACCCTGGTGTTATCTCTATTACCGTCACAGGCGACGTTGGCGAAGACAAGTCGTCTTCCACACGTGGCGGCAGCATATCAGATGATGAGTACGACCTGCGTAACGAGACAAATGCTTTCCTGGCAAACCTATCACAAAATCTTAGTGAGGAGAACGAGGCCATTCTTGTCATAATGCGCAAAACCATGAAGCAGTTGCGGGACATGAGCGGGTGGAACAACGACAACCAGGATACCCTTGTTATTCAACAACAAGGATGTCAGGACATGTCTGCGGAGCTGGACTCTGTGCTGGAACACATGCGAACTATTCTGACGAACCCTTCGTTCGTACCAATTGAGGAAGTTATGGTACGAGAGGAGGAGATCAGCCGTCTCAAAGATGGCTGGGTCAAGATGGAGAGTCGCTGGACCGAAGCAGTCCACCTTATTGACGGCTGGCGCAAACGCATGGCTGCCAACGGACGACCCATCTGTGATAAGGAACTTCAGATGGGACTACGTCTTAGCCCTGTGAGAGTGAGAGATGTGGAGGAGACCAGACACGCATCTGGCCTGAGACTTTCTGCTGTGGTTGAAGAGTCTGAAGACGAAGATATGCACGTTATGAACTCGCCATGTCCTTCGCGCTGCTCTCCAAGCGTTCAGCTTGTTCCAGAATCAGAACCCGAGGATGAGGGCGGTCGCGATCATGAAAGCGATGTTGAATCCGACTACGACGACCAAGTGCCAATTGACGACTACGACATTGAAGAGCCTAATGTGCAGATTCTCCAGCAGTCCACAGCAGCTCCCCTTTACCACCAAGGCCACGAGGCTTCACCACTCCCAAATCCCCCACAGCTGAGCCCCCTCAAGGATTCGGCATCTGCAGGAAACCGAGGGTCTCCACGATCCAAAAATCATGGGAAGAGAGACTTCACCGCCATCATGGAGGAGGATACTCTGGATGACGATCCCGTTCCTTTACGGTACAACAACCATGAGCCTCGCGATCGTGTCTCGTCATCCTCTTCCCTTGACGAAGTTCTCCTCAAGTCGCCAGATGCTGCGCCCCAAGTCCGGGATGTAAATATAGTTACACCCAGACGAAGCCTCCAGCGCAGCACTGAACAACACGATCACTCCGAAAGCGGTCCGACGTCACCCAACCGATCCCCTCGTCGGACCGCATCACGTCTTCCTCTCCCGCGGAACATCGAACCTGCTCCTCAACAGAGTCCCCTCACTATGGCCACCATCGCCGCCAAACTGGCCGCCTCCGAACGTGAGGCCGACGCTGCTCGAGTCCGAGCCAAACTTCGTGCGGTTCGTGGAACTCGTGGAGTTAAGAAACCTACAATTGCTTCCTCTCAGCCTGAACCACAAGCTGCTGTTGGGCCCCCAGTAAAGGAGCAAGAGCCCAAAAGAAGTGATCGCGAGAATGTAGACCCCGTGAAGAGAGATCCAGCACCAGCTGATGAACAGTTGAAGCCCGAGAAGCGGCGTCGTGACCGCCGGATGAGCAAGAGTGCATCGCGGCGTAGGAGTACATTGAGTCCGTGGGAGCTTGAAAGTTTGATGAATGGAAACGTACAGTAATGGAAATTTGTCATGACACGGTGGAATCCTGGAACTAACGTTGAATTGGGCAAATATTGGTCTGGCGTTTGGTGTAGAGAAGCGGTTAATTACCCCAGATTAGGGATAGTTTAATGCATATACTTGATGGATGACATTCATCATCGTTGTACAAGACTTGACAAGAAGGGTCTGTTCAAATTTCAAAGAATAGGCGTAAATTCATAAAGCGACCAGATTTCTAAGATACCGCCGAACAAACACAACGTTGGTCCATCCTTCCACGAGCAAACCACGCACTCATAAGTGTGTACCCCAAGCCGACCCGTATAAGCTAACTTATCAAAGAGAGACTGAGTGAGTTTCGCAACGGGTAACCGTTGTAAGCGTAGTCGCGCTCGTGGTCCCTATGATATTGTTCGAATTCCTGAACTCCAAAAAACCCATGACCAATAAACAGAAGCATGAGAAAGTTTGTTTGTCTTATCTTCATGGTTGCTTTCATGCCGTATCTTTGTGCCGGCTTACAGAGTGGGTGCTGTGGCAATGAGTGCAGACATGACAGCAACACCGCCAAGGGCCGCATACCCAACTACCTCGGCCATACGACGAAGGCGTTTCTGTGCTGGAGGTGCCACCGCCGCGGAAGCTGCTCGGCGAAGGTTTCGAACGGCTTGGGCCTTGCCCACACGGAAAGCTGGCCGTCGGTAGAGCACACCGTCCCGCGTGCTTGTACGCCTCTCCGCTGGAGTGACGACAGAAATGTCGCCAGCCTTCCTCTTTGATTTCCGAGTAATTTGATGTGGTAGGCTAGAATCTTCGGGTGTTTCAAGCTCCTTGTTCACATTGCCCTTGACTGAAGTGGATTCGTGTGCTGCGTCCCTTGAGGATTCAACTGAATCAATGGCCTCCACCGTCGCATTGTCCTCAACAACAACAGCCTCGTGCGTTGCTTTGGTGGCAGATCCATCAAGACCAAGGGCTCGTTTACTTTCCTGAAACTTGAAAGCAGATGAGTCGTCAAGAGCAGGTACCACACTTGGACTCTCAAGAGGATGCTCAATAGGGGTATCGAGGAATTTAGCTCCAGAAGTTGCCAAATCCGAGGCGACTAGTTGCTGATCTTGATGATCACGAGCATCTTTGGTGTTTTCCGCCCCCATTGAAACGATTTCACTTGTGTCACTAACCCAAGATGTGTGGCCTGGCACCTTGACAACTGACTGGGCTTGACCCTGAGATCGCATGTTATTCGCGAGAGCGCTGGCTCTGTTTTCTTCTCTAGCATTGAAGAAGTCGTGCTTCCCAGTCTTCATGCCCATTACCTCAGCCATTGTTTGGCCAGGAGGGCATTGGTTGAAAGCGATTGCCTCTGAGATTGAGGGCAACTTCAATGATGAGAACATGTTATTAGGTACCACGGGTGGTAGATCAGGCTTCCAGTTGTAGTCGGTGTTATCCTTTTGGATTTCGTTCAGACTAGCTGTTTCGGCGCCGTCCGGCTGCTGGGAAGCCCTGGTGGCACAGATGCTGGGGGACTCTGCCTCAGGTCTCTCGGGTTGGTCATTTAGAACAGCACGTACAGTGGCGAATCGGCTTAATGTGTTGTCGACCATCATAGATGTTTCCACAGGGGCCTCCTCAGCTGGAGGTTCAATCGAGGAGTAGAATGAGTTATCAATAGCAAGGGCATCTGGACAGGAGTTAAAGCTGCCCAAATGATTGAAACGCAAGAACATACCTTGGTCATGTTCAGACTCCAGCTCAGCGATCTCATCGTCATCCTCAGAGACGTCTGTGTCATCATCATCATACGCTTCTAAAAGAGGCGAGTTGGCAAAGCTTTCGCTCTGGGCATCAGAGAGTTGATCGAATGGGTCTCTTGCATCATCGGCCATGCTAATAGGCTGTGATACATCGTCGACTTCTTCGTCTCCCTCCTCGTCATCCTCCATATCCGAAAACTGCCATGTGTTATCTTTAGGCGAGGTAGGCACGTATTCAACCGAAACGGGGGAAGGTCCGGAGGGCTGGGGAAGTGTCATGTTTGGTAGCTGGGAGATCCCTTGGGGTGAGTGAGGCGCAAAAGCTGATCCGTTCCTAAGACTAGATCCCGGGAATCGTTCGTCTTGTGTCAAATCGATCATGGCACGATAGTGAAGCGTCCGAACATCATTTGAGTGCAACATTTGGCAACTGTTGCGGACTTGGTCGTCGCTACTGTTCTCGTCTTCTATATCACTTTCTTCAGGCACGAAGAAGCAATTTCCACGTTGTTCTGGGCTAGAGGGTTGATTAGCTTTGAAACACAAAATGCATGTGAAGAACATACTCGCGAGAGCCGAACTTGATAGATGTGTTGATTAAGCAAGGAGGGTATTTGTGCAAGCCTCTCTCAATAATAGCACCAAACTTGACCTTATCGCCGTTGAGTATTTCCGAGCTCATGTTCGTCTCGAGGCGGACATCGTTTTTATATGTCCCGTGGAGAGATCCGGTATCCTTTAGAAAAACTTTCTGCATTCGTGTCAGCCCGAGATGAGATTTAGAGTTCGATACTCTTGTTGATAAAAGCTTACCTGTTTCTCGCTATCGAATGTGATAAGTGCATGCTTGCGGGACATGACTGGCGAGTCGAACCAAGCGTTACTCTTGGCAGCTTCAAACGAAGCATTTCTCTTACTCGTCCGACCGATTTCGATCGATGTTCTCTTCTTGCTCAGAAATATGCGGCGTTCTGGGAACGAAAAGTTGGGCGGAGGATTAACGCTCGAGAGCGAGATCAAGACTATGCACATTAGCTTTGCACCGTGAAGCTCTGAGTATCATAGCCTGACGAAGTTTGTGGCTTTTCGGCCATTCTTTTTTCTACTTTTGTGTTAAAACTTACCTTCATCGCGATACTCGGGCACTGCCATTTTGACCGTGTAGTTTACCAGCAGCAGTCTTCGTGACGGAAAGCTTGTTTGTTGCTCGACGAGTCTGTTTGATAAGGTGCGGTGCACAGTGTCTCATATATACCCACGTCGGGTCCACATGCGAGATGGTCAGCAAGGTAGGGTAAGTCGTGTTGGGTTCAACGGCGGATGTGAGGCCGTGAAGGGATACGAGACAAAGAGAGGGAGGAGGAGAAGGTTGAATAAGCCTTGAGATGAGGAAAGGGGAAAGTATAACTATAAAAGCAGGTACATAAGAGAGATGGAAGGTTGAGCTCGCAAGTCAATGAATGGAGAAGCTGGAAGGTTAAAGAGGAAGTGGGGCAGCTGTCCGTGAACGCTCACTGCCGGAGGGGCTAGGGAGGCAGAGGAGCCAGCAGGCAGACAGGTGACAGCCCACAGGCAGCGATAACGCTTATCGGAGCTAGGATGCGGGGTGAGAGGCAGTGGAGATTCTGTGCTGGACAACCTTGCTCGCTTGCGCAACCCGCAGTCATGATGGTGATAGATGCCCAGTGCTTCGGATTTATTTTGATCGATATTTCCAAGTGAAGCTTTCATTCTTCTGAGAATGCCCATAACTTGTACACATCAGAATTTACCAAAGGTTTAGATCATGCATTACGTCTGTTGTTCAAGACGGCTTGATCAGCTCAGCCAGCAGTTACACTCAGGGTCTACCAAGGACTTACTCCGTACAGCAACTTAACAGCAGCCGGGCGAAGTGGGTCACACTGTGTACTACCTAGGTATCAGGACCTGGGTTTGATACGCAGTTAGCAGTCAGTCATATTACAATCCATTACTACTCTACTAGAATCAACCAACTATCTACTCTACGAAGAAAACACCACCAGCCTTCGCAGCTCTCTGTCGTCCCAAACATTGAAGCTATGGATGCAGTGTTAAAATCGGGCCGACGAAAGAACGGCTGGTATGAAGAGGTCATCGATGAGTGAGGGAGGAGCTGTTACAGTAGTAGTCTATCAAGATCGAACTAGGTTGAAAATGGCTTTGGATGGTCCACACTATCAATCATTCTCAGGGTCTACGGATAAAGATAGTACAATTGCGGGAATTGTGGAACGACCACCTGATGCTCTCTTAAGCTCTCTTGATAACTATCCGTTGGTGGACTCATATCCCCGTGACTACACCCCCATCTTAATTCTCGGACAACAGCTTGGAAGCGATGGGGGGAGAATAATGAAATGTCAGGCTGAAAATGTACAGTATTCATCTGGTTCGCAACTCTTCTGGTATCAGCGTGGCTACAACCCCATCTGCACTGATCCAACGCAACCATATTGCCTACATACCTACCTAGATATCCGGTTCTTTGACGTGGCAAGGCGTTAAAATTCCATTTCTCGAAAGCATAAACACACTGTGAGTCAAACCCACCAGCTGCCCGGAGCAAATGAAAGGCTTCGTGGTTCAGCCAGCCGAGGGCCAACCAAAGGTTCGCAGTTGTACGGCAATGATTTGACCAAACATGCATCCGCCTCGTCATATCTGCAGTCGTACTGTAGTTTGCCTGTCGCCTCGTCCGCCCAACTGTGTCACAATCACTTGACGACGAGAAACCCCCAGAACTCTCCCTATAAATACCTCCATGCTCACACGATGATATCAATCTAGCTGAAGCTTAGCATTCGGCTAAACATCATCTGGTTTTCAGCTAAGGAGGCGGCACTACCTAGAGGTATGGAATGATCCAACTGGGGATTGAAAGATGGCGCGCGTACTATGAACAGGTACCTACGGTCTCGTAAGCCAGGCAGCCAGGCTGTGCCGTACTTTTGGCCGGTGCCTGTCCTGAATAGACCTCTCAGTCCGCTAAGTTAGCAGTTCGAGTTTCACTTTTGCCTGTATCTAGCCGTGTTGGACCTCGGCTGCATCGCAACTGACGATCTCTCATCACACCACTTTTCACGATTCACTCGCTGATTCAGCCGTGAGACCATCACGAAGTCTCGAAAGCACAAACGAGAACTACTATACTTGGCGCTTGCTCAGGCATTTAAAGAGAACGCGCTGATTCGAGACATCTTATCAGCAGGGTACGATGCGCGTTAAGTGATGATCGATGACGCTGACCGAGACAAGGGTCATTTTCAGGTGGAGAGAAGCGGGTGAGTGGAACAAAAAGCGGGACTGACGTTGACATTCCTTGTCCCTTTTTCTGGGGATGTCCACAGATGCTGTCATAAGAGGAACCACATGTGATATGATGATGAGAACCTCATGAAAGTACAAAATAGTAATACATGATTATTCGAGCTAGAGGCTACTTCGAGGAGAATCTGGAAGCGATATGAAGCATTTGACAGCTTATAAAGATCTGTACCTGAGTCACAAACCCCTTAACCGTTGTACTTACCACCTGCATGGACTTCAACCAGAAAGGCACTTAAACTTTGCGCCTAAAGGTTTGCCACTAAAAGCCCTGGAATTTCTCAGCGGCGCCTGATCCACTGTCCCACAGGGCAGCTCATGTCCTACGCCACGCCACAATCCGGGCAGTTCTCACAGGATTTAAACAAATATTCATTACCATCCACTTCTTTGTCTTTCTTCCTTTCGCTTTTTGCTTTTAAACACGGTATCTCAAGGTGCAACTATCTTGCTAACACCTAACTCCGAATCTTTCCTCGAACTCACCTCTCGGAATTCCCTATGGACTTTATGCCTCGATACGCCTATAAAACAACACAAGCCTCCATCTACCACGCTCATACCAATCGATCCAGACCCAAAACCATACCTAAGTGACAACTTTTTGGACCAGACGCGGATCACTTGCCGCAAACTTCTCATCCTGACCATCTACAAACTTGCTTGTACTCGACTTCTGCAAGTTTTCATCAACTTACATATCAACACTCCAAAGCGCAGTTGTGTTCGACAGAGTCCACAACAGTTGGGCTGCAATCAAACAATTAGTCAACCTTGAACCTCACCAGAAACGATGAACCACGCTCGAGTCAAGGCCCTCAAAGGCGACGGCAAGACCGTATCGAAGAAAGCCATCAAGTCTGGCCGCGCTTCTGCCAACCTGACTCCTCGAGGGTCTCCCTTTGCTTCGCTTCTGACGTCACCTGCACATTCCGCAGCCCCAAGTAGGGCCGCCTCTGACGAGAGCGAAGATGAATTCGAGTTTGACGACACCATGAGCATTGCTTCAGCAAGCTCGCTAGTCGACACCAACGAAGACGGAACCAACACATTTGACGCCCAGAAGTTTATGGAGGAGCTTCAGGATCGCAAGCACAACAACAGCGATGCCAGGAACCAGCTTCTGGAACTGTACATTAAAGTTCTGCGACATCGATTCGCACCTGCAACTGAGGAGTGGCTTGACGAGTCTGCCAGCGCCCTAGCTGAGCTCTTCATCCGTGGCGCTAATCGTGGCATGGAAGCCAGAGAGCGCTTGCTTTATCTTCAGGCCTACCTGTTGACCCTCAGTACCTCCGAGGATGCCAACATCTATGAGCAGGCCGATTCAACTCTGAAGCAAATTATTAAGGACGACGATGACGAGGAGTGTAAGGCTTTCGGCATTTACGCATTGTGCTTCACAGTACTCTACGGCGGCGGTGGTGAGACAGAGGCTCTGGAGTTGCTCGACTACTTGTACGCTATTGTTGAGTCTGATGGCGACAATATTGATTCTTACGACAATGGTTTTATTGTTGCTGCTGCTCTTCGAGGCTGGGCCTTTGTTGCCAGCCACGTGGACGACTTTTCATATGCAGCTACTATGGCTTTGGATGGGTTCTATGAACAGCTCGATAGTATTGATGTTGGTGTACAAACAAACGCTGCTACTTGCATCGCCCTCATTTTTGAGGCAGCGCGGAAGCACGAAGAGGAGACAGGGGAGTCTTGGGATCTTCCTGTCAACCCAGAGAAGCTTACAGGTCGCATGTCGGAGCTCGCCAAACAGAGCTCGAAATCTGTGTCGAAGAAGGATCGTCGTGACCTTCGTGAGAGCCTGATCAGCGCCATTACGTCTCTCGAGAAGGGTGTGGGTCCTGGGTATTCCTCCGCTGGTTACACGCCGCAGAAGGGCGAGCATGTTACCTCCAAACCCAATGAGGATGGTGTTGTCGAATTTGGATACCGCCACAAGCTTCGCCTCGGTCACTACGTCGCTGTGATCGATTCGTGGTCACTTTCTTCCCGAATCGACATGATGAGACTTCTCTTCGGCGGGCACCTACAGAAGCACATTTTCGAGAACCCTGTTGTGGCCGAGTGTCTCAGTGACGCCAACTTCACCGAGCAGAGTCCGATGGCAAAGAGAAAGTAAAGTGGTAGGACACGGCGGATTTCCAATTTTCTTGTGACGATAGGTGTTCTTATTGGGGCGTTTTGTTAAAGAGTTTATAATACCTGTTTGCTTTTTGCTGCATTGGAGGATTTGGCTGTGAGGCATACTATCCTCAGCGGTGGCTCGAAGTTTGTCAAAGATAAGGCATAGACACGAGAACGGTCAATACATATGGTTTCAGTACTGGCGTTTGTTTGAACGGTGGAAGATGGCTAGTCTCTGTCAGTTAGTGTGTTGTTCGACAACGTTTGTTTGTACATGCGTGTTGAGAATCTATAACCATAAGAGGGTTTTCATCATTGACAAGTATCTGACTTGCGATTTCAGGGCCAGAAAATAAGAGTCTTTGGTATTGATGATCATTGGTCGCTTATCGTGCCTTGTCCAAACCCAGCCACAATTGAACCCCACCGAATCATTAATGAAACTTGGCATCAACCACTCAGAAGCTGCAGCACCATCCTTGACCTGACCTGGGCTGTTTTCAAGGCAGGTCATTAGAGGCCAACAGGCCAACAGGCATCGACATTTCTCTTTCCTCTATTTCCCTGTCTACCACACAACACTCGCAATTCCATCTCCTGAAGAATCCCACGGTCGTTGATACATATACATAATGACGCGAGTCTTGGTTTATACCGCGGCCCTGGCGGCTTTTGTAGCTGGTACGTTTACTATCTCTCCTCCAGCTACAGCCACAGCGCGTCTTCAATGACGTAGCCCCATGGCAATGCTTCCATTCAAATCCACCAAGAAGAAAGCATCGCGGGCTAACATGCAACAGCGACGGTCATGATAGCGGTCCCCATTTGGCTCCCCAACTGGGTGACATACTCTGTCACTTCGGCCACGGGCGATACTGTCGAGAGGCACATCGGTCTACACAAGAGCTGTTCGACGCTTGATGATCCATACTGTCGAGACTTTCCTCCCAGAAATCTGTGCGAAGGAGGAGAGCGATACTTCTGTTCTATGTGGAGGACAGTTGGCTTCCTGGCATCTTTCACAACTCTCTTGTGTCTCGGTGGTCTGGTCACATTTATTGTCATCATGTGTGGCGGCAAATACAAGCGCGAAACGGGATGGCCTTTTGCCGCTGGCATGCTGACACTGGTCTCTGTGGTCGAGTTCGCGGCCATTTCTATTGTGGTGAGTCGACTATCTAGGAGTGAAATCATCTCGAAAGACAAACTTATCGAAGCTAGGCATACCTTTACGACAACGACGATCAGTTCACCATTCCTGGTTGGAACCTTGACGTTTCCTTCTATCTCAGTACAGCTGGAGCTGCCATCTCTCTTTTGACTGCTGCTGGCGTTACCCTCTCAGCGTATCTGCTTCCTCCCGAGGAAGGCTACGATTTCCTCTCGGACCCTCTCGATGCTTAGGGGATGCTTCTACGTGACTAATACTTGGTTTTGTTGACTGTTTGTGATTTGCATTTATTTCATCATTCTCATCTGAAGGTGCTTGAGTTTGATTCTGGAGTCTTGAGTATTGCCTTCTCTGGGTGGTACACTACGAGAAGTGCTGATATAGATTAATACAAACGGGCTCTGCTGCAGTCCCCTTGATAGAGACGTACAATAAATCGATTAGATTATTTCTTCCGAACTTTGGAGCTTAAATGTGGTAACAAGTAAGGAACAATTGAGCATCAATGAGCCAAAAGTCAACTAGCCAACTCGGACATATTTCATGATTTTCCCCAAACTTTTATGGAAATGCTCTAATGATTAGCAAGCAGACTCTAACTCGGAGTCGGCCGCTTTATCTGTTGGACATAAGCAACCGCATGAGGCATCTGATGATAATGTAGGCCGGCGGGGTATGTCTTCCCCCCACCTTGCACAACTCGTACTGTAAGGATATCATCTTATCACCATTCCAACCTCGGCTTGTAGATCAACTCCATACAAATCACGTACAGAGCGCATACAAACTGCACATACGAAACAAACTCTTGCTCTTCTTATACTCGAAAACCCTGGCACCATGTCTATCGAAACAACTGGTCTCTCACCAGAGCAGCTAGAAACCTTCAACCACGATGGCTACCTCATCCTCCCTGGTGCTCTCTCTGGCCCCACCGTCAAGTCTCTTCTAGACGAAACTCACCATCTTCTTGAATCTTTCTCCCTGGAGGATCACCCTCTGACACGCTTCTCGACCGGTGAGAAACGTGATCATGTTGGTGACGACTACTTCCTCACCTCAGGCGACAAGGTTCGCTTCTTCTTCGAGGAGGACGCTTTTGACGATGAAGGAAACCTTATAAAGCCCAAAGCTCTTGCTGTCAACAAGATCGGCCATTATCTTCACGCCTTGTCACCCCCCTTTGCGCGTCTGCTGGAACATGATGCCAGTAAGGTTAGCCCACCAGCGGTAGCCCGCAGTCTTGGCTTCAAAGATCCACGATGCCTCCAAAGCATGGTCATCTGCAAACAGCCAGAAATAGGCGGGGCAGTTCCTCCTCACCAAGATAGTACTTTCTTGTATACGAAGCCGCCATCGGCGGTGGGCTTCTGGTACGCTCTTGAAGATGCTACTCTTAAGAACGGATGTCTGAGTTTCCTACCTGGATCGCACCGATGGGCGCCAGTGGAAAAGAGACTTGTGCGTAAGGCGGATAATGCCGGTACGGAGATGGTGGATAATGATGGACCCCAGTTTCCAGCGACCGATGGTTATGGAGAGTATGCGCCAGAAGGGCAGCATGAGTATATCCCTGGCGAAGTCAAAGCTGGCGATTTAGTTCTCATCCACGGAAACCTATTGCATAAGAGTGAGAAGAACACAAGTTCGAAAGGAAGGATTATTTACACATTCCATATCATCGAAGGACAGGAGAAGGACTACGACGAGAAGAACTGGCTGCAGCCTCCCAAAGAAGGATTCACCAGATTGTACGCCTAAATTGGATACCACAAATTCCAAGAGTACTAAAATTGTATGCCATTATGTGCCGCTCGGTAGAGCACTTATCTATGTTCCGTTTTACGTCCACAATAACTTATCTGATAACATACACAGCGAGATAGGTTCCGTGGGTATCTCGCTTGGAACTGGTCCGTCATCGTTTTTACAGTCTATCCACCTCATCCCGACACTCACCAACTCTCGTTCCTTAATCATGAACAGCCGGGTATCATTAAATCCTTACTCAGAGTCCGAGCCGTCCTCGCTCGAATTATCATCAGATCCAGAGTCACTTGAAGACGACGAGTCGCTGGAGTCTTCCTCGCCAGGCTGTCTGTAGGAGGACCGCGCAGGCGCTTCAGCCTCTGACTCATCGTCCTCCGACGAGGAGCTTCCGCTGCTGCTGGTGTCATCATCGTCATCCGCATCATCATCTGAGTCAGACTCGGAACTGCTCGAGTCGCTGTCTTCGACGTTCACGCGAAGCTTTCGTCGACGCTTTGCGGGCATACCGTCAGTAGGCTTGGCGCTCTTCTCAGCAGGAGTGGTGGTTGTAACATTGCTATCACTTGCGGCGATTGTCTGAGATGATGTGGTGCTCATCTCAGTATCATCACTATCGGAAAGCTCATCAATGACAAGTTCAGCTCTCATGCGCTTCACAAGTCGTCGAATAATGATCTCGTCCTCATCAGAATCTGAGAGGTAGTCCACCTCAGCGAAGCCCTTTCTCTTAGATCCGACCGGCTGGCTTTGCAGGAGCTTGGTGAGAATTTCTTCATAGCGCTGCTGGGTAGCCTCAAGGTTCTTGGTACCTTCAGGGAATGCCTTTGCTCCATCTGATTGGTCCTGATCCCTGACCTCGCGGGCAGTCTCCAGCAGTCGCATTCTGACAAAGCCCTTCAAGTCTTGGATGTAGTCGTAGAAGGTTTCAACGTCAGAGGCGGGGATTCCATCGGCATCGAAAACGTGCTTGATGAGGTTTGACTGGTGGTTCTTGTTGAACTTCCAACTGTCACGGGCAGTCTTCCAGAGGCTCAGGTACTCGAGTGCAGGCTTGAGGTCCACGGGCAGCTGAGGCTTGGGCTTCTTTGCGGGGCCCTTGCTCTTGGCCTTGCTCTGTTTAGCGGGCTTTGATGGCGTCCTGGGAAAGTTGCCGTTGCCGTTGTTGTTGGATGATGTTTCAGCAAAGGTAACCGATTTTTGTCTCTTCAACTGTGCCTGGGCATTCCAATTTGCTGTGGTTTCATCCTGACGTGGTCGCTTGGCAACCTGAGAGGAATTGTAAGGCGGCGGGGCGTCGAATTTTCTCTTTGTGGTTGACTGGGTGCTTGTGCTGGTGCTGCTGGTTGGGTGCCCAAAGCTGGGCTCAGACGCATCAGATGGCTGCTTGAGCTTCAAGCCCAATCTCTTCCAAGCGGGAACTTGTCCTGACATTGTGAGAGGTTGAGGTTTCTGAGATAAGTGAAGGGGAATAAGCAGTACGGAGAGAGAGAGAAAGAGTGAGAATGAACAATTTCAAACTCAAAGTTTCGACCTTGAAAAGTCTTGCCTTTCCTTCAGCCTTTCTCGAATGTTTGCTGTAGTCGCTGGACCTTGAATTTTCTTCTAGCAGCTGGTGAGCGGTGGATTCTCTGTTGACCTTTCCGAGAGCCAATAGCAGCAGCGCAGCAAGTAAAGAGGAACTCTGAGTTGTCAATGGCTGCAGGATCCTCTCAGTTTAGCGTATCGCAAGTGCAAGGCCGATATGCAGTGTCGTGTTGTTGCGGGCCGGATCTCCTTGGATGTCGATAGCAACTTTTTTTCTGAATGGACATTGAGAATTATCACGAGTGGAGCTCGTCATGACGCCCGGAAGTTGATAACGATAAGGGTGGAGAGCTTGGGCGACATAATTATATCAACAGTAATCGGGGCGTATTAACTTTCATACGGGCAGTTTCTGAGTTCTCAAGCATTTTAATATACAAGTGCATGTTCTTTATAGTGCTATTTACTGTAGCTGAAGGTTTTACGAAAGTTCTGACATATAGTAACGGTTTTATCCAGGATATTTCAGTGTTTGCCCTTTTGTGTCACCATGAACTTCATCCTGCCTGAGGATTACCTAATCCTAGCGAGGCATCAACTCAGCCTTCTGAGCTTCCGTTGCCTCACTGTGCTCTAGGCAAGCTCCTGCTAACGCGTCGACTATCTCAACCCGCAACAGCTCCCCTCAAACTCCACAACGTCAACCATCACCTCGATCCCTCCTCATTAGAACTAATCGAGTTCTTTTTGAGCTTCCTCTTGTAATTTTGCTCGACATCGAACCGTTAAACACCACCAATTCTCCACAATGTCGGGTACGTAGGCTATGCCAACAAGAACCCCATCTGCTATATCCTGTATCCTATATCCTAGCTAACATGTAATTAAACAGCCGGCGCATACGATCGACACATTACCATCTTTGCTGACAATGGTCGGCTTTACCAAGTTGGTATGCGAACACCCGACCTTTCAAGGGCACAGCAACCCCACGATACTCCCTTGACCGATGACGTTGATGGATATAAGGGATCAAGAAACTGACATGATATCGTGAATAGAGTACGCCTTCAAGGCCATCACAGCTGCCAACATCATGTCTGTTGGTGTGAGAGGCAAGGACTGTGCTGTCGTCCTGTCTCAGAAGAAGGTTCCTGTACGTTGAATTGTGTCAGAGGAACTTCATGGTCAGCACTGATAAAGAGCACAGGACAAGCTTATGGACCCTGCCTCCGTAACCCACATCTTCCAGCTCTCTCCCTCGGTCGGCTGCGTCATCACAGGATCCATCGCGGATGCCCGAGCCTTTGCTCAAAGGGCCCAGGGCGAGGCAGCGGAGTTTCGATACAAGTATGGCTACGAGATGCCAGCTGATGCACTGGCGAAGCGTCTTGCCAACATCAGCCAAGTCTACACCCAGCGAGTAAGCACCATATCACCTTTGAACATGCTGCCAATCGTATGCTGACCTCACCCCCAGGCTTATATGCGACCTTACGGCGTTGCGACCACTCTGATTGCGCTCGACTCGGAATACGGCCCCCAGCTGTTCAAGTGCGACCCTGCTGGATACTACATCGGTTACAAGGGAACTGCGGCAGGCCCGAAGCAACAGGAGGCGCTGAACCACCTTGAGAAGAAGCTCCGCAACAAGGAGCATGCTGAGGGATCCTGGGAGGAAGTTGTTGAGCTGGCCATCACAACGCTAAGCACAGTTCTGAGCATGGACTTCAAGAAGGGAGAGATCGAGATTGGTATTGTGGGTGGTCCTCGACCTAATGGCGAGGAGGGAACCTACTCGGGCTTCAGAACGTTGACCGAGGAGGAGATTGACGACCGATTACAAGCTATTGCGGAGAAGGACTGAGCGAAAGGAGAAGATGATATGGAACATGCATGAAACATGGTCGGATGGCTACAGTAGAAGTTCGACGCACTCTGTTGCAGGGAATTAGAAGCTCGATTGGCTGGCTGCAGCATGGCCGGCGTGCTGCTCCCAAGCACATGGGCCATGCAACACCAATGCAGGGGGATGGATTGTCAAGATGAGAGACTTGGATGCCTTTGTGGCCGTGGATCCTCGTCCAGTGCGTCACTAGCCGTTCTACCCATGTGCAATAGAAAATTATGAGACCTTTTCTTACTGAGCAATTGACAACTGGCGCGTCTGATGATCCAATTGAGGGCGAGTACGAGAGTATGCCTCGCGCCAAGGTAGCTAACCAAGACAACAGCCTACGATGGAGCTAGTAGGTGCCAGATGGTGGGTCATGCAGCCCGCGTGGTCTAGTTATAATGGGTGTGAACTTGGGAATGTTGGGAAGAAACACTATTTTATCAAAACTGTGGAGCCGACTCATACATGAACAGAGACAGAAAGAAGCTCTGAAGCTCTCGTCTCTCAGCTAAGCCATAGCCAAAACTAACTCACTTAGGTGCAAGTCTGTTCTACTGTGGTCTGGTTCTAATTTTGGGCAACATTATGTTTGTTGTATGCGCGACTAGGTCAATAGTATACAAAGAAACTTGTTTAGTACCTGTCCAAGTATTATTCGATTGTAGGGAGAAACAGAAAATGTCATCCAAGAGTACCTATATCAGTACTACTATAAGGTAGTAAAGAGCGGTCATAGCTTAAAAGATCTGTTATCCCAAGCTCAAGAGTTATCATGAGGCGGCAGTCAAGGGTAGGCAATACGATAACATTATCTTGAAAAGCCATCCTTCCGGTCGATCGGATCTAGATACAGGGGCCCCCCTGGTATGACTGAAGTGTCGGATGGTAAGCGCCAATTTGAGGCTCCAAAGGGGGCGCTGAAAAGAATATAAGCCGTGGCCAATGCAAACCCAGTGTCAAGTTCGATGTGTTTGTTTAGTCTTAGTATCATTGATAAAGAAGCGGGAGCGGGAGCGAGCGGGAAGAGAAGCCGGGATACGAGGGGATGGGATGAGTTCGTGAGGTGTTGAAGATGATGGGGGAGGCGAACGTTGGGAAGGCGAACGGTAGAGAGTTCGCAGGCCAAGTTAATGTTTAGTCTAGTCAAGTCAATAACGGTTTAAGGAATGGCACGATGAACTAAGGTAGTCTATTGTAGTCTGTATGTATGTTGGTCGGGAGTGAACCTGAGCAGCCTCGAACAGCGTCATGCAAAGAATCGAGAGAGCATGACGCCACATAAGGCCAGTGATTTGCTTGGATAAATAACTGGCTTTGGGATAAGACATAACACGATAGATGCAGTCAACTGACGATTTTCCTGGTTCTTGGTAAATGCCGAGCACCCAATGCTTGGTGATAATTGCGATATGCCTTGCCAGAATTGAGATGAACCATGGCAAGCTGGACAGTCGTTGAGAAAGTAAGCAGGAAAAGGTTACTGTCAGATCAGACTGGGGATAGAAATAAATGATAGACCCATGTATACATACATCATCATGCACTGGTTTCAGATCTCACCTCGTGCATCTTGCAGCCATGTCAAGCTCCAGTTGCTGAATGCTAGGTTCTTAGGCATGTAGAATGTAAAATGTAACATGAATCATTACTTGGATATCTTTTGGTATCGGCATCACCGCCATTGACTCAGCCTTTTCCCATATTGGCATATCTGAAGGCTGAAGGTGCTCGTTCAAGCACCTGTTGATGTGTCGTGTCATGGATGTCTGTCTAGGGTTGCATTTTCCCTCTCTTTCAGACGGCCTCACGTTGATAGACTTGACCCCTTTGAGCCATCAGCTCGCCCCAGACAGTTGCGACAGTAGCATCCGCGCGCCTATTGGCCTCGCTGCGCCGATAGAGCTACAGGGCGTTTCCTAATTAAGCCCAAACTAGTGGGTGGCTCATGGGTTAGCTGAGCTGGGGGGGGACCACCACATCCACCTGCGCTATTAGAACTACCAACCAGAGCCTTACCCAGTAGTTACTAACTTACTGTCAAGTGGTTTTTTTCGCTGTCTTTTTTCAAGGAATAGACAACTGGAGAATGCTCTGACCGCATTTTTTGTTTGTTCTGCCAGTACCCCCCAGTCACAGTCCCTGACCCTGATAGCGGAGTCTCTTCTTTTCTTTTGACAGCCCGGGTTGTTCATTGACTAGCCCCCTGCAAGGAAAAAATAAGTGACTTTGTTCACTGAAAGTTTCCTAGCGTGTAGCCCAGCTTATTTTCGTTCTCTTTTTGTTTTATTTTATCTTACTTTGGTCGCCTAGACAAGGGGCTTTTTGGCAAATGTATATTGTTAACCAAGCTGGTTGAATCTAGTTAAAATGACGACATGCAATTCAACATGTTCTTGTCTTGCACTGACCCACGCGGCTCAGTATGGAAAGACAATGTAGAAGAAGCCACTTAGACGCTGCACGACTAGAATATCTCGGATTCTCGTCCTTTTTGGGGGTAGAGAACCGGTTGTGGCTGGACAGTGAACACGCACATAGAATGCCCGTACAGTAGAGTAGAGTACTGAGCCTACGGATACCTGCTCCATGAATACCCATGACGTGCCACATACATAGAGAGCCCTTTTTTACTCTCCGGGCCCTGCATGGTGCATGGTGCATGGTACCTCACTGCAGTCTGCAGTCTGCAGTCTACAGTCTACAGTCTACAGTCTGCATATACCCAGCCCAGGGGTAGGGCAGGGAGTAGGGCTGAGGGTAAGGCTTCAGCCCTGGGTTCGACTGCTATTCGACAACGCTGTCGTTTGCCACCAGCTGGTCCAGGGTCGTTGGTGTTTTTGAGCTTGGGAAGGGTCGTTCCGAGTGGTGGCTCATCGCGATGCTCTCACTGGCGGCCCCGTCGTCCTGTCTCAAAGGGCTGGCTTTAATTGCCGGGCCTCTCATGTGCGCCATAGCGGCCTGTAGCTTCGTTGACCAGGAGGAGATAGAGGGCCCGAGGGTGTGCCCTGAGGAGGGGGCGTCCATTGAGAGGTGACGTTCGGGTGGTAATTCCCCCCCTTGGACTTAGTAGCCGTTCGTTCCCGTTAGTGGAAGCTTCCAATGCCAATGCCAATGCTGTCCATACGTAGTAGTATGGATGCTCCACCAAGTGTGGTGTCAGTTAGCTACCTAGTACCTAGACCAGGTAAGGAGGATGGAGACTTTTCTGGAGCAACAGCTTCTTGCATCTCTGCTTTTGCTGTCTTGTCTCTCTTTCTCGATGGGACAATGTAATCTCGGAGGCCTTCGACGACCTTCACGATATACAAAAAGGATGCCCGGTTCTCGCCCATGGCTTGATTGTTCACTCAGTCAACCAAGTAAGCATTGAAGAACCGGCTTCTCTCAACTGTTACCAAGTGATCGACATACCACAACTTCTATAATATTCCCTTGCCTATTTTCTCTATCATCTCTTACCATCGACAACTACATTGCGACTTGAATCACAATTTCTTACTTCGACTATATCACGACTGCACTCGTTAGCACTTCTGCTATCTTTTAGTCTTATACTTCTTCGCCGGCTCTTAGAACTTTCCAAATAATCTCTACTATTCCAAACACTCGGGACATAATGGACGGATGTAAGTACTAAATATCCAGCCACCTTGGCAACCATCGATTGAGATCAATTGGGACCTCTACGCCGCGACACTCCGCGTAAATCTGGACTTACGGACACTGACACGTCAACTTCTTGTCTCCTACAGTAAACGAGTTTCGCACACTACGAGTTGCTGAGGTTCTCTCTGACTTCCGAACACTGCAGTACTACATAGCTGCTGCCCCTGTCGATCCCCAAGACACTTCAGAATACTACACCGAGGGATGGGCTGCGCTTCGTCAATGTGCACTGGATGGGCAACACATTCTGGAATGTGGTGCTGACACCAGCGTGCCCAACCCCCCTGGAGGCGAACATGAACAGATGAAGGCCGAGCTTAAACAGTAGGTTTCCCTTCGGATCACGGGTTGTCAACGGAGGAGAGTCGAGTACTGACAGCCTGAAAGAGTTCTCTTGGACGCGTACTCGAGACGACACGAAGGACAGAAGATCTACCTTCGACAAGCAGCTGCCCAACGATGGGTGGAATACAGAAAACAGGTGCTGCAGGGCGGCCCACCAACTTCGCGAAACCAGGCTCAACTCCAAGCGTGCGATCATCAGCTGCGAGCGGTACGATAACCCCCTTTGACAATAGTCACTTACCCCCTAAGTTCATCTCTTACTCATACCTTACTATAGGAGCTCTCGGCAATTGTCGACGAAATAATCTACACCGAGCTTAAGGCCTCGGATGAAGGAATGGGCCGCTGGACGGCAGAAGATCCCAGTCTCCGGAGCGTGCTGCGCTGGCTCCGAGCACGCCGCTGAGCTTGGGACTACCTTGAACAAGAGGGAAAACGACGAAGCAACTACGATCGAAGATACCCCAGGAGTGATGAAACGACAGACGGAAAACGACCACGTCTACGCTAATCAGGAGATTTCTTCCTATTTAACTTCTCGACGCCTACGATTCTCGATGAAAACACTTGACGACCGGATATTTAGGGGGAGAGTTGCGGTTTGGGGTATGACTTTTGCGCAAAAGGATAAACTTGTTTGTTATGCTTTCATGATCTTATGAGTCATGATTTCTGTTTCTGCTGCATACGACGCAGATTGGTGTTGCATCTAGCATGAACATCGCCTTTAGATGGAGAGAGGATACTCCCTGGTATGATAGGACCTAGGCTTGGAGGAAGAAAGGGGCTGGGCTCCGTTGAACTGCCTGGAGCAGATGAATCAATACACACAATTTACTGAAGCTGTTTTTCTCGGTGATATAAATATTCCCAAGTCACCAAAGAGCTACCTTTTATGAATTCTACGAATGAATGCCTACTCTGAATATCCAATGTTACAAGAGGATGTGTCTCGAAGTGGAGTCCCTCATGCATGATGTTCACCACCATTGGTAACCAATCCGAAGCAAGTATTTTGATAATGTAGGACATGTACTATAATACTAAAATATCTACAATTTGTATTACTCTATTAACGTTTACTCTGGACACACAAGCCAATTCCAACCAGCATAAGGCCCATTCCAGCAGCGGTATCTGAAGCAGAAATTAGCATTAGATGCCGGTGATGTATGCACTACCAACTCACCTTTACTGATAACTTTACCATCGACGTACCAATCGCCGAGAACGGTAAAAAGAAAAGCTAACGTGTTTACAATAGGAACAGTCAGGCTCAGTTCTGATATTGTCGTTATTAGCAAGTGATACTTCGGAGTGGCGAGCTGTCAATGGATAGGCTAGGCTACCCGTGATCGACACCCCCTGGCGGGACTTGACAAGTGGAATCACAAAGCAAAACTTACCGGCCTGTCCAATGAGCAGGAAGAACCACACACTTCCCGTAAGGTTAAGAACCAACGGGATCGCATAGCGAGGGTTCCTCAGCAAGTCAATGACCGCGAAGGAAGCCCCGTAGAGCTTCGACTTGAGCCAGCTAGACTGAACCGACGGGCTCTCGAGCACCGGATGCGCTGGTGGGTTATGCGATTGAGCGGCGCGGCGTATGAAAGGGGTTGTAAAGCCCCATGCGAGGCCGACTAGAACGAAGCTGAGGATGTAGTTGAAAACGGGTGGCTTCTCGTCTGGAGATGTCATGATGCCGATGATGTAACAAGAAAGGGATTATTCTCCCCCCTGTGTTCTAGACTTTCGATATGCAGTGGATCAGAGAGGAGTGAACGTAGAGCAAAGGAACAGGAGGCTCGTGCGTTTGTCAAGAAGAGAGTGGACGGATCAATCCTGAGAGGCCTATTGGAAGTCCGACGAGATGGTTGTGTGGAGGTTTAGATTGATAGTGATACCAAGGGCAGAATCTGGCAGACGATATGCTTTCTAAAAATATGACTGGAGGCTAAGGCGTCAACGTGGCTGGCGGGTTCTCAACTCAGCCTCGCCCTAGGGGATTTCTACCCACTCACGGCGCTATTCCAACAGGGGGCTTGTTGATGGGCTCCAGGGGGCTTTGACCGCTAAGTGTGGCGCTTTGGCCTGGGCTCGCTTAATGTTACCTCCCCGCATGGTCTGTGCTTTTAGCCGCTTTCCCGCGCTGACAAGCGACCCGACCATCCCTGCCACCCAGCATCGACTACCTGTTTCGTTTATTCGATCCCTTGCGATTACTTACAGTCACCGCTCACTAGGAGAAAAGCCCATCCTGTCGACCCGGCTGCTCGGGGCTTCTTGGCGATAATCCCTGTTCAGCTGGACATGGGGGACGTAAGGTTCTGATGCGACGTCATTTAAAGGTTTGGAGATCGAGGTCGTGGTTGGCCTCCCGGCACTCATTCATGGTGATTGATTGATCAGCATCGACCATGAACCATGAAAGGAGAATTCAGGTTTCAAACGTGAAAGACCCGATTTCTAGACACATATTGGTTAACAGCCACTCAAAGGGGAACATCTTTGTAATGCGACTCATTCGTTTTGAGGCGGACATGCCGATGGGCTAAACCGTCACATCAAAATGGATCGACATTGTCATGTCTTGCTTATCCCGGTCCCACGAGGACGGGTCGAATATTGTGGCCAGTTAGTGTCGTTACCGGTGGTTTCGTCTAAGTTTCGGATCACCATGATAGCTGGTACGCCTTGTGATTGGCTTGTTAGATTTGTGGCCATCAACGAGTCTGACGACACACAACCCAGCACTCTTGGATCGTCAATTTGAATGTCTCTCAGCAATTCCAACTCGGCTTATTTACATAACTCGGCCATTGTCGGTCAAACTCCCTTCACATGGGAGATTGTTGGACTTCTTTTTCTCGGATTTGTCCGATACAACTTACATTTTCAGCTTGTAGATCATGCAAGCCGACTGATTATCAAACAATCTTCTCTTGACCAACCACGAGAACGACAAAACAACTGACACATCAGTCGAGTTGGTATTGTTTTTGCTTGTAACCAAGTAGAAATTTGTCTTTCCAGTCACTGACGACTTCTAGTCGGCTTCCTATTCTGTCAATTGTTGCATGAGAATGATATTTACAGAGATAAGGCGGTCTAACAAAACATATGGCCTAATGAAGTGATATCTTTCCTCTTTCTTACATTATTTGCATAATCTACTGGCATATTATTGTTTTCAAATTTTCACGGGATTCTACGCAATGGTATTGGTTGACTTCCAATCCAGCCACACGTCCTGATGCCATGATACGCGCTCATGATCCATGCAACTGGCACAGACCGTCTCGTTTGTATTTGCTTGTTTTTGAATTCCTCACAGACGTCGTTACCGACGGCTTCTTAGGCTGTCGACGGCTAACGTGATAATTTGTGACAAGCGGTGAGTTAACGCGTCATGACTTTAGGCCTAAGGCACTTGTCCGATCAGAAATACTGTCAGTAGTGTTCGAGAACTTAACCCTCTCAAGAAAATGCCGTAGCTACCTAGGTACCGACAACAAACGAGATTCCATTCAGTTGTTATTTAAGCTACCCCATTGCTCTTTGCTGTGATCGATGTCATCGTCGACTTGATCTTGCTTCACTATAGACCATCTACAAGAGGAACATATAGGGCTAAGATTTGAGATCCGGCTCTACACTGGAATATTATCCATTGGTGATTGTAAATACTGCAAACACGGATATTGGGCACTCACCCGTTAGAGCAAGTGGTTAGCCGTAATAACCCCCTGTACTACGTACGAGTTTTACACAGGGCAGTCTACATATCACCACTCTTCGAATTATCACTTACTTGAAGACAACAGTTTGCTCGATTGCTGATCAATTATGCAAACTGCCTTGGGTGAAGCCACTTGCCGGTCGCAACAATGCCGTGACTTGAGGCAGGCTGATCATGAAGAACATTGATTGCGTCAATGAAGTTATGTTTGATCCCTTTATCTTGGCTTATCAACTTACAAACATCAAAGATCGACCAAGGCTGCGTGGTAAGTATAAGAAGGCCCTGATATCACTCCCCAAGTGAGCTTACTCTCAGCATCAACACAACAACACATCAATCTCTCCCAAGCAACAGCCATCATAATACACTTCTCCCCAATTTCGCCAACTTGTCTACCCACCAACTTCAATATGACTGATGCTCGGGTTGCCGGCGGCCACAAGGCTACTATCAACAACCCCAATACGTCCGACGAGGCCAAGGAGAACTCCCGCCAGGTTCTCGAGAACGAGTTCAGCGGCGGTGATGGTAAGACCTCTAAACATCTATCTATTCATTAGGAATTTTTCGATAACATCTGTTAGTTGAAGGTGCTGGCGACAACAAGGAGAAGAATCCTGGTAACGTTGCTGGCGGTCTCAAGGCGTGAGTTCCTCGACCCTCTGCGCTTGGTAGTATACTAACGACGACGGAGTACCCTGAACAACCCCAATGTCTCTGATGAGGCCAAGACGAATGCTCAGGAACGTTTGGATAAGGAGGACTTTTAAGGACTTCGATGATTTTGTGTGTCAGCGATCTGATACTCGACTGGATGTATGAAGAACCGTGGTTTAATCAACATCCGTAACCCAAATATGAACAATTAAATTACCCCAACGCTACGTCGTGAGATAACGCGAAGTACTCATCGTTTAAGCTAAAACGGGCAAGGTTTTATCAGGTAGATAAAGCTTTCGTGATTATATGTCAATTAGTAGAATATCTAGTCCACCCGTTCTGTTCAAACGCGAAGCCCGATTGTATACGTGCTGGTTCACAGAAAGAAACCGGTATCGACGCATTATATCTTTGTTTGGCGATTTAGAACAGGTTTCTATCTATAGCGCTGACAAATCTCAAACGGGTGATATCCGAACCATCTTGAAAACATCATCCAACGCCATTCTCCCGCCAACCTAAGGCTTGAATATAGTCCTTTACCATGTTCCCTAAAAAGCTCATCATCTTGTTTCCGAGTAATCGTTCAATGCAACACATACAGCTCCTCTATGGTGCCCATTGTACTGTCTGATGATCTGCTGGCTATGTAGCTCCCACAATCTCGCGTAATGGTCCGAACAGGCCGTAACTAGGTACGCAGAGTCGGCGCTGAACGCACAGTCCCATACCCACCGCTGGTGACCGGTGAGGGTGGCCTCGAGAGGATATGGCTTAGGCTCCTGATCTGGAGTCGGCTCAATATTCTTCACCTCCCAGATCTTGGCTGTGTGGTCTGCGCTACAGGTGGCCAGCTTCTTGACGTCTGGGGATAGAAGAATACGGGTGATGTATTCTTTATGGGCGTTAAAGTGCGTAACTGGCACTAACTGCGTGCGGTCGAAGCTCTGAATGAGATTCCACACAAATACATTGCCCTAGAAACCGATTAGAGACAAAGGACAGATCATATTTGACTTCACTTACAGCGTTGTTAGCAGCACATAGCAGAGAGCCATCGCTAGCCACGGTGACGCTCGAGACTGAGACGTCCTCCTCGGGGATAAGCTCGTGAGAACAGTTGTTCTCGGCCAGATCCCACACTCTAACGCTTCCCGATCTGTCGCAACTGATAATCTCGCCCTGGTTTGGATGGATCACAACGTCGTTCGCAGGGCAGCCATGGTTATAGCTCCGTTGAATCGATCCGGTCCTCGTCTCCCAGATCTTGACCGTGCCGTCTTCGGAGCTAGTTACCATCCACTTTCCCTCGCAGTGAAAGGCGACGCCAGTGATGTTACCGGTGTGACCCTCGAAGGTCAGTAAAGGGTTCGGATTCGTTGACTTTATATCGTAAAGCTTGACAGTGTGATGCCCAGCGGCGGCAAGGTATCGCTTGTCGGGGGAGATGCAGAGGCGGTTGACTTGGGAGTCAGGATGTTGAATTGTGCGCGAACAGATACCCGACAAAGCCTCCCAGAATCTAACGACAAGGAGTCAGCCTATGGTAAGTTATTGACCGAGAAGCGCATCGCATCGAACCTGATAGTATGATCATATCCAGCTGCGACGTGTGTTAGCTTGGATCAGAGGTGTTGCCGATAGAGGAGTCGCATTTACCTGTGCAGAGAATGACAGACATTGTGACGGTGGGGGATTAGTCGCTTGAACCTCAGCTCATGGTAGGAGAAGTCCTCCAGGGACCTTTTTAAGCTGAAGGTTGAGAAACAAAGTATGTAACTTTGATTCCTAAATCGTATTCCTAACTCTAGGTATCTCCACCGCGCTGGGCAGGACGAAGGACGAGGACGCGCTGGAGCGGCATGCATCAACCGGGGCATGCTTTTACCCAATAACCCCGACGACAAGCATAGCATGACGGCCCCTACCTTATACGAACAACTACTCTGTTCAACTATGTGAACTTTATCAACATTAAGTTATTATACCTTACTTATGAGTAACCGAATCATTTTTAATCAAACAAGTTTCTTACGCTGCTTTCATACGAGATACACGAACATATGTGATTCCTATACCTATATACAGTTGACGCAGCATGATACAAAACAAGTTCGAGACAAATTGGAACCAACAACACTCATCAGCCACCTGACCGAGCTTGACCTCCAAGCTTGGCAAATCTCTGTCAAATAACAACAAGATTTTCCAATCAGCGAAAGTCGTCATTGTGTGTCAGAGGCAACCTTTGTGTAATCGGTAACACAGGCTCATCGAGGCGTTGTCCATGCCATCACCCGTCTCTGCAGTTCGGCAATACTTCATGGAGTATCGGCGTCGACAGCTCATATTGATTTCACTTGTCACGCATTGATACGGCTCGAGCGCCGAGAATGACAGGTTGGATTTATCAATCTGCTGCTGATCTGTTGATTTCGACTCGTTGCAGCGCACTGCAGCCGACACCATGGGAAGAGGCAGAATTTCGCTATTTGACGTAGCTGCAAGTGCAGTTGACGAGTATAACTCGCTGTTCTCGTTGCGAACTTGATATGCTGGCCTTGTTGGTGTTCTATGCATGGAGCCGACAGCCAGGGGTAATCATGCCTCATTGTTCGTAAAGAACGACTCATTCCACAAGTGTCAATTTCAAACCGCTTTTCAGGCAGTTTATCAGATCATATCATGGCAATATCACAAATGCAGGTCCAAATGTCGTGCGACACCGTTGGAACTTCGATACGGCTTGTTAATCCCTGATCTTTCGGAAGTTTTGAGACATAACAGCATGTCCTACATGACAGTTCATTTCAGAAAGTCATTCTCCTTTTTCTCTGCCATCGTTTACTTTTCTATGACGGTGAACACTAGAAGTCTCAACACTCAGCTTATCCGGACGCCCAGACACAACGAAAGCTATGATGCCCGATCCCAACCCGATTGGTAATCGAAAAGCCTCATTCTGCTCCGAGGTCATCTGACAGTTTTTCGATGAGCCCAGACGTCATCAGACGTGCTCACGGATCTCAGGCCGAATCTGCATGGGCCTGAACGTCAGGATAAGGATCATTATGTTATGTCGGCAAAAGTGCCTGCAAGGCCGTTCGTGCGTGCAACAACTCCAGGGTCACTATCTCTGTCCTCGTTATCTTCAGCAATTTCATAATTCTTGGCAATGTGATGCACCCCTTATCACATACTTTTTCATTTAAGGCCTGCTGAATGGGGGTGGTCAGACTTTGTTGAAGTTTCTCATTCTTACCGAAAACTTAAGCCGAGTGAAGGCCAGAATGGGCTTTGGTCGATAAGACAACCAACGTTGACCGAAACTGCTGCTAACAGCGACTTTGTCTATGACAAACAGTTGGTGGTAACCGGCCATGTGCTTGGGATAGGGCCTTCGAAGGAATAGAGGGTAGCACAGGAAGGCAGAGCTAATAAGGAGGTGCATGAATCTGCGTATCGAGAAACCTCAACAAGCTCATGGTGTTTCTCTCCTTACCTCCAGTGTTGACTTGACCGACGGATAACGGTTGTCTTTTGACCGGTCAGATTATTGATGGGCGTACAAGAGTGGCATGTTGACGGCGATGTCGTGGCTTCGTCTACACGGCTTTGTTTCTGGAGCGACCGTCCAATGCAGGACATAGCCATGAGCAGGCCTATCATGAAGAAAGTCGGTCAACTTGCAAGCTATACCGGCTGAATAGAACCGACATCCATCGGGAGGTTGCACCGGGTAAGAGACGGGACAGAGATGGGATCCTGGCCAAGAACAAGTTTCTCCCCACGCCCTCGGATTCTTAGACCCTGAAACTATGTATCGACCTCCAAATCCATTACAGTTCTATAAAGAGACCATGTCAAGGCACAAGAACGACGCAGTTTACCCAATACGGGCATGAATATCGCCATACAACGCCTCGTCGAGGTAAGGCTACAGCTGACATTTCACGAGACATAGCCCATCTGTCTTTTGAAGACAATATGTGACACCCACCCGACAAAAGCTTTCCAGAATTCCTACCATCTAAGAAGGGGCGTTGGGTGAGCAGTTTTATGGCCGACGCATCTACTTAGGCCTGCACGCAATAGCATTGCTACTTATACTTGGCGTCCTGTCGGTACCCGTGAAGCTGCAACAGTTCAGCCGAAATCACTACTTCCAGCGCATTTGGTTTGTCGCGATAGCTTGGAGTATGAGGCACAACCTTGCGATCATGCAGCAAGCCGTCAGACTTGGTCAGCAAGGATTCAATTTGACGGACACCTCCGCAGCCGGTCAAGAGGTCGAGGGATGGAATGTACGTACAAATCACCGACAGTGCGGTCCATGGCGCTCTTCGTGCAGACCGAAGGTCGGCTGCATGAAGTGCAAAAGCCACGAAGTGCCGCCACTCGGTCAGCTATGTGCCGCAGCGCGTGGCCAACAGAAGCTGGTGCGGGGAGATGCGTTTAGAAATGAGGCCCAGACTCGCGACCGCAGATACGTGAACTGCCATCTCGGCTCAGTTGAACGCCTTTGGCTCGGGCATGAAGTCAATTGCCTGGAGATTTGGGCCCGATGAAGGCAACCAAACATCCTTGGCCTGATCGCCATCCAAGACCCGGTTGCAGCCGGCAACATGACAGCGGCTACTGACTGTGACAGACATGATATGACGCCCTTTTGTTGAATCTCGGCTTCATGTTGTTTGCAGAGGCGGTGTGTTGGTTCCTCCTGTCGAGATGGGATCCGGCATTGTGCCATATTGGCTGGATCATAGCTATGGTCTATTTCTATTGCTGTTGCTGCTGCTGGCGGTGGTTCTTAGGCTCGGTACTGACTATATATATCGCATGGCTTCCTGGTGTTGTAATGGAATGTTCCAAACAACAAGAGACTTGATACCACCGAGTTCAAACATCACGAAATAAAAGAAGAACCCCTACCTCAGTTACGATGTCTTCCCCCCTCTCCTCATATGTTTTTGACGAGCAAAACATGACTTGGATCACTTGTGATCTGTGTTCCGGCTCGTTCCAGCGTGCATCGTATGTTGACTTTACTGCTTCAACTAAGCCTGACTAACAGAGAAACAGTGGAATGTGTCAGGCCTGCCATGGAACGAAGCTTCGCAGGGTATCCTACAGCTATCTCGCTACCGGATCCTCTCCTCCACAGGCACCTGCCGCGCCCCCTCCTCCTCCTCCATCCAAGGATGATAAGCCTGATCATTCACGTGGAAATGCAAACGGCTTCAGCGTGTACGGTCGCCGCTCTTGATGGGCTGGCCCCACGGTATGACAGAGGCCAGTCTTGCCTGTAGATGTTTGTTAGGACATGCGTAAGATTTAACAGGCAGAGAGGACTACAAGTGTGCACATTCATTCTTAGTTCGAGATACCTTGGGAATGGCATTTGTGATGATGGCAGCATATGCCTGGTGGTATTTTGATTGTGGCGGTCTTTTGTGTACAAGGGGTCACTCGTTATGGGTTCGATTTGGCTTGACTTTGTGTTTTAGGAGGGGAACAAAGTTAGCTGCTATAGGTATAATAAGCAGCCAACCTTTCCTTATAATGAAATAAATCAATGTTGAAGAACTGCGTTCCTGTTGAATGTATGGAACAAATAGAGGCTGGTTCTAATTCATTTTATAGATCAATGTGTATCTGAAGACCAATAAAATAGTTTCAAGCTCCAATTTACGTAAGTGATTATATATAATAACTCTTGTATTTCAATTCCATGTCATCAACTCACTTAGACTAGGTATATCCTCATCTTTAACGAATAGCATCTCCCACTATGCCCCGCGTCTCTTTAGGAACCCCACCCCCACTTCCGTCACCAACCCGATGCCGGCCTCCAGCTCTCATCATCAGCTTTCGCCATCATAATCCACTTGCCAACTTCACTCATAAACAATGAGAACTGTCCTTCGTCGAATTGCACTGACATCACGAGCTTTAACGTCGTCGCAAGCACCTCTGTCTCTATTTCAGCGCACAGCCCCGTCCATCATCCGCAACATGTCCAACGCAACAGCTCCCGTGCTTAAACAGCGTGTTAAGCTCTCTCTTATTCAGCTTGCGTCTGGCTCCGACAAGAAGGCCAATCTTGACAGCGCAGCCTCGCATGTTGCCAGTGCGGCTTCTTCAGGCGCAAAGATTGTCGTTCTACCGGAATGTTTCAACTCACCCTATGGAACAGACCACTTCCCTCAGTACGCAGAGACACTGCAGCCAAGCCCTCCCTCCCGCGATGATGCGCCCTCTTATCACGCACTTTCGGCAATGGCCGCCGACAACAAGGTATATCTGGTCGGTGGATCTATCCCAGAGTACAGCCCAGACACGAAAAAGTACTACAACACAACTCTAATCTTTGGACCCGATGGAGCTCTGCTAGGAACGCACCGCAAGGTGCATCTCTTCGATATCGACATCCCTGGCAAGATCACGTTCCGCGAGTCCGATATTCTCAGCCCTGGCAACAAGGTAACACTCGTCGACCTTCCCGAGTACGGAAAGATAGCCGTTGCCATCTGTTACGATGTCCGGTTCCCCGAGCTGGCCACTATCGCGGCTCGAAAGGGCGCCTTTGCGCTCATCTACCCTGGCGCTTTCAACACTACCACTGGTCCTCTGCACTGGCAGTTGCTCGGTCGAGCTCGCGCTGCTGATAACCAGCTCTACGTAGCTTTGTGCAGTCCTGCACGCGCTGAAACTGGTTATCCTGCTTATGGACACAGTCTCATAGCGGATCCAATGGCGCAGGTCCAAGTTGAGGCGGAAGAGAAGGAGACCACAGTTGACTGGGAGCTTGACCCTGACAAGATCACTGAGGCGAGGAAGAACATCCCTTTGAACTCACAGCGGAGGTTTGATGTATACCCCGATGTGAGTGAGGGTAAAATTCAGTTCGAAGAGCCTTGAAAGAACGTTGAAGCGGGTATCCTTTCTTAGCCATATTAGCATATCAAAAGTACACATGTCGTCTATAATCACTAGGGATATATGGAGGACAAATCAACCGAGAGACCAAATTCTGTATTCCTGACTCTATGAGCCTTACTCGCAGTAACGCCAGAGTCTTTTTCCTTTTCAACATACATATATACCTTTGCATCCGTGTTAATCTAGGTGGCCATATTGGCCTTTTTTGTCCCCTTTAGTCCCTTTCCTGCATAAACTCATAAACGTAGCCACCCATACCATTCATAGATCCTTCGATATGTGCAAACAACCTTACTCAAGAGCCTTCTGGGCGAACTTGGGAAGGACGAAGCTGGCCTTGTGGATCTCAGCAGAGTAGTATCGGCACTTGTCGTCCTCCTCCTCCTTGGACCAGGATCGGATGGGGTTCTTGACGTCGGCGTTGGGGTCCTTGGAGCAGACCATGAAGCCGATCTGGCCGGAGGGGTAGGTAGGGATGGTAGTGTAGGCATACTCGGCGACGGGGAAGATGGCACCGCAATCCTTCTTGAGGCGAGCGATGAGGGGAAGGTGAAGCCAGGGGCTCTCAGCTGTAAATAGGTTAACGAGTCAGCGTAGTCCTAGAACAGATTATAGCGCAGTATAACAATAATGAGCCAGACTAGAAACAGCAGAAGGTAACATGACGCAGCCTGCGTTACATAGTAAATGAATAAACATGCTATCGCGGGACTACCCGAAGCGAAGCTGGGAAAGCAGCACTAGCTTCTGGCGGTCCCTAGGAGGCACGCGGTACTATCATGTACCCATCGAGGAAGAGTCCCGTTACACCGATCAATTTTGATCAGACGAGGCTTCCTGATTCTGCCGTTCCCAGGGACTCCAGATACCTTCCTCAAGAAAATAGGGAACATACAACCTTGAGTAGTAATGACACCGCCCTCACGAAGAGCGTCGTGGAGGAGCTGGAAGTAGCTCTTCTGGAAGAGAGCCTCGGCGGGACCATCGGGATCGGAGGAGTCGGTGATGATGACGTCGAACTCGTTCTTGTAGTCGTTGAGGAACTTGAAGCCATCGCCGACGTGGGTCTTGGACTTGGGGTGGTCGAAGCCACAGGCCATGGAGGGGAGGTGCTCCTTGGAGAGACGGATGACAGCCTCGTCGATGTCGCAGAGGGTAGCCTCCTCAACACAGTCGTGCTTGACAATCTCACGGAGGACACCACCGTCACCACCGCCGATGACAAGAACCTTCTTGGGGTTGGGGTGGGAGTTGAGGGCGAGGTGGGCAATCATCTCCTGGTAGGAGAACTCATCGCGCTCGGTGCACTGGATGACGTTGTCGAGGACAAGGACGTTGCCGAAGTCGGTGGACTTGAAGATGAGGACGTCCTGGTACTTGCTCTTCTCGTGGACGAGGACCTTCTCAACGCGGAGGGTCATGGCATGGCCTGTTTGGTCGAGTAAGAATTCTGGGTCGTTAGATTTGGATGCATTGGATTTGCCTACCGGGCCACATCTCCGAGATCTCTCGGAACCAGCCATCTGTATAAGATATTAGTCAATTGTTGATCACCAAAAGCTTGTCAGGTCTGCGAGGAAAATTCTGCCATCTACCCAAGTGATTTAGTTGTGATAGAGGGGACGGTCAGGGACAGAGAGTTTGGCATGTGTGTCCATCATGGCGCGACAAGCTCAGGGTATTGAAGCACAATGTTGACATATTGATACCAACACTTCATCATCCACATTCCGTCGCAGGAAATTGCGAGAATTGAGAGACGAGACTCGCGTATGATGCCCATCATGAGAGAGGGGCAGCGCTCAACGCGGGGCATCAGGAAAATTTAGGAAAAGAAAAACATACCCTTGATGGTGGGGTGGGTGATCTCCTCAGTAGACATTTTGCTAGATGTAGAGAAAAAAGAACGAGGTCTACAAGACTGATAGTGAATTGATGTTCTGAAGGAGGAAGTGGTGATGAGTCGTGGAGGTGAAGAAAAAGTTGGGAGCTGGAGGAGGCTTGACTTTTTAAGAGTGACGCTGCAACTGTAACTGTAACTGTAAACACCTCTAATTCCGCGCCTGAGCGTTGTACCCGTACCTGCCAAAGCCAAAGCCAAATCTCCCTCTTCCGGTTGGTGGGCGCATGGGTATAGCGGGTAAAATTTTCGATGCCCACCGCCCAAAGTTAGAAGCACAAGTACAAGCAGGAACAAACAGAAACTGATGATGGCACCGTCATTTTGGGCATCGATCCCACGGGCCCCAGACGATGATTGGGCGGCGATCAAGAAGTTACCCTAGACAGAAATATTGCCTGTATCGATCAGTATAATCAGATCAGGCTTCTGTGCACCTGTAAAGCATAATATCATGGCTTGAGCTTGAGACGACAAGGTAGACCCCAAGCTAGCTACATCTTGTGTATTATTTTGCCCAATTGCTGCCATTTTTGGCTTAACCACGACCAACATGTCAGTGGGACAAGAGTTAGTCACCCACGCTACTAACCAAAGCACAAGCACAAACAACGTGGGGTGGTGGACCGTTTGGAGAGTTGGTCTCCCTGGACGACAAATTCTCTCCAGATATTTCCACTTGCGGTAACCTGATCTTCACCCCAGTCTCTTAACGTTAGTTAATATTTGAAGCGGGCCTTTTATGAACTGACGACTGGCTGGTGCAATTGATCTGTTGATGGGACAAGCAAGGCACATGTATTGGTCACCTCAATGCTCGCGGGGACATTTCTTGAGATTATAGTAGTTATACCAGGTTAGGAAGTAAAAGCCTAGTTTCTTGATAGCTAAGGCTGTTTTCGGGATCTTGATTTATAAGATGAACATGGGAGAGTAATGGCTTTAAGTGGAGTGTATATCTGACTGCGTTGCTTGCTTGGTATATCCTTCAACAAGTTTGAGCAAAGAGGAGGAAGTGATCCAATATCATCATGATACAAACAAAAGATTCTTCCCAGATTTACACGCTTTTCCCGCGGCATCAAGGCAGAGTCTATACGGCATTGCAACTCATTCCATCCCACATGCCATACGTACGCCTCCATACAAAACGCCTTTGTTCCTTCGCCCAGCTCCATTCACCTCCGAACCTTGATTGCAGGAACGCCTTGTAAACCAGAACCTTTCCGTATAAACGCCAAACATATAAATGCAAAGAAGATAAAGTAATGAGACAGCCGACTGTTGGTGGAGATGGGCAGGTGTGTACATAGATAGAGTTGAAATTGATATCGCTTTCCATTCGTGTGGCATCCTTCATGTGAAACGTAGCTTGGATACCTCATGGTCTATTTTCATCGTCTTCGTGGATCCGGAATTCGGCCGCGTTGTTGTTTGGCCACACATTTTGTGTGCTGGGATACTCAGAGGGCTGACTGCTGACATTGCTGCCAGGGTCCGTGTGATGAGGGTCAACATTCTCATCATCAGAGGCATGGCCTTGGTCCTCAATTCCAGGCCAAGGCTCATCCTCTGGGAGTTGCCAACCCTGTAACCCCTGTTCTAGAACTGCGTCTTTATGTGTGATTATCTCCATTTCGTGTTCTCCCTCGCTATCATCCAAATCCTCAGAACCACTCTCGTAAATTTCAATGTTGAAATCCGAGTCGTCGTCAAAGTCTTCTTGAACGGCCGCCGGCGCACAGCTGCCTGCACGAATAGGCCGTTCCTGGAGAGGAGCATTGCTGTGCGGCGTAGCATAGGCAAAGGGGGTGGTGCCGCGAGCTACTTGACGGTCGGTGTTACCAAAAGGCATGGGACTCGGCGAGGCAGTCCACCTTGGTGTAAATCGATGACTGGGAGACCTTGTCCGTCGACGTTTCATGATTGCGGCCTGGGAGTTGGCAAGTAAAGCAGGAGATGCGCGACGGCTCTGCCCGTAAGATGACACACGACGCCTGCTGAGCGCGGGCGAGACTTGGTTCGGAGCAGCCATTGGCATCGAGGAAGTTCGGATGTGGGGTGGGCGAGAGCCTTTGCGACTGTTAAGCAAAGGTGACTGAGCTCGCATTATCGACGGGCTTCTAGATTTCATCATCTGTAGAGCCGGGTAGTATGTTTGCGATGGTGATGAAGAAGTTGGCATCTTTTCATTTCGCACGCCCATGGAACTGTCTGCACTGGGCGGCTCATCAAGCGGTTCGACCCAGGACCAGCACTCCTCGAACGCGTTGCTTTCGTCCAAAGAATCTGATACATCTGGGACAACAGGACTCATCTCCCTGAGCATTTGCCACGTCCATCCCATCTCATATGCCTGGAAATCCTGGAGGTAGGCATCAGGGTGAGTAATGAACAACCTAGGCTCAGAAGCTCTCATCATGACTTGACTGAGGAACTGCACATCCCACACAGCAGGTGTCATCATCTCAGCAGGACTGAGGAAACGCAGTCGCGAGTCTTTGTGGATCTTGCGAAGAGGAACCCATGTAGATTGAAGTCCCAGATACGTGGACGAACGCGGATCTGTGGTTTGTGGGCGAGAGAAAATATTCATCTCGCGAAAGACATGTCCGAAGGCCGCGTTCATAGCCATGGTGATGCTACGAGCGTCAGAACCCTTGACAGATATAGTCTTGATTAGACCACGACTGCGCAATCGTCGATCTACAATACCCTTATCTGGACAAGCTTTGGGCAGGAGCCATTTCGTATCTTGGTCCGCAGCCATCCAATCAGGGTAGAGAGACATCTCAGACCGCATGGTTGTTGTACTGTGCGTCATGGGCATTTGTGTCCAGTCATCATTGGAGATATGTGGTTCGTTCTTGAACTGTTGAGCCTCCTGCCACACCTTCTTAAGGGGGAATGGCAGAAAGACTACCTCAATCTCGAACGGATGGTTAGGAGAGGGCATCAGTGACTGTAGTTGAACAACTTGAGCTTGAAGAGACTGTACTTGGCTCATGAGCTCTTGTGAGTAGGTGGGTCGGCTTGTAACGCTGGTCGAAACCGATATCATACTAGCATCATCGCCACGACGAGATGCAACGCTATTGTTGTCGTTAAGCACGCTCTTGTTATCATTGACAAGCTTCTCGACCTCTTCCACTCGGCTCTCGATATCAGCCATGCGAATATCAGCGTGGTCATGCTTGTCGTGGCATTCTTCATGCCCAGCGGCTGTAAATGAGACCGTTTCCAAGCGATCCAGACGTTGGTCATGGCCACTGACAGTTTCCGAGAGGTTCTTAAAAGCACGACGGGAAACAGCTGCACTGAAAACTGCGGCCCGAGAATCAGACCGAGTCGGTGTACCGGCACGGGGAGTGTCGCACGCCTTGTGATCCTGGGAGGTCCATGTGAAAGAGTCGCCTTGCGGACCCGGGTTTTGAGGAACAGCAAGCGGTTGAAACTCCTGAGTGGTGTTGGCCTGAGTTGGGGAGGGAGGTTGGTTTGCTGTGAGGCCGTTCAAAGTATGGAGTCCTTTCCCCGCGAACGGTCGGATGTATTTAGCGTGAGCAGATGAGGTTGTTGATGCTGTTTGAGAAGCTATGAGGCACTGGGATGGTATTGGTGGGATAGCGGAGGGGCATGACTGTGACTGAAGGAGATTGCCCCAGCTCATGGTATCCGGGATTGAGGCAGAAGCACCAGGGTTCTGGCTAACAGTAATCCTGGGGTATGATCCGGTGTCCTGTGGTATTCTCTGGTCCGGCAGCCTTTGGTCTGGAGTCCGTTGGATAAAAGATAAGGCTCCTGCATTGAAACTTGAGAAATTCATTCCGGGGATCACAGTAGGCGTCTGGATGGCCAAGTCCATTACAGGGCTCAAAGGTTCTCGTCCAGTCCTGGGTCTCTCGTTTTCCTGGCCATGCATACTCACCTCGGGCTGCTGGGCATCACGAGTTCCCTCCTCGTGGTAGCAAGCGTGGTGATTACACATACACCACTGAGATTGATCCGGTACAAGATTGCCTGTGGGAGAACGACTCCAGAACCTCCGGCATCCACATCGGGCTCCATTGGCACCAGGGTTTAAGTCCACAAAACCGCAAGCTCCTCCTGGCAAGCTGAGGGTCGGCGTCCTGACCGCGACAGCATCTGTGTATATATCGAAGGCATTTGGGGTGAAATGGGACGGGTCGAACGGGGTCGCAGCCATTGGAAGTTATGCGCGCTCATGTCGCGAAACCAGAATCGAAAGCGAATGGAGATATAGGCTCGGGCGCCTTCGTTACAGGTCGAAGTCCAACGTGGGAGGGGAAAGCTGTATAAGATAAGACGTATGATGTCGCAATAGGTCGAAGAATCGAAGGCCGTGATGATGATGCGTCACGGGCCCTCCCAACCAGGCCCAACCAGGGTCGCAGGCAAAGATGCCGCCTAATTCAGTTCATCGCACTATAATATCAGTTAGAAAAGGTGTTCAGGCAATCGATACTGAAATATCCCCAAGCGCAATCCATAGTGACTCGGCGAGAAATATGGGATGGGACTCCAACACAAATGGAGAGCACTGACCAGAGCGCGAAGGAGAAAGAGAGTAGATAGACGGAGGGCACAGCGCAATTTATACGATGGAAGCTCGTGAGATGAAGCAAAATCGCAGGCGAACGGAGGAGAGTGGACGACAATGAAAGTCGCAAAAGCAAGAGCAAGAGATAGAGGGGGCTATCGAATGCCTGTCTGCCTATGGTTCTATGGAGGATGGAGCAGGGCGAACAAGGAACAAGGCGACGAGTGCTGGAGTGGCTGACGAGATGTGGATGGGATAGGACGAGGATTGCTGTGGGGGGAAGGGAAGGTGCATCCACATCCAAGACACGCCTCGACGGTGTCGACACGCGCACCCTGTTGACGCACTATTGCCCTTTACGGCAAGCAATCATAGCTGCTTTAACAGTGGAGGACATGAGAGATACAGTGGTCTTGGACAATATAAAACACTTGCACCTACAGGGGAAAAAGGCAATTCTAATTTAACAGGCAGTCGGTATCTTAACCACTCTCACTATCTAGACCGTTTCGGCGTTAAATAACGGTTACCGTTGAAGAAAACAAACACCTAAATCTCCCATCACAACACTTCAAAGTATAAATGCAGGGAGACACGAAACCTACTAAAGCAGCACCACTTGTCTCAACGCGCATTCTCCCCCCATGTCACTTCCAGAGCTGCTTCTCTAACTTACCCCGCCAAATTAAGTACTCAAGCCAGTGCACGCTCACAAAAAGCTACAAAAACACAGGGAAGCGCTTCGAGATAGAGACTCCCGGCCAATAGGACACTTCCGCCTTCCAATCTCCAGCAGGTGGTCCCACTGTTGATCTCGGGAGGGAACGGCGCCTCCCTCTCCTCCTCATCGTCTAAGATAAAACAACGAGCAGACAATGGTTTTTTTTTTTTTGGATAAAATATAGCACGCTCAATAAAGCAGTCAAACGAACTTGAATCACAGGAGAACAGTCATAATTGTAACTCTCTAATTCAGGAGAAAATCAGTCGCTCATGTGCCCCATTAGGTCGAGTGAATGATGTGAAGTCGACGACTTTCACCACTTACAAAATAGCACACTTAGACAGGTACAGAACTACATACCATTCACCAGTAAAACAATATACCGTGCAATACCTATGAAGGTTCCTCATTAAGGTAATACTCTGGCGAGGCTGAGAGTATCATTGGCTAATGTCTCTTTTAACTCTTACCATTCACTTCAAGGATTGGCGTGATTGTCCTCTCAGTTACCTTTTAGTCTCGACTCAATCAGTGAGGCTGCAACTGGGTCTTTCGCCTTAAGGATCGGCTGGCTCTGTGAAACCGGACGATCTTGCCATAGAATTTACCGTAAGTTGGAGGAATTCACGGCTAGGCGACGAAGCAATTGAGTTATGTCTCTTTGGTGCAAGAAACCATTGGGTTGTACTGTTTTATTGTATTGGGGTAAAGTGACTTGCTCTGCAAGTTAATGATCATAAAAATAAAACTCTATCAATCCATAAAAACTCCAAATTTCATCTTTGTATAGTTGCAGATAATAGGGATTTCCAATGCCAAAAACTTACGTCGTTAAATACTCCAAAATGACCAAAGCACAGGATCCTCCTGATGCTGCGGTACAGTGCAAACATCTTATGCGTCAACGTCTGTCATACCTTCACATAAAATCATCATCATCATTGTCACCATCATACTTCGCCCCAGCTACCCATGGGGTTGTTGGAGGCAATCACAGAGCCTGTACCCAACGATCCACCAATGTCCCAGTAGTGCCGAGATGAGACGCTGCTACGTCGAGCGGAGCGTCTAGTGCTCTGACTCGCGCAACTGCTTTGGTGCCGAATTGCCACCGGGCTGCCAGGCGTCGTAGCCTTGAAAGTACGACGCTCAGCCGGAGGTCGCATGCGTGATACCAACGGGTGGTGTTGCCGCACGCGGGCCAGTTTGGCAGCTGTGTCTTGACTACTCGACGTTGCCAGATGAGCTGGTGTTGAAGGCGGTGGGTTGCTATTTCGTGGCATGAACCTCGAACGCAGGTACCGAAATACCAATTTCATATCAAGATCCTTCTCCCATTCCTCTTGAGTGAAACTGTTGCCTATAGTAGTGTTTTGTCGTGATGTTTGCATTGGTTCAGTGGATGGCTCGGATGACCTGCCAGGGATGTTGATGTGCTGGGGTGATGTCTGTATTGTTGGCTTGAATTGTGGGAATGAGGCATGTTCAGGTTCTGTTGGGCGGATGTTGTCTGTGGCGGAATGAGATGAGTTGGTTTCTGGGATGATTGGGAGACCGGCATAGGGCAGTGGCATCTGCTGCACTCGACTATAAGTCGAAAATGCACCAGGATGATGTGAAATGTGGCTGACGAGTGAGCCAAGCTCTCTTGACATCTTCTCAAGCATATCCAGCCGCCACTCCTCGCTGTTGACAAACTGTTGTGACTCCCACGCCAAGTGTTGAGAGGCCCGCGGTGTTGAAGATAAATCTTCGTTGTCGTCAGGTACAACTTCGCCCAGGAAAACCGAGATCGACCGTTCATCCATTCCAACGACATCCCGTAGGAATTTTCTGGTAACTTTGGAGAAGAACCCTTCCGACCCGTCAGGTGTTTCCATGGCATCCTCGTCGTGCCATGTCATATTGTCTGATTCTGTATCAACTGTAGGGCTTTGTGGCATTGGTACCACATTAGAAGACGGGTGCTTCTGAATCGATGCTTGTGAAAGCCGCCTCCGCCTTGTCTCACGCTGAATCTCTCCCAGCAGTACTCGACTGTGCTCTAACCGCCATGTTTCGATTCTTTGACGCTTCTCTTCCTCGTGAACTTGGTCGTGCTCAACATCCAGTTGCCTCAGGTCAAAGCTCTCCTTTCGTTGATACTGCCGTCTTGGGTTGAAGCGCTCGAATTGATATATGTGGTCTTGGGCTTGAGCACCCAGTGTAGGTTGATCAAGATGAAAGGATCCCAGTCCGTCGTGGGCAGGAAACACCGGCACAGACCCGTGGTGCTCATCCGCTTGCTGATGATGCACTGCAGGTACCGAGCGAAAGCCAGGCAAGTGGCCATCAAGACTATCCAACTCGGCATCGTCCTCATCATCCAGTGCAGATGCTGAAGCGGACTGGCGTGACTCAGCCTCCGATTTCGCAGCTGAGTTCAAACTCCCCAAATCCCCTACTCTCGATCTCCCAGGAGTTTGTAATGAGTGATCCGTTTCGGTAAGATATGATGTTGTTGTCACTTCAGTTGGCGCGAAGAGCACCCATGTCTGTGACTCCTCTAGTGGGCGTTCTTGAACGATAGGCGCCTCTCTTCGAGGAAGCTCCTGTTCGTCGACCGGAGGCCGCACGACGCGTTGGACCGACTGTCGAGTCGGTTGATGAAAAGCCATAGTTATCGCGCTCGTTACAGTCGTCGCGAGGTTGCGATGATGGTTGCGATAAGCAAATGGCGGACAAGATAAGATGTCGGGTGTTGATGATGGAAGTGGACCCCCCTGTAGAGATGTCCGCCTATGTCGGGGGCTTACAGAGGCGATGTGTGAGAAGAGTGGGACAAAGCAATAAAGAACTTGGTCGCTCGCGGTCAACAGCCTCGAGCAAACCAAGGTTGAAGAAGAAAAGATGTAGGGAATAAAGAATGAAAACCAGAGAGTGTCTCCAGTCGTTTCACTAAAACTAAAGATAGGGAGAAAAGAGGCGGGAAGGGTGGCAGGATGGAATCTTTGGAGGGACCAGTCCCAAGTCGAGAACAACTACAGGCTAGGTCTATATCCGTACCTTAGAGGGATTATGATTAGTAGCTATATTTACCGAATTAAGTATTTAAAGAGGTTATAGAAGCCTTTTATTATAAATATGGTTTTAATATACGGCTAGCTTATTAAATATAATAATATAGCTAATATAATTAGATATACTTAGCTAATTATAAGGCCATACTTTATAATATACCCCCTATTTAACTGCCTAGCTATAATATATTTAAATATATTTTAAGCACTTTAAATAATAATAATAAATTAAATAAAGGAAATTTTAAATAATAATATAAATAAAATTATAAATAATAAGATATTATAAAAACTTTAAAAGTAATAAAATAAGGTTTATATATTTAAATTATATATATAAAAATAAAATCCCCTATATTATAATATTATTTTCTTTCTTTAAGCCTTTATTATTATAAAAATAATATATTAATTATTATAAATTCCCTTACTTAATATAATATATAAATAATAATAGGATATTAATATATATAAATAGCCTTTTTTTAACTTTAATACTAGCCCTTTAGGCTAGAATCTTTTTATAATACTTTATATAAATAGCTTAACTAAATAAATATTATATATATTAATATATAATATAGTATAATATTATGGCCGCTTATTATATATATATCGTAATTATTTATATAGTTAAGGCTATTATTATTATTATTATTTCCCTTTTTTTTTAAAAAAAGGAAAGAAAAAAGAAAAAAGAAATTAATAATAATAAGGATAAAATCCTTATAATACCTTTATAGGTAAATATTTATAACCCCCCTTATAGCTAAAAGCCTACTTTATTTAAGCCTTTTTATAAAGGTTATTTATATAATATTATAGCTAGTAAGAACTAATTAAAAAGGTACTTAAAGACTTTT